GCTCAGGCTCAGGCTCCTGCTGCGCTTCAGCTTCGGCCTTGCTTCCGCCCCTGCTTCGGCCCTGCTCTACCCAGCATCAAATAGGCCCTCTACTTCTCACCGTGAAGGACCTCCTCCATCTTACAAGGACACGCCTGTGAAGCGCCTAGATGCCCCATCGCCTGCTTTTACAGCTGCACAAATGCACAAAACCACCCGCAAATATGTGGGTCAGACTCAAAGTCTATTTAGCAAACCAGTTCGTACTAGAGAAAGAGCCAATACTGTTGATCAGGTCATCCCGAGAGCTACATCCCCTATTCCTAAGCGGTCACCAAGCCCCCAGCCACCACAGAATACTACTACTCGTCCAGGTTCTCAACTCGGCAATGCCTCTCAGCAAAGAGCCCCGGCTTATAAATCTGAGAGTGTGAATAGCAGGTATAGGCACTCGCACTCACAATCTGCCACCCCTACCAAGATTGTCCGAGAGCCCTCTCGTTCTCCACAATATTCTCGTCAAGCATCTCCAAACGATGTGCGGCCAGAAGTACGTAACGAGTCTAGAACAGAGACTAGAAACACCATACGTACTGAAGTTCGCAATGAACCACCACGAAATGAAGTAAGACAAGAGACACGAGTCGAGCCACCAAGGAACGAGGTTAGGCATGAGGCGCGAGCTGAGCCGCTACGACAAGAAGTCAGGCAAGAGGCACGAACTGAGCCCCCGAGGCAGGATGTTAGGCAGGAAGTACGAAGCGAACCACCACGAAATGAGGTGAGGCCCGATACACGCAGTGAAGTCCGGAATGATCCACCACCAAATAATATCAGACGGTCAGCCTCTCCTCAGCCCCAGTTCAGAAGACCAGAACGGCCAGCAAGTGCAAGCGGCATGGAGCTCCAACTCTCGACCAATGACGCGAGCTCGCATATGGGAGGTCATAATGACGGCTATTCCGCCTACCAGGGTGGGTACCAGAGTGGGTACCAAGGAGGCTACCAAGGAGGCTACCAGGGAGGCTACCAGGGCGGGAATGGCTATGGCCATCATCAGCAACAACGTCCTCACTCCATGTACTATGGCGCTACTCCTGATTACAATCATAGCGCCCAGGATCAGCATTCAGGAAGCAGAAGTGTGATAATGGCAGAAGCTCCAACAATTAGCCGTGACGGCAGACCAATTCTGCATTTTGGTGAGTCTCACTTCATATTTACCTCGTCGATAATGAGCCCTTCATGTCTAACTCTACATCTAGCTCGTGCAATGTATTCCTATACTGCAGCCATCCCCGAAGAACTTGGATTTGCTAAAGGAGATATTCTTGCTGTTCTAAGGCACCAAGACGATGGGTGGTGGGAGGCTGAGATCACCAACCAGCCAACCCGTCCAGGCCTAGTGCCTAGCAATTACCTTCAACCTTGCTAATCCCCTCATTCCACCTTTCCAATTCCAAATCGCTCGTTTACAGCTTTTTAGTCATTGAGCCTTTCGATTTACTATACCCATTTGTTATCGGGATTGATTGCACAATCTTGGTACGCTTATTTTCGGTCAATATGAGGACAATAATGCCGGTTCTCATTTTCTTCTTCCAATATCCCTGATTCTCCCCCTTTTTTACTCACTTATCTGCCCTATGTGCTTGATTGTGTCTTGTAACGATGCATTTCCAATCATAATTTCTACACTTGTGTTCGCCTCCCGCAAATACACTCCTTTCCAGCCCGCTGGATATCTCTCAAGTTGATGACCATTTGAACTTGCTTCAGCCACAAACCTCCTCAATACCTCTTTATAACATTTCCATTTGTTGCTACGCAAGTCATTCTCGTCAGCAAGGCTAATCTGTATCTCTTTATTTCCCCTGTGAGCGAGTTGAATTGTTTATTTCCCTTTGTTTTTATGACTTCAATTTGTTAGTTATGACTTCGTGGATAATACAGCCCATGTTTCTATGATTACCTTCAGAATATTTCCTGGGAGTGATAAATGTAAATTATGTATATTCTTCTATGATATATACAAATAAAGAGCTAATTAGTGCAAACTTCGTAGGCATCGAAGAGAGTACAAATGTACATGCTAGATAGAGAAGACGAGACAAAGGTATCCAAAGATGCATATAGGGTAGCAAGAAAATGATGGAGAAGCATATTAACAGACAAAATGTAAAAATTAGTGAGCAACAGGCATTAGAGTAAATGTGAATAACCACCAGGCCCTAGATCAAAATAATATAGCAGGCCCGTCTTATAAGAGGCATCATCACTCATCATCAACAAAAGAGTTAGCCAACGGCCCAAAGATAGGAACTTGATAGTGTTCCAGGGAATCAACTAGTTATATTGATGTCAGTATTATATTAGTTGTGAATTCAAGATATCCACTTACCGTCGCGGTAGGCATGCATGCTCAGAAACCCAATGAGGCCAAGGTTGAATAGAAACAATAACCAGGATATAATACTTGACCAAGCAAAGAGCATATGAATAACCTAGTCTTCGTTAGAAACGAGAACGAAAGAAATACAAGTACCAATATATAAAAAGAAAGGTATCCGTACAAACATGAAGGTGAAAAGCAAACTAGATTGCCAGGCGTGGAATCTATTTCAGCACTAGTTAGCACATACATATGTTCTGGCTAACATCAAGATAGAGGAGATAAAATCCATACCGTACATAATCACTCTTATGCTCTACCAAAAGTAAAAACACGCCTCCTGCAGGTGGTAGCAAGAGATATGCAAGCATAGCTTCATAATCCATGCGCAACGGGAGACTGGTCTCGAACGCGCCCAGGCTCATACGTCCTCCCTCGACATCTCTTCCAAAGCCGGATCCAAACCCCTGCGCATTACTTTGTGTGTTTCTTTCTAGGTTCGACGAGTTCCTTGGGTGGTTTTGGCTTAGCGGTGATGGTGTGTGACGGGGAGAAGCGGTATGTATGCGGTTGGCATTTGCGAGGGGAGGGGAGAGCGCGCGCTCGATGTCGGGGGACTGGTCCTGGTAGGGCGCAAAGTTCATGGTCGCTAGGGCAGGTCAAGATACAGTCTAGGTGGTGCTCATGGGGAGAAGCGTTGGTAGTTTTATGTATACAGCTATGATTGTTGCTGCCTTTCTATGCGGTCAACTGATGATGTAACTTAGTTTTTTGGTGTTTCTATGCCGAAGAGCTTAAGACGCGGGTGGGCTTGGCGAGATGTCACTATGCTATAGGCAAGGATAGCTTCTCTCAAAGGATTTAACAGTGCGTATATTTAATGAGACTAACTGTGTTTTTTACTCTTCATGGTATAATGGTAGCTCGTTCCTATAATGATGAATCATTTCTAGCATTTTTTGGGGGTATCAAATCTGTCGGTCTATTTACATCCGCCGAGGCAGCGGCTTCCTCACGGCCCCCTTACCTTCCCCCGGCCTCCTGCTATCCCTGAGCTTCTACCAGACTCAACACCAGCTCTTCTGGCAGTGGGTATTCCCCTGGAAGTAGTCGTCGGTACTCGTGTAGATGGCTGCCCCGGTTGTGTTCTAGATATACTTTGAGTGCGACTCACTCCTGTCCGTGTCGTCGACGGCCTCACAATGCCGCGTCTCGCCCTGGTGGTTGATGATGCCTGTGCAGCCCTCTTCCGCTGCTCTTCCTCAGCTTTGCGTTCCTGTGCTAGTTTACGCTCTTGCAACTCTAGTTCTCTTCGTTCTGCCTCCTGTTGTCGCTCACGGGCCTCGGTCTCTATATCGGCCATGTCTTGAGTAGCACCCTGCCACGACGGGTCTAAGACAAGCCTTCTGTTATGCTCTGTCTGGGAAAGGATGCGAGTCCACGTATCAAGTAGGGTAGAGGCGGAAGAAACCGTCCGGGCAACGCTCTGGACAGACCCATGTCAGCAAACTGGCTCTTCTAGTTCATATAGAAAATCCGTACCTCCATGTTACCCTTTGCGCGTTCCAGGCTTTCAACAACGCCTTCTATCACGACATTGATATCTCGTACCGACTTCAGCTCTGCTCGTAGAGCTGCTTCTCTATCGTCCCCTTCCTGTGCCTCTTCACTGGTATATTGATAGCTCTCCTTTGCCCGTCCCGAACCTTGTTCCGCCCGAGCATTCCACCTATCCTCTTCCTTCTCCTGTAGCCGCAGCCGGTCCATCTCTTCAATAGGCGTCGCCATCTCTCGTAGCTCGTCTTCCGTATCCCTTTTCTACTGTCTCTCGTCTGTCCCTCTTCGGCTGCTTGTCTTCTATCTTTAAATGCCAAAAGTGGGAGCGGAATCACGCTAAACCCTTTTTAATCTTTGTTGTTAGTGGGCCGTGCGCGTCCCTGTTTTCTTTTTCCTTTTTTGGTTTTGTGTGGCTGGAAAGACTAAAACGGCAATTTTCAACATCATCCATCGCCAACCACCAGATTTCCTGCTTCTTCACTAACGTGTACGGACACAGCAGAAGGCAAAGTGAACAGGCAAATAGGCAGTGAGAGTCACATATCACAGTGAGAATAGTGTGAAAGGGACCGTGGCGAGTACTTGAGCATCGAAAGCGCGCTTTACCGCCAGTTTCCTCCCCGGAACCAGCCATCTTCCCAGCCCCATGAGGACGTGATAGTCGAGGACAGCGATAAGATCCCCGTACATACAACAAACACCCTATTTTGTCCTGGTAACCAGGTAACCAGCAACCACGCAACGATGACTACCACTCCGCCGCCGTCATCCGCCATTCGGCCTCCTCCCACTCCTCGCTATGGCTCTCGGTACGATAACTACGAGCCATATTCCCCTCGCCGCTCCAAACGCATTGCGGACCAGCAACACCTATTTAATGACTCTGCTGCTGCTCCAGACGCGAGCACCGCGGACCTTATCAAAGAGCACACCTTAAGACGCGACCAGGAGCTACACCAGCTTGGCGTTAGTGGCAGAGCTACTTACTCTCCACCACACTCACAACCTGGCTCTCCTAAGCGAAGAAGTGAAAGACAGGACATGAACTCCCCTTCTCTTTCACCACAACCAAAGAGCAGAATCAGATCTGAGCCTGTTTCCTTTTCACTTTCTCTTCCTTCCTCTTCTTCTACTTCACACAGCAGCACAATGGAGGCCAATATCAACAGCAGCTTAGCTGCCAACGGAATGTTGCCTACGCCAGCGAAGACTCCTCGAAAGAAGCAGATCGAAGACTTTGGTTCTACAGCTCGCACTCTGTTTTCAAGCAGCTCCAAATCCAACGAAGACTCAGCAGCCATGATGCCGAAGCGCTCCAGAAGCAAAAAATACTCAGGCTTCTCACTTGAGAGCTTTGAGGCTGACCCTCAGCAAGCTAGCCAACAGCCTATATCTATCTTCACCGACTCTCGAGATCGAATTCCACAAGTGAACAATAACCCGGACAATCCTTTCCGCAGCAAGCCCGCTGATGGTGAACCATCCTCTTCCAAGGTCTCGGCAGACGCTGGTAGACGCAGAAAACTCGATGAGAGCAGCCGCAAACGGGATAAGAAGGTAGACAAGGCTATACATCGAGATGACGGATTACTTTATGTTTTGTAAGTGCACCCAGACTTCTCTTCAACTACGTATGATTGATTGCTCATTATTCTCTTTAGCCGAGGAAAGAAAGTGTTCCGCAAGTTCAAGCCAGAGGTAGAGGAGGAAGAAGGTGACGACGATGACTTGGGTCTTTTGGCCTCTCGCAGCGAACTCACAACTGAGTCTATACCCCGCATCCGCCCTCTAACCCGCTCTTCCATCAAACCTCGTGTCCTGTTTCCTGAGGCTACAGCTACTCCTGCTGTTCGTGAGGAGAAAAAAGAACCAAGCACCCCTTCAACCATCTTTGAAGAAGAGGAGGAGCAAACTGAAGAGCCGGCTGAAGAGTCAGCTGAAACTGTCGACCAACCAGCCATTGGTCATGCAGAAGTTGAATCAGATAATCCCATCACTCCTCAAGGGCAAATCACCCAATTAGATACCCCTTCATCTCCGCTTGCTTCTGGACGCTCTCTCCGCTCCCATGCCCTCAAGACAGGCTCTGAACCTGAAGCCGAACATCGTGATCCGGAGACTCCAACTGCAAAACGCTTTAGTCCTTTTGACAGATGGCGCAGAGGCAAATCTCACTCCACGCCCACCAAGACCAAGAAGAGAGGCATCGATGGCAACTCCAACCCCGCTTCAAAGAAGTCTCGCAGCCACTAAAACCGCCTGCCATCGTCTTTCGATAAGCCGCCCCGGAGTTAATTTTCCTTCTCTATTCATACTCTCTTTTTTCATTTCCCGTCGCTTTTATTCCCCCTCCCCTTTACTCGGTATTTTCTTGTTTCTTCACTTTCCTCAACGACTGCATGCTCATGATCTTTCCTTTTTCCAAACCTCAGCCTTGGCTTTCTTTCATTCTACTCTCTTATTTATGGTCTTTTGTAATCATTCATCCCTATTCAAATTCCCCCATTCTCCTTTCACCCTTTCCTTTCTAGCTACCAGCTGTCATTATGACCTGATATTGGCTCCAGTCTTTTATTTCATATGTTCTTTTTGCCATTGGTTTGTTTACAAGATACCATAAAAATTGCCTATCAATGGACGGAGTGGCGGAGAACGTGGCTCTAAGTGGTCTCAGGATGTGGTTATTTTGTTACTGCTTTTTTTGAATTTGTATTGTTTTGTAGCTTATTCCCGTGTGCAAGCTAAATTGTTGCCGTCTTTGTGTACAGGCATATGGATGGGGGTCACCGCAAATGTGCGCGTTTAGATAGAATAGTGTGAGATTAGTACCAATACCAGTTACGTTAAAGTCACTATAGCTAATATGCGTATTTATCTAGACACTAATAATTTGTATAAAGCTATCAATACCTAGTGCTTTGTGATTACTCTGTACCCTCGTACTTAGTTCCTGAGTGTTCTACTATTTAGAGGAGGTAATCACCTAGGTTTTCATGAAGCATGGCAAGATTACAAAGTTAGGATAATAAAAACAAGTTATCATTGAATCTGCCTCCAAACAAAGATAAACGCCTAGTAAGGTATAGGAAATGGCGTAAAACCCCTCGTGTCTAAACTATACAATGTCCAAGTCATCATTATAATCCGTTGCATCCCGTGTGGCCCGTCCAAGGCTATCTCTACCAGCCTCTCTGATGCCATTAGCAGTAATAAACCTCGTCTTCTTCACTGTTGTCTGCGCATTACCGTCCTTGCCGCGTTTAAGTTTGATGCCCTTTGCGTTTTTTTGGAGGTTGTCGAGGCCAAGGAAAGGATCGTTTCCAAAACTGCTATCACTTCCGCTCTTATTGTTGGTAGGGTTTGAGTTAGCGGTCACAGTAGTCGAAGAGCCTTTACCTTCGGCTTCGTTAATGTCCTTGTGTTGGGCCCGAAGGTATTCAGCTCCAACCCCCTTGAATTCTCCCAGTGACCTAGCTATGGTACGCTCTCTTTCCTGGTCTGCAAGACGTTTCCGTAGTCGTTCTGCTTTTGTATTTCCTCCTCGGTCGAAAGATCCAGCATCTATAAATGGGTCATCTGCATCTAGTAGACTGGATGTAGTGCCATTTCTGCCTGGAAATTGGCTTTGTCTGTTTCCGCCAGTTGAAGTTGCAGCTGGAGCAACGTAGTATCTGGTACCTGTTGCCCGGTCATAGCTTCCTCCATTATCCGTATTACTCCGCATGCGGTTCCCCTGAAAGCCGTTTTGTTCTCGTTTTGCGCCGCGGAATCCGGTAAATCGAGATCCGAATCTGGTCGAAATTCCAGGCCCGCTATTAACTTCCATCCTGCCGGACGTGGTTTTGCGAAGCTGTGCTTCTATATGAAAATCACAATATTCCGTCTTGCGAGAGTCAATCCAGGACTCGCACACTTTGCCGTCTCTTTTAACCGCCTTGCAAAATCCTATATCCTGGGCAGTCCCAATCTCCAGAATTGTATCCTCCGATGAATGTAATGTCAAGCTGAATGCATTTGTATCCAGTTTATGGCGCGGGGGTGGCATTATTGCTGGATTTAAAACAGCGATTAAGGTCCCAGGAGCAAGTCTATAGTAACGGGGAAAGGCCGTAGAAAATAGAAAGAGGTCAATGGTCCATTTCAGATCCGTCAAGGTTAGAACCATGTATTTGTTTGCATTATGCCCATCTTCAGACTCATCGTCATTCTTTTCCCCTCCGATTTTCTTCTCTTTATGTTCTTTGGGTGCCGACTTGGATCCCACAATACCAAACACAACAAAGTCTCCCTCTATCTCAGGAGATTCAAAGTCTGGCCCCTTTACTGTTCGTAGGAGGTCCGGTATGCGCATGGTTGTTTTAGAATCGAGTGTGCGTTTAAGGAATGAATGGGGTAAAATGCGCGTAGATAGATGTAAAGAGGAGAAGGGCTCGAACTTTGTTGGGTCCGCTGGCTTGACTTCAGCTCCCGTGGAGGACGATGATTCACTTCGGGCTATGTAGGTCGCCCTAGTCTCTGAATTACTTCGGCCAAGCCCCGGCAATTGACCGCGGTCTCTTTTGGACGGTGACGTAGGCGGTATATTTTCCGTAGAAGATGGTTGTGCGGCACGTACGGGAGAGGTAAACCGTTCATGTTTTGTAGGAACGGCTCCAAAATTAAAGGTTGATTCCTTTACTGCCGCATGGAACCGCTCCAGTTCGTTCTTGTCAACACCAAAACCGGCGGTTCTCTTCCGTTGTAATGCCCATGACTTATCTCTTCGCTCCTTATCATTGGCCCTACTCTCCAGCATCCGGTCGCTGAAGCTTTTGAAATTATCAAGGCGATTAGTGGTATCAGGTGGTAGTAGCTGCGTCTCACGGCTACTACCTCTGGTAAAGAGATTTCCAGCGCGGTTACCGGTTGTTTGCTTGTTTTCATAAGCATTTTGACCCAATGTTTTGGGACGTCTCAAGGAGACATCCGGTGCCTTGCGCCCCTTGTCAATGCCCAGGATAACCCTTTGTGGAGATACCGGAGGTGCTAGTGGAGGCGGCCTCTTTATTGGAGAAAGAGGAACTTGTATATTCTCTTGGAATGGCATATCGGTAGCCTTCCTCTTCCGTTCTCCCAGTAACCGGTTTCCATGATAGCCTTGGCCGTCGGGCCTCGGGCTTATAATCCCCGAGGGGCCTTCGAATGATTCTGTCTCCGAGTCAGCCTGTTTGAGCCGTGCCTTGCTCTGCTGCAATTTTTTCAGCTTCAGTCGAGCCTCTATAGCAGCAAGCTTGAGCTGTAATGTCTCTTCGTCGTCTTCGTCGTCTTCATCTTCCATATTCTCGTCCAGTATTCGTCTTGCCTTAGCAGATGATATACCATAGTCAGTACCGGCCCGTCTTTTATTCTGGATCTCCTCGAACTTCTTGCGACCGTTTGGAGAGGACATCAGCGCAGCATGAGGGGACTTCGGGGGCCAAGGAATATCACCCACTATCACAATCTTAGTAACTCTTTCTTGTAATTCTCGAATGGAAGAAGACGAACTCACTCTTTAACTAGGTAACCCCGAATAATATTGCTTAATAGTCGCAAATCGAATGCCTCGCATCTAGAATGTTGTGTGGAAGTGGGTTGGCTGTAATTGAGTAGCAGAGGAAAGGGCGTCCATGAAACAACTTCCACTGCTTATTTAACAGCAAGAAATGGCCCATGGCAAGGACAAACACGCAGCTGACAGTCCCGTAATCGACCTGATGATCCAAATAGCCAGCCACTTCAGATAAAAAACCAGGATAAAATATTGATTCTGTGGCCGGGGAAAAGTTTCCAGGATACAATCACGTGTGCGGCATACCCCAGTCGCTTTATTATGCGACGTCGCCAAAAGTCGCAGTCCAAATTTCATACACCCATTGAAGACTACTGCATAAACACAAGAGTCGAGTGTCTTCAGACCTTAAACCCCAGGTGGTAACTGATCCGTATAAAGCTGACGGAAATTAAAGGAAAAGATGAACCGTGTATAATTTGCTTTTTACTCTCGCGTCAATTTCGTGATCGCCAAGCGCCTCTTTTTAAGTTAATTAAGCTCGTGTGGGTCTGGCATGTTTTTTTGGCCCCGTAAGGGGGGAAAAGAACTTCAAGGTGTCTGTCTTTGGCCAGTTCACGACTGGCGATGAAGCGGCGGACCAAGCTGAGCGGATCTGGCCTGCGAACCACAAAAATATGAAGACGAGAGCGGGCTCGACGAAGCCATTGGTTTCTGCTGATGGCGAGACGACGGCCAAGCCAGCTGCTGCTGAGCCTCCGAAGTTTTACAAGACACTGATCCTCCCATCCGCAGCCTCCGAAGACGCGCGATTCATCCAGCTTCAGGATCCCCGGACGAGCAAACTGACCAGGTATTATTTTTGCCCGAAGCTGGGTGTGTTTGAGTTTACCTCGATTTCACCTCCATCCACCACACCACGAAGCTTCATGTTCATCAATTCAAGGGAGAAAGACACAGAGGAGAATGACACAGGACCAGAGGGACAGCCGGCGAGAGAAAATGGGTTTATTTCAAAGGCAGGTCAACTTCACGTTGCAACGCCTGTCGACATTATGTTTTTTATTTTACCGATAATTGTGCCTTCTGGTCACAACTCAGGACGTGCCCTATTCCAACCGCTAGACGATATAATAGATGCCAACGAGGATATTTCTCTTCACCTGCGGAAGGTTCTATATACCACGGAATTCAGGGAAACTATTGAAAAGAGGATGGCGTCAGTGTGTGACACAATTGACGGTGATGGCATAATGTTCAGGTTCAGTGAGAAGAAGCTTATGGAGGAGCTGCTCCTGAAGGCTGAGAGGATGGTTAAGAACGGGCTTCCTGCTAGTCTCGAAGCTAAATTTGTGCGTCAGGCACTAGAGCCCCCCATGATCGGTGCCAGCAAATTAACAAGTGCGCAATCAAACGACGAAACGAATGACAACGAGAAAGATGCCCAGCCCATTCAAAGTACAAGCGATTCTCAGACCTCTTTAGAGATGACCACTACACAGACTTCACAATCTACCGCCATTACCGAGCCGACAGATTCTCAAGAGGAGACGCCTCTGCCAAAATCAAATTATAGCCCCGAAATAGCTCATCTTATGCGCCTTCGAACCGCTTTCTCCTTTATACAAACCTCCTACCTCCAACCTGATCTGTCAGCAAAAATTTCTGAAATACTAAGCTCCTCATCATCTCCAACAGACTTCACAGCTCTAGATGAGTACCTACACAACCTTGCCAAACTACGTGTAGAAGCCCAAGCGTCAAGGTCCATGTATGACATGTCGAGAAGGAAACGGGGTTATGAAGACGATGAAACGGCTGAAGAGAAAGCAGAGAAGAGGAGAAAGGCACAAGAAGATGAAAAGAAGAAGAAGGCGAGTGTGTCTCGGGGCGTAAGGGATCTGAAGAAGGTTAATACTTCAGGCATGCAAAAGCTGTCTTCCTTCTTTGCCAAAGCGCCAGCAAAAAAATGAGTTGCTGCATTTCGCCTCTATAATATGTATACGCCTATCTTGTTAACAAGAAGGAAGAACAGAGGCAATCGGTTCGTTTGCTTGAATTACATAAGAACCGACTTCCGTCTGAGGAAGACCGTGAAGAGGATATTACGGTCGCCGTTAGCAGACGGCTGTATCTGTATTCCCTGGTTGGCAACCCTAGAATGGAATACTGTGTTACGAGAGACTAGAGGATATGGTCTCTTAAGGAAAAAAATTCCTGAACTACTCAATTCCCGGGAATAAGCTAGCAATTCTTCAAAGATGCAGGTTCCCGAGGTCCGCAGCCATGAATTAGAGAAATTGGAGGAAGTCTCACTAGAGTAAGAGACGCGGGCCACCATTAACACGACTATTGTGATTAGATTATATATTACATGGGATTTGATATAATACCATTCTCACTGAGCGTCAGATAATGCAGTACCGGTAATCCTGTGAGATGTTAGCATACTCTAACGGGGCGAAAAAACGGAAGAAGCAAAGGGGAGACTTACAAAAATGACCCATTAGACGGCTTGCTAATGACCATTGCCTGCTTGAGTTTTTCTTTGTCCATATCTGGCCATCGCTTCAGATAATATTCCTCCTTCAATGCCTTGGTAACATTCCCGACCTTTTCCTGAGGGACCAGGTGTACCGTACAGCCACCCCAACCCGCACCTGTCAGACGGCTACCTAGCGAGCCCGCCCGTCGTGCAATTTCGCATAGTTCATCGACCTCGGGGCAACTGCAGTCATAAACATCTCGACAAGACGCCTGAGATTCATTAAGTAGCTGCCCGAGATACTCTAAATTATGTTGATCGAGCGTATGGGAACGAGCAAGGCATGATCGAAAATCGAGCACGCGACGGGCTTCCTTAAAGCAGTGCAGGGCTCGTTGGCGGAGATAAAATCTTTCCGTTTGCACAGGGAACGAGGAGAGGAACTGTTCCTCGACCTGTAAAACCGTGAGCTGCAGGAGTTCCGCGATTTCGGAGCGCGTGTACCCTTGTTCTTGCTTGAAGGTCTCCTCTACAAGGAGAATGAGAGAGTCAAGCTGGTATTCAAATGGGTCATCGTGACGGCCATCTTGACGCATCAGCTCTTGATGTAAATTTCTAAGGCTATAGCCTAATGAGCTGCTGTCCTTTTGAAGGGTGATGTTATGTTTCTTTGCGAGAATTACAGCCGCAAGGGTGCACTCTGCCACTCGAAGGTTATAGTGACGAGGAGCGGTCTCAGCCTTGTTGGACGTTACAAAGCTCTGGGCTACCATGAAAGTGATATCAGTAGACGCCTTGGGGATGGCCACATGTTGCACCTTGAACCTTGGGAAGAAGGTGACATAGAGAAGATATCCCCGTTGCGAGAAGATCGAAGCAGCTTGGTCCATCCTGTCATACTGTTAGCCATTGCCACAAGGTAGTCAGGGGAATATAGACACACAGACCCTCCTGAGTACACTCCTACGGCACGCTCGGAAACAATTGAAATATCCAAAAGCTCCTGTTTGGAGATGTTATGGCCATTTGCCTTGACGACAGCTAAAGCACTCGCACAGACAAAGGCAGCACTGCTCGATATACCACCACCGGGAGGTACATTACCATCGACCAAAGTCTTGATATTTGCCGGAACAAAGGCCGAGTCCTTCTCTTGTAGATACTTAACAGCTACTCGGAGGCCAGCTTTAAAGTAATTAATCCAATCTGATCTGGATGCATCGATTTCCACTTCTCGATCCGACGAGACAGTAAACTCGCCAGCTGCAAACCTGGGGTCCGTATTGTCCACTTTAACTGTTGCCTCTGGGCCAGATGCGGGCACACTCTTCACAGCAACAAGAACATCTACGCTCAAAGCGGTAGGGAGCACATCGTAAAGCGAATAGTCGATATGCTCTCCTATAATGTTCACTCTTCCAGGACTTCGGGCGACAAACCCAGGCGCTTCACCATAGAGACTTTTGAACTGTTTAATCAAGTTGTTCCACCTGGCTTGTTGTTCGGGTTCTAGAGACTGCTGGGTGTCCGCATCCGCTACATACACATCCCTCAGGGACTGTGTTTCTGGCACGAGTTTTGCATCCATAGTGGGGTTGTGTGTTGTGATTTTGGTAATGACGTCGATTTAAGTAGTTAAGTAAGTAGCCGATCTCTCGGGTGTCGGATAGCCTAAACTTTGTTTTAACAAAGCCTGTTCTTTGTTGACATCGAGAAAGTATTGAGTATAAATCCAGTCGCATTTGATAGACGGATAAACCGATTTGAATGTCCATGCACATTATTTAATCTATGTCGTCATGCTTGTAATATTTCCCCACGTTAATTTTGTCTGTTAAACATTCAAGGGTGTCCAGCAAAAAAGCAAATAAACTCGGCCGATTCCAAGCGCTACCTCTCGAGCTTGGACGGAATATATAAATGAATGATCATCCCCCACAGTGCGATTCACTACAAGAGAGGCCCAAAAATGGGAAGACAGTTATATACTCCGTATATACTGCCAAGGAGAGACATCATATCTCTGTCTTTTGGGCCATCTCAACGACGGTTGTGCCGCAAGAATCTCAAGAATGGACAGCATGCCTTCAACCCCGAGCAGCTCATGGGCATCTACAGAGTACTTGGAGTGAACATGCTCGCCTACTAACCTCTCTTATCTTTCCTTCCAGCTTATGGCCGGCTATTCAAGACCAAGACCGTCTTTCTTCCTCCCTACCCAGGCCAGAATGATGAAACCGTGAAGCCGTGAAGCCGTGAAACATGTCCGCTCTCTCCGGACCTTTTCCTGGCCCGAGCTCTCCTTCCCTTTTTTCTAAAAGGCTTACCTCATCTCTTACTCAGCCAATGTCATGTGACCATCACATGCCATGTACCACGTGACCTTGCGATGGCGATATCGTGCTTTTCACGTGATTTTACTAGCTGACCAATCGTATGGCGCGAAACCTCCGATGACCGGCCTTCTACTGGCCGAGGTCGCCCCGCTCTCTCCTTAGCTTCGAAAAAAGGAAAAGCAAGAAAAAAAGGTGAGTGAGTGACTGTGCGAACGCAGAGCAGAGCAAGGGAGAGGCCGAACTAGAGGGTGATTGCGGAAAGAGTCATAGCCTGCCCGCCCCCTGTGCATTTGTTTTTACTTGCCCTCTATTAAAGACGACAGACGCTTCTTTCTCTTCCCCAGTTTGACCTCAATTCGATTCACTGCTACTCACTGCACCCTACTCCATATACTCAAACCCCCGGCGTTCTACCCTCACAGCCGTCATTAACACTCCCGCGATGATGCTGTCTGCCAGCAGGTCGTCAAGGAGTGCGCTGCGCACTGCCAATTGCCTCTCACACGCATCACAGGCCAGCAGGAGGCAGTTCTCGGCCACTGCTGTAGCCACTGCTCTCTCACCGCACCGAAGGCCGTCACAGAAGACCGCCTCTCTAGATACAGCAAAGCGCGGACAGAGCACCGCTACTGCTTCTTCACCGTATGACTGCTACACTTGGGTCCTCTGAGATGTCGTTGAAACTGACGGATTGAGACAGACAAGCAAGACCGGTTCCCAGCCCGGCATTCAATCAGGATGCTGACAGAAACGATATTTCACCTCTTCATAGGAGGCATGCTCCGGCCCTGGATGACTCGTATGTTCAGTGAAATACGTGCTCAACATGTTTATTGAGTCATCTAACATATGGAAAATCTCATAGATTTGTCGGACTGAGCGGTGGTCAGATATTTCACGAAATGATGCTGCGTCTAGGTGTCAAGCATATATGTGAGTCAGAAATCGTCAACTTGAGAATTAATAGGAACAATCACCTTCTAACTTTTATTCTATCACAGTTGGATATCCTGGTGGTGCTATTTTGCCCGTTTTCGATGCCATCTACAACTCAAATCACTTCGACTTTGTCCTTCCACGACACGAACAAGGTGCCGGCCACATGGCCGAGGGATACGCCCGAGCCACAGGAAAACCCGGTGTAGTCCTTGTCACTTCCGGTCCCGGAGCCACCAATGTTATTACCCCCATGCAGGACGCCCTCTCGGATGGTACTCCAATGGTTGTCTTCTGCGGACAGGTCCCCACCACTTCCATCGGTACGGATGCTTTCCAGGAAGCAGACGTTATCGGTATCTCGAGAGCTTGCACAAAGTGGAACGTCATGGTAAAGAATGTCGGTGAGCTTCCTAGGCGCATCAAGGAAGCATTTGAGATTGCTACCAGTGGGCGACCAGGACCGGTCTTAGTTGATCTACCCAAGGATGTCACAGGTGGTATCCTTCGAAAGGCTATCCCAATGGCTTCAAGCATACCAGCACACCCCAGTGCTGCTTCTATTGCAGCCCGTGAACTTAGCCGGCAACAGCTAGAAGCTTCCATAGAACGTGTAGCTAAGCTGATAAATGTGTCAAAAAAGCCAGTCCTTTATGTTGGTCAGGGTCTCAGTGCCCGTCCAGAGGGACCTGTTTTGTTGAAGGAGCTGGCTGATAAGGCTAATATCCCTGTCACCACAACCCTGCAAGGATTGGGCGGATTCGATGAGCTAGATCCAAAATCCCTGCACATGCTCGGAATGCACGGCTCCGCATATGCGAACATGGCCATGCAAGAAGCTGATCTGATCATCGCCATGGGTGCTCGCTTCGACGATCGTGTCACCGGAAACATCGCTAAGTTTGCTCCACAGGCCAAGGCTGCTGCTCTCGAAGGTCGTGGTGGTATCGTACATTTCGAGGTGATGCCCAAGAACATCAACAAAGTCGTTGAAGCCACCGAGGCTGTCGAAGGCGACTGTGCTGATAACCTTGCCATTCTTCTCCCTCACATTAACCCAGTTGCTGAACGACCAGAGTGGTTCGCACAGATCAATGACTGGAAAGCTCGCTTCCCGCTCTCTGCCTATGAGCGCCAGACGCCCGACAGCCTCATCAAACCACAGGCTGTGATTGAAAAGCTCAGTGAGATGACTGCTCACCGAAAGGATAAGACCGTCATCACCACTGGTGTTGGTCAGCATCAAATGTGGGCTGCTCAGCACTTCCGCTGGCGCCATCCGCGCTCAATGATCACCTCTGGTGGGTTGGGAACTATGGGCTACGGCCTGCCATCTGCCATTGGCGCCAAGGTTGCCCGACCCGATGCCCTTGTCATCGACATTGACGGTGACGCCTCCTTCAACATGACTCTCACCGAACTCTCGACTGCTGCCCAGTTCAACATCGGTGTCAAAGTCATCGTGCTCAACAACGAAGAACAGGGCATGGTCACACAATGGCAGAGTTTGTTCTATGAAGACAGATTCGCCCATACACATCAGCAGAATCCGGATTTCGTCAAGGTTTCAGAAGCCATGGGCGTCCAGGCTCGAAGATGCGTGACTCCTGATCAGGTAGAATCTAGCCTGCAATGGCTGATAAATAGTGAAGGCCCTGCACTGTTGGAAATCATGACCGATAAGAAGGTGCCTGTCCTACCAATGGTTCCTGCTGGAAAGGCGCTGCACGAGTTCTTGGTATATGATGAAGGTATGATTGATACATAAAATAAAGCCCACGCAAGATACGAAACTAACTTCTTTCTCAATATAGCGAAAGAAAAAGAACGAAGAGCCATAATGAAGAAGCGATCTGGACATTAATCATCCTATGTCCCCCTCTCTGCTTGTTGCGGTCTTTATCATTCTTTTCTTTCTTGATAGCGCCCTGGGTTCTAAGCTGCCCCATTCGCTTTTTATCTACTTCTTCATATACTCTTTAACTCCCCGCGGTCTTACGTTGCGGGTCACCCGTGTCCATATTGCATATTTCCTATGTTCCCTGCGTTTGATTTTGGTACCCAAGGTGTTTTTCTTCTATCAATGTGCTATTTCAGCTTCAGCTTCTTTTGCCTCTTTCGGGTCGGTCTGGCGAACAAAAAAATTTTCTTAGCAAAATGCACATCTTCCTTGATTTGAATTACTTGAGCTGTGAGATAAACTTGCATACCGACGCCCTACATGGGGTAAATCACTATATGGACGTTTTATATTTCTCAGATGTTTTGTGATACCTTTACCGTCGTTACGTAGTAGGTGCTGACCGTCATGTACAGCTCTTAGCGGGAAACCGGCTCTAATATCTGAAGCATTTTGTTAGGTGGTACGAACAAATCACCGAGTTGAGGCTGAAATTTAGCTTTAGGATAAAATAAACGTTAGTTTGTTAGCAAGCCTGGTTATTTATAGCTATTCTAGCCTAAACCTTGTTGACTAGCTAACCAGCAAGTGAACCCCCTACTGAGAACACAAGACTTACTTTCTATATTTGGGATATTATATGTAGTTACCATATCTAGAAATTTTTAATAGCCACTTAGAGGCGCGCGATACAGCATTAATGGGATGATTTTATACACAAGCCACAGCCTGCATTGGTTGTTGAAACTTTGGTTAGCTACCCCCGATTTAGAGCGAAAACCGACTGGCTCTAAATTCGATAAAAATTACAACAGTTGGTTTAGCCATCCAATTTAGATCATCCACTTACGAGACTCGAGTTAAGGAAGGATTAACCATCAAACAATTGTACTTGGGGAAGGGGAGCACCATTCCTCTTATATCACATGTGGGGTACAGTATTTGGTACAGAACATGGGTTGATCCTCGAACAAACAACGGAAGTTAAGCTGCTGTTTATCTCGCAAGTTACTAGAAGCACCACTAAATATTACACGCATCATTGTGAAATTCACCATAAGAGTATTGCATGCCTGTGGCTGACGTTCCGTGTATCAAAGGTCATAAAAACCAAGTACAAAAGGTGGTTGGTATCAGTGCAGTGCCGAAAATAACAACTGCTCTTCCCTCTCTGTAGAAATCCTTTTTTTGTTTCCAAAATTACGAGCAGATCTAAAGCTTCAGGGGGAAAAAATAATGTATTCCCATAAGGGTAAGTTTGGTAAGATAGAGTTTAAAGGCACCAGGGGTATTCATGTGTTTATGGTCAGAAGAGTGATTCAAATTCGGAACCATTTTAATCTAGAGTGGTGGTTATGCAAGAAATTAGAAGTAGATTCTTTAGTTGAAACATATTTCTCGCTTCCATACACTCTGCATGAATACATTTCTTTTTTTTTTGTGACGTCGTAGGCTAGGCCGAAAGTACAGTCACGTGATTATGTTTCCAGCCGCGGCAAGAGCCTTCGCTTCGTAGGAAATCAACATCGATCTGCTTTATCTTTCTTGTTCAACATGCATCACTCCGTTGTTTCTGAACGATGACCACCTCCCTGCGAGACATTTTCCGATTATCAACACTCGATTAGTTTTATATCTTGAAGAATTCTCGGTAATAGCCAACGTCGAACCGGGTTGCATCTACCGCACCTATGGAGTCGCTTTCACCACCCCCCATAACACCGAGCAGCCCACCAGAGTCGAGCCACGACTTTTCTACTATAGAGCACGGCTCGCAGGAGGAGGATATTGATCAGGGGCCTAGTCGTGATGAACATCCCGTTGAGAACGAAACCGAAGAACCCGTCATACCGGTTTGCCACGGCGCACGAATAGTCGATTCTGACAGTGACGATGTTGCACCTAATATACCAGTACCTGAAGGAATGACACACATACTGTCTGAAAGAGAGTTGGAAGCGATCAGCATAAATAATGAACTGTCTACGTCGAATATGTTTCCCACCGGACTCGCGACATCGGCGAATGAAAATGATCTTCGGAAATGCTGGATATGTTATACCGACGAATCAGAGGATTCCCCCCTAAATACAGAATGGCGGTCTCCCTGCCCATGCGCATTAAGTGCGCATGAGGCATGCTTACTAGACTGGCTCGCGGACATGGAGAATACGGAAGGCCCTAATGTGCACCAGGAGGGGGCCATGATGCTCTGCCCTCAGTGCAAATCAGAGATTCACATGTCACGGCCACATAACCTGATCCTTGACCTCGCGCGTAAATGTGAGGGAACGCTTAACCGCCTAGTACTTCCGGGAGTAGCATTTACGCTGGTAGGAACAGTTTGGGCTGGATGCTGTGCGCATGGTGTATACTCGATGTACCTTATTTTCGGCAGGGAGACTACAATACGGTTACTTGAAGAAGCGGCACAAGGGCCTTTTGGCATTCGTCTAAACCTCGGTCTTCCATTGATACCGATATCATTGATGTTCTCAAGAACTCAATATGCCGATAGCCTGCTACCCGTGATTCCTGTTCTGTTTTTCGCTGCCCACCATCCATATCACCAGGAAATGGATCTTCAGTTGTGGCCGCCAAGTGCATCTATGACATTTGCGGCATTACCATACATTAAAAGTCTTTATAACTTACTATATAAGAGACTATTTGGTGACTTGGAAAAGAAGTGGATCTCGACAGTGCGGACTCGAATAAACGCAGACGAGGATAATGTGCGCGGGCCAAGGCGCCATCGTAATGCCCAAAATGGTCAAGCAGAGGGTGAGGTAATTATGGAGATCGAACTACAAATGGGCATTGGGGCTAACGACGGACAAAATGGCGAAGAAGAGGAGGATACTGACGACAATGGCCATCAAGTTAATCAAGTCATGGCAAGACGTCAAGGTGACGTGCTCCGTGAAACCACCAATCTTGCAGACATCATACTCGGAGCCTTGGTTTTCCCAGCTATCTCTGCTGGCATGGGTGGACTACTGAAGCTAGCTCTACCGAAAGCATGGACAACCCCTCCTCTTCTATACGAGAGAGGTAGGCCATGGTTTCTCCAAACAAGATGGGGAAGAAGTGTTATTGGTGGCTGTGCATTCATCCTCCTCAAGGATGCCTTTTTGCTTTACTGCCGGTACAAGCGTGCCCGTTTACACACTCAACGAGTAATATTGAATTACGACAAGAAGACAAAAAAGCCAGTCTTCCCACGATAGGGCATAGGCACATACATGTATAACCAACGGAAGTTTGCATTTTACCGGCGTTACTAAGTATTTTGTTAAATTAGACTGCTGCTATGCTCGAGCTGATCGAAACATTGCTTATCTGCACATAAACATGATGTTCGTAAAGCCAGTGCATCACTACTTAGAGTTTATCGCGTTTAATTCTGCCAGCCTCGTGACCTACGCGCTTATTTTGAAATCTGCTTAGCTCAGCAACTTACAAAACTTCTTTGAGCCATCTTGAAGGGCAGTAGAGAAAACCGCGATTTACGGTAGAGACGCATCGCATCTTTTCCATTGCGCAACATAAGGGCTGTGATCACCCGGCTCATGCTAAGTTTCACACCTATTGCTTTCCTGCCGCAGCCATGAGACAGCATTTTTCGCCCGTTGTCAACTCGCTCGCGAGTGTGTTCAGAATTTCATCTCGGCCTTCACCCTTTCAACAACCAGGTCTTCTGAGCCAAACATGCAAGAACACACTCGCCCCAGGCTCAATTATATCATCCGTCAATGCCCTCAGACCATTTTCTTCTAGCTCGACATTACAAGCTAGAAAAGGTCCTGTAAAAACCGACAAGCGAGTTAGTACGTATATATCATCATTACCTGACCTGCCAGACCATTCTAGTATTCATTCAAAAGACTAACTTCCTTCTCTTACTTAGCCTTAATCCGTTATTTCCTCAACCACCCACTCACACCGCGTCCGCTCCATTTCTCACGCAACCGATATCTACGCCACTGGACGATCCATCGAGCCTGGCAATTATACAGTGCTAAACAGCGCAAGGCACAGCAATTGGAGCTTGAACGTCAGTGGGCTAGCATGAAAGATGCATGCGAGGAACTCCGTACTGGTGTTGGTGATGGTGGGAGACTGTTCCGCACTTCGATGAACAAGAAGGGGGTGTTTTCAGACGGTATCCCAATTGAATATGGACGACTACAGACAGACAGTCCGAGCAAGGACGGGTGGGATTATGCTTGGAAGCCTTGATAGCTGACGAAATACCAGGGCTGGTCATATATTCTTTTCCTTTTTTTTTGTCGTGGCTCTTGGGCTTACTTGATCCCATAAACCAACCGAGACAGGCAAATTCGGGATCGAATGAATGTATATTAGATAACCATGATAAGGCAAATGGTTTTTGTATTATCATTAGTGGGTTTAATGGAGTAGAATATATTAACATCGTTTTCTACTTCATCAACACTTTGTTCTATGGTTGCCCTACAAACTTTTACACCTATATATATGGACTTGGGCACCATAGGTTGGCCATCTAATAAGTTTTATTGCAAATTGAGGAACGACAACGAGACGATTGTATTTAAAGTGACCATTAAGTGATAAAGTACTTGGAAAACTAACGAGAAGGAAGACGAGCTGAGCACAAAAGACACAAGTGACAGAAAGGAAAAACCAGGCCTAAGTAAGTATATAAAAACACCCCAGAATAAACACCACGTGATGCAAACAGGATAAAGTAATTCCATGATAACACAAGTCATAGAACCGGGAGAAAGGCTCCTGTGCCTCCGTCCTTATTCCAGCCACCCATTTTGAAAGAAAGTCATGTTGATAATCGTTTTGGAAGTCGAAGAGGGTAATAAACAGATGTCGGATGCGGGTTCACTTGAGCCCTATTGGATGTCATGGTTATGATAGCTAGCGGTCGGGCCGACTGTAGCTGTTTCAACGCTGAGTGTCGAAGAAAAAGAAGCGAGCCGCGATGCCTGTGGCCAGTGCGGTTGCTGTAAGCGGGTATTTTATAAGATTACACAGCATGGACCTCTGGTCTTTCCAAACGTCAACAGGGCGGCGCGTGTGGCAGCCTCGAACACGTCATCTACGCCCTCGCCGGTGAGAGAAGAGCATTCAAGGTATTTTCTAGCTCCGATCTCAGCGGCGGCCTCACTGCCGTCTCTTGGGGAGACAAAGCGTTGTGACTTCTTCCTCATTTCTTCGATAGCAAGTGGATCTTCTCGGAGATCCTTCTTCAGTCCTACCAGTATGATAGGGACATCTGGGCAACGCTCATTTGCCTCCTCAATCCACTAGTTGGTCTTGTTAGAAGGGACAATAACCTTGTGACAGCAGTTATACAAGGTGACAAACCTTGTGTTTGACGTTTTCCAGTGAATCCGGGGTATCGACTGAAAACGCGATTAGGAGGACATGTGCCTTCGAGTATGCTAGCGGGCGAAGTCGTTCGTAATCCTCCTGTCCTGCAGTATCCCACAAAGCAAGCTGTACCGATCGACCGTCTACTCGGCAGTCTGTGACGTAGTTCTCGAACACCGTGGGCACCTTTTGATGACAAGGAAGTAAGAACGCTGCCAGGAGGTGGTATCAAGCTTAGTCCATGCATTACTTACATAGTGCTATAGGCAGAAGATACGGAGTTAGTTTATCTGTAATCAAACAGGAGTTCAGATCCAAGGGAGATTGCACTTACTGTAGGGAAATAGCCCAGTGTGAAGACACTGAGAAGACTAGTCTTCCCACACGCACCGTCCCCTATTATTACCAGCTTCCTATTATTAACCCGGTCAGCATATCGACTCGGAGAATAAAATCTCTTGCCCACGGGATATCGTGATGGCCCTCCCAAGAGCGGGAAAAAAAAGAAGACTTCTGACTGAAATGCAGTCATCCATCGGGATCTTATTTTTTATGAGACATCCTTGCCACGCACGCACCTTCGCATAACATTGTCTGCCTGTTGCTGCGCCATTTGTAAGGGGGAAAACGAGCAGCGAGGAGATGAACGGCGACGGTCTAATCAGAATTTGTAACGGTGCACTTTGGTTCTCGACAGTCGTAGAGAATGAACGGAGGAGTTTCTCGTGGAGATCGATGGATGGAGAGGTGGATTTGGAAGGGGTGGGTATCGGAACTATCAAACTCCCATGTCTGAGTGTCTAACACGAAGGCGAGCGGATGTCAGCTACGCTCCATCAGGTGAGGCTGCATGCTGGTGCTGGGCCCAAGGTTGGAACAAGCGGAGCATTATTATTTAGCTAGACAGGAACGTAATCACCTTAGCCAACCATATGCGCAATGGTGTCTTCCTCGTCTGCCTTGAGGATCTGGTGGACGAACAAGCACAGGCAGGGTCTCTAGAGGCTGTTGTTCTTCCTGCGGCCTTGCAGTGTCTCTTTCTCTCTTCTCGCTCTTTCTGAGATATTCCTGTCCTTTAATCCCACACAGACGGGCTTTATTTTATTTAGATGATGATGGTAAGAAGGAGAAAAAAAAGAAACAGTCCTCGCCTAGGAGAGTTTGTTTGTCAACGCCTTTTTTCCTCGTTCAAGAGAGGTTGTTGTAACTGTTGGGTAATACACGCTAAGAGGGCTGGATTAATATGATTAATATGACCAAGGGCGGGCAGTGAGTCTGTTGCACTGTTATTTTCCCGGGAGGCGGACCAGGTTTCAGTCTCGATCCTTCTTTGCTTTTCCTTCTTCTTCCTTTTTTCGTTAGCTTTCTGTCCTCATCACCTCCATGTGAACTTAGCATCAATTACCTTTAAATATTGAACATAATAGATCTTATTACCATCTTTTATTTATTTAGTTAACCTAAAAAAAAAACACAAAATACAAGGCGTACCGTGGTAGCGCCGAAAATTACAGACAACTGCGGCCAGGAACCCGCCCAAACTTACAGCCCTGCCGTATCAAAATTACGCTTCCCTGGCCACGTTTGGCGGTGAGCGAAAAAGCGCCAGGCGACGGTCGCTTGCCGCGTCTAATCTTGCCAGATTGGGTTGTCTTCGCTGCATTTTGCCGTTTGCACCACCCAATATCAAAAAGCGAAGCGGACGAAGAGGACGAAGTTAGCGACCAAAGCCGCCAGCGCGAGACGCATTCGTTTACCACCAGCTAGACTTCCTGGGCCCTTGCCAGCACCCGTGCCTGCCCTCGCTGTCCTTTCTCGCGGCGCCTGTTCTTTTTTTCGTTGGTCCTTGCTGGCGTCAAACCCCTTCTCCCCGCCCTCCGTCAACCTCGCGATACCTCCGGACCAGTTCACCTGTCTAAGCGCCCGGGAGAGCTTGCTCTGTTTCTCTCTGCCGCCTGTCGCCCCTCTGGAGGGCTTGCTCGAATCAGCTTAGAGGCTTCGGAGTAAGCACAGTCCTTCTTTCCGTGCCTTATCTCTCTTTTATCTCGTGCCTTTTTATTTTTCAACCTTCGGGGGAGAGAACCTTCAAATTTCGGTCGTCACTCCCGCACTTTAGAGGCGTTGCGTCTATTGCCTTACGCGCTTGCAGAAAAGTTAACGGGCCTAGCTTCCTTTCTCCTTAGGATAATGCCTTCCAACTCGAAACGAACAGCTACAGTGCCAGCAGGCACGTCGAGTCAAAATCCTACCTCCAGCACAGCTAAATTGAGCACCATCAGCACCCCAGCCAATGCTAGCAACACGACATCTACAATGCCACCTACAGAAGGCGTAAGTCCCGGTAGCTTGCCGGATAAGTGCTTGGTTAACCAGACATCAAATCTACAGGCTCCTACCGTCAACCGGAAGAAGCAAAAGAGGCGGCAGAAACAAGCTGCTCGTTTAGCCGCGGAGCAACAACGAAGTGATGCGTCCACCCCCACAAACAGAAACGGTCAAGATGTTAGCGATGGGTACGATACCGGCGCCAGGCATGGTCACACATGCAGCCCAACGCAGCAACATACGTTTAATGAGAAGGGCGAATCGATTGAGAACCCCGGGGCGTGGTATTCGGACGACGACCGGGATTTCCCACGCGGCCAACACGACAACCATCAACAACATATTAATAACAGTAATAATAACGATGGCAACTCAAGTCAACCCCAAAATAATGCTGGAAGCCGGAAGAGTAAAAAGAAGAAAGGCAAAAAGGGCCGGAATGGAGGCCAGGCCGCCGAAGGGAGCTCGTCTCACTCAACACCACCCCCTCCACCACCCCTTAATTCTTCGGCACGTCCTGTTGGAGTACCACCGCCCCTCGTCAACGCCTATCGATCAGCTCACAGAATATCCAAGGATCGCATATGGAACACGTCAACCCATGAAGAGCGGGAAAATATTAAAGAATTCTGGCTACAGCTAGGAGAAGAGGAACGCCGTTCGCTAGTAAAGGTTGAGAAGGAAGCTGTTTTACGGAAAATGAAAGAGCAGCAGAAACACTCCTGCAGCTGCACGGTATGCGGCAGGAAACGTACAGCCATTGAAGAGGAGCTCGAGGTATTATATGACGCATACTACGAGGAGCTGGAACAGTATGCCAACAATAACCAGGCCTCCTTTGAGAACGGCGCTTCGCTTCGACTACCTCCCCGCCTATACCAAACTCCTATTCGGTCTCTGCACCATCACCACCATCATCACCACCACTCTCACCCTCACCCTCACACCCACCCTCACTCCCACTCTCACTCTCATTCTCACTCTCATTCTCATGCTCATTCTCATTCTCACGCTCACGCTCACTCTCACTCTCACGCTCACTCTCACTCTCACGCTCACTCTCATATACCCCAACACCCATCACGAGGGCGGGTACATGAACTGCCAGAAGACGAAGAGGATGAGGAACTGGAGGAAGATTATGAAGACGAAGATGAGGAAGATGAGGAACCATACAGTGACGAAGATCTCGACGTAGATACTAGGACAACTAGGGCCGACTTCTTTGCCTTTGGAAATAGTCTAACAGTAAAGGGTAGGCTCTACTTTTTCTTTTCTTTCTTGATTCGTTATCGACTAGGGCTATGAAGGAGCACTAACGTATAATATTGCAGATGGAATCCTGACAGTGGCAGACGATTTACTAAAAAATGACGGCAAGCATTTCATTGATATGATGGAACAGTTGGCGGAACGGCGGATGCAGCGTGAGGAAGAGACACAGTATATCTCATCAGCAGGCCACCCGTCAATGCAAGCTGGTCATAATCATGGAGCCCCGTTAGACGACGAAGACTACGAGGATGACGAGGATGAAGACTATGATAGCCAGGAAGAGGATGAATTTGAGGAAGATGAAATGGTTTGTTTTAAGCAATGGTTTACAAACGTGATAGAGAGGATTTAGCATACTAATTACTTTACCACAGGATGCAATGACGGAGGAGCAACGAATGGAAGAAGGCCGGCGAATGTTCCAGATTTTTGCTGCTAGGATGTTCGAGCAACGGGTTTTAACAGCTTATCGAGAAAAGGTTGCGCGTGAACGACAGCAACGGCTCATAGAGGAACTCGAAGAAGAGAACCGGCTGGATGAAGAGCGTGAAGCAAAGAAGGCCAAAGAAGCCCAGAAGAAAAAGGACAAGAAGCGCCTACAGAAGCAAGCCAAGGATGAGGAGAAAGCTAGACGGGAGGCTGAACGAGCTGCCGAGCTAGCTGCTCAAAAAGCTGCGGAAGAGGCAAAACTCAAAGAGCAGCAGCGGAAGCGAGAAGAGCAACGGAAGAAAAAGGAGGCTGAGAAGAAAGCTCAGGAGGAAGAGCGGCTCCGGAAAGAAGCTGATCGGCAAAGACGGTTGAAGGAGGAGCGTGAGCGTCAGGCAGAGGCCGAAAGAAAGCAGCGAGAGCAAAAGGAGAAGGAGAAAAAGAAGCGCGAGGAGGCGAAGAAAAAGGAGCGGGAGGAACGAGAAGCCAAGGAAAAGGAGCAGCGAGAGCGAAAGGCCAAAGAAGAGCGTGAACAGAAGGCCAAAGCAGAGCAGGAGAAACGAGAAAAAGAAGTTGCTGCTGCCGCCGTGAGACCTGACCGTGAACACGTCAGACGGGAGGAGTTGGGACCTATACAGCTAGAGCAACATATGCCAGCTCAGGGCGCAAAGCGAGCTTCACAGACAGGAGTGGCATATTATCCTCCTGGACTTCACCATCCACAACCTCCAAATCTACTTCAATCGCCCCATTTCCAGGTTGCTACGCCTGTGATACCAAAAGCACCAACACCCGTTCGAGCTCGACAAGCTTCCCAGCAGGACTCTCACGCTTCATCACCCCGTTCTCAGCCCGCATACACCGATACTCTACACACCTCGATTTCTCCAGGAGCTGCGCATTCATCCGGTGCGTCCAGCGTTGTGTCGAATAAGGGAATGGCGCCGCATCCGAACAACCTTCACCACCCGCAACAAGTTGCACCTCTGTCACCTTTGGGAGGACCAGGTCGCGGTCAACCGCCCCCCGGATTCAATGCTTTGCCAAGTTTAAATGGCATTCCCGGTGCTGGGTTGCCAGGTATGGGACATCGTGGTTCTCTAAGCCATGAAGCTTCCCTGTATCCGAATCCCATTGCCAGTCAGTTTAGAGGAATTGGGTCACCCGAGGGCCTCTCTGCTCCACCCGGAATTGTCCCTAGACACGCTTCCCAAAGCAGAGGGTTTGGCCTGGACTCAAGCCACAACCCCCTGGCCTTCCATTCCCCGCTAATGACAGCTGGCACTCTCGGCCCACAACCCATCCAGATACCTCGTGAGAGCCTCTCACACGGGCATGCCCATACCAGTCAGCTCTCCGCGTCACTCGATAGGAGCGCCAACGAGCCTCTTCCACTCAATCAACCTATAGGGTCCCGCCCGGCCCCTATTCAACGGCCGTCAAGTATCGTTCACGATCATGGAAAGGACCGCTCAAAGTCAAGCCAGTCGGATGTCGATGAACTTAGTACTCAGCTAGGAAGTAGTGCGCTTTTGGATGATACGGACCTCCCGCTTAATACTGGGCTTTCACAACCAATACCTGCTCCAGGAACCGGAAGAATGGCGTTCGGGACGACTCCTTTATTCTCCGAATCATTAGGATGTAAGTTACATTCTACTAAGGCTAATCCGCTAATTTACATGCAATTTGATGTCTGACAATGTCCATTTTTAGCCGCCACTGCCTCAAACTTCCCCCTAGGAGCGCCATCGAGTGGTGGAACATGGGGCTCAGCAATCCCATTTGGACCTCCAGGATTCGCCAGTGCTGCGTCTTGGGGTGCCGGTCCAAGTAAGTTCTAACATCTTCAAACTTTTTCCGCCCTATTCAAGTACTAACGTACTAAAAGGTCCAACATGGTCCACTGGAGCTTTCGGTATTATTGGAAGACCTCACCATCCGCACACCCCAAGACCAGTCACGATCCGACTTCTGGTTAGTCAAGCGTGTAAGAAGCTCACAGCTAGCTCCCCTGAAAGCTCCGGTTTCCATAGCACAAACCAAGTCCTACGGCAAATCGAGCAGTTCAACCCACCACTTGACGTTCCGATCACTCTAGAAGAGATAGTGGATATCTGTGATACAGAGGGCAATTCACAGAACGGCGGCGGCTCCCTTATTGTCGATTATGCCGGATCCCGTGGGACCTTCATCAAATTCGAGCCCGAAAGTTCGAGCCCATTATCCGCCACTATGCCCAATACATCGCCTGGCGACATTGGCAGCCCAGTCCCGAGAAACAGCTACCCTGCCCACATAGGTAGCGGCGGCAGCGCTGGAGCTGGTGGTTCTAGTTCCAGATACTTTGCTTCCACCAATGTCCCTCCTCCCACTGGGTGCTGAGATACATGCTGTAAATACAGCATCAACTAGCCTCTATGGGAAGTCCTTGGCTTCTCTCTTTCAATATTTCCCTTCACGCTCCCCAGTCCTTCTTACGCCACTCCTAACATAGTCACAAGACGCCCTTATGATTCATTTTCCCTTTTCGCATCTCCTATCCTATCCTCTCTCGGCGCTCTTTAGGAGCTCTAGATACCAACGCTTTTTTCCTCGGTCTCTTTCCCTTTCCTCTCTAGCCATTGCAGTCTTCATCTGTTACTTGCTTTCGTGGTTCCATCTTTCAACCTCCTCTTTACCCCATCTTGCATTGTTACAATAACACCCCGGCTTTGCCCTTCTTTCCCTTCTTTGTTAAACGTTTCCCTGCTTAGGGTGCATACGAAATTTCCATGTACTCTACTTTCAGCAAGGGAAGCAAATAATGCTACTGGCTGGTATGCCGGTGGGCGCAGCTGGCATGCTGTAATGGGTAGTTCTCGTTTCTGCATTTTGCTCTTATGATGAATAATCAGATGCATGAGGCGTTTCAGCAATGAAATTCAGTTACCGCCCCCTTCTCAATTAGAGAACACTCTCTTTGATATTGTAACAGCAGCACTTGAAGTCTTCCCGTAGCGTACACAAATATCCAGGAACCAGGGACAAATAGCTGAAGCAGGAGGAACTAGCCTACCCGAAGAAGGAACATAGTAAATCTATTAAACGAATTACTGTTGCATTATACACTGGGCTACAGTGGTAGAGAACAGTGGGAGAAACAGGAAATTATATTATATCGTATCATCACCTTCTCCTAGCGTCTCGGTTCATTTACTGCCTCGGTGGCTCCGTCACAACTCCTTCCCACCCTCTAGATTTGATATAATCCAAAGTTCGTTCAAAATGGCGTCTAGGGCTTTCCAGGCTGGAACTTGGAACCCCTTCGGTCTGATTTGACTGGAGATTAGAATATATGAGCTCAATAAGGCCGTTGAGATATTTTGTCGTCACTGTCTCGTTTTGCTGGTCGAAATAGTAAACGTAGCGGTTCAATATCTCGATGAAAAGTTCAACTGATACAGCAGTGTCCATGCAAGCGTCTGCCACGCGAAGCGCTCGCTGAAGACATTCAAGGACACGTTTGCCATCGCGATAAACCTGTAAGATTAGAAACGTTAATTATAAACGAAATATATGCGATTGGTTTGAATAAGGAGAGACTCACAATGTTGGGTTCATCTCCCTCCTTCTGTGGGTTTTCAACAACCCACCAAAGATGACTTGCCAAATATACGGCACGGCACTGATCCGGCTTCTTCAGGAGCTTGCTACCATGAAGAGCAGCCTTGGTGATGAGAGTATCATAGTTTTCTCTTCCAAAGTTCCTGCACCCGTGCAATGCACTTGAAATGATACATACAGCTTGGAATTGCGCTCTCGAATCGCTAATAGAATCCTCGTAGACGGTAAAAGCCTGTGCGAAGAATTCATAGCTGACTTCTTCAAAGCCAGTTTCATCTGCTGTTTGCCCACAAAGTACAAAAAGGCGTAATGCAAGATCAGCACAACCAGAGTTCACACGCTGGTACAGACTGCTAATACACTGATGCATAAACCTAAAGAGTGCAGATGACTGAGATTGCCAATTATCATCAAAGTGCTCTCGGGCCTTGTACTTGCGAGCCAGCTTAATGGATGATGTTATTATTGATGGGGTGGTATATCTTATACGCTCATTACCATCCAAATAAGCTGTCCGCAATGCTTGTAATAGCTTTAAAAATAATTAGCCCGTTGTAAGAATGTTGACTGCTAAATAAGTAGAGCTTACCTTGAGTTGTGTATCGTTGTCCTGCCCTTGAACCAAATGGACTATTCGCGCCAGCCACCCTTGCTCTTCGATGGTCTCCTCGGTTTCACCTCCACGTCGTTGACTTTGAGCACCTGGGTAGCCAGCTGGTTGTTGCATCCCTTCCCTAATCAAAACTCGTAGAACCTGGAGGACGTTATCCAGGTTCTCAGGTGAAGCGATAAATATTCTATTTCGCAGAATATTCCGTGCGACTTCTCCGGCAACTGCTCGTCGGGTAGAGTACGATTGTGCAGCGAAGAAAGGGATATAGTTCGGAAGAGATAGCGCGGTGAATATAGAAACATATGACTGAAGAGGAGCAAGTAGAAGGTTTAATATACTTGACTGCGCAGGCGCAGAATGGAAGTCCGCGCTATCAGAGTGTTCGGTTGCGGTCTTTGTGGCGTACTGGAGCACTTGATCAACATATTCTTCTAGTGGTTAGCACATCATTATAAAAAGGCCGTGATGATAGATAAATACCTAGTCGGTCTGGATATATGTTTCTATACGGTCGTCAGCATTACTCTGGGGAAGTCACCAGTATATTTTGACTCACAAGGCAAGGTTCGTCAACGAAACCAAAAGGGCAATGGTATCTTGGATGGGAATTCCTCGAGTCTTAACTAGATTAAGCACTTGGTCGTAGAAAATTTCATAAAGTTTAACATTCCCTGGCAGAAAGGACGTTTCCTCATGGGCTTCTTGCTGGCCTTCCACAGTTGCTGGTTCAGTATCTTTGCCAGTTTCCCCTTCACTAGGCTTATTAATACTGTTTTCCGATTGCTGATTTCCATTTTCTTTATTTGCTGGTTTCTGTTCGTCTGAGGTTGGAGGAACTTCACCGCTTTCCTTTGAAAGTTGGAGGTTTTCCAATAGTCTTACCGTTGCCTCTTCCTCAGCCTTCTTTCTCACTTCGGGGTCATCGCTCTTTTCGGAGCCACGAGTTGCATAAGTTGAAAGCCTATCCATGAGACCAATAACAATTTTCTTCATGTCAACATGCGGGTTCAATCTTGCGATAGCAGATAACATTGAGTCCAACGTGTGTAGATGGTATTCATCCGGGAATACCTTGGTTATCACTGTAAAAATTTGTTAGCAGAGGTCCAGCAGAAATGGAACAATGCTCAAAAATTACCTTCCAGTAAGTACTCCTGCGCAAGAACATCTCGGCACTGAACTACCTGCTCCAGGAGAGGTTGCAGTATGACTGATTTGTATGCCTCTAGGTCAACCAGCTGGCTTAGACGAACAAGGTTGCTTCCAACAAGAAGTTCCAGTTCTTTTCTCTCCTGCGTTCGCTTCTCTCTTTCCCGGGAGTGGCCTTGGTGCTGTAACCGTACCCATAGTTTGTTCATTTCCACGAAATTGGTTAAAACAAAGTTGGTTGAATCCTGGAGGTTGCCTTGGGGTCCATCACCAGATCCCATGGGTAGATAATCCCGCGCCTGGTCAGAGAGATAATATCTCAAGAATAGTCCACGGATTGGATGTTGTACACCCCTACTCATTTCCATCATATCCTTCATAATTTCCTTAACCGGAGCATCTGGAATGGACATGTACACCGTACCCACGGTAATCATAAGATAGAGGCGGGGAACTATGTTTCCGGCATACTGAACTAGTTCATATAAATCCGCCAAGTGGTTCACCGGATGAGACTCTCGAAGGTAGTCCGACAAATGACGAAGCGCATCGAATACCGACATATACAATTCATAGTATTGCTTTGGTCCCAATGTGGGTGTCCGAAGCTCGGCTACTAGAGTAGATCTACCATTGATGGTTAAAAAGCGCATGTTAGCAATTGTACAATGTCCAAGGGATGTGCCAATATAGCAATCAAATATTGCGTCAGCCTAGTATAGAGGTTGACCGGCCTCCCGGACTCACCCGCATTTCAATGCATCCATCAACTTTCCAGGTGTTTCCAAGCATCTTCGCATCATATGCGACTGCTGTCGTACCACCCCAAGGGCCTCTTCCAGGAGGCGACTCTGGTCTTCTGGGACATGGGGGGCACTGGCCATCGTGGGCCGCAGAAGGTCTCCGATCTCGAATCCGGTGTTAAGTGCGCAAAGTGTATACCACCTTGAAGAGGAAATAGATAACGAATAATCAGTTAGAGATCACTAGGACGCAGTTAGCAGGAGAAAAGCTCATATCTATATCAAACAAGCTGGCTGTCGTCAAAAGCATCCTCCAACGGCCGAGTTGGAGTCTCTTGCCCAAGATGAGCTAAACAACGCTAAGCCGAAACAGGAAGCCATGGCGCTAGATCAGGAAGGGATGAATCTAATGCTGTTTTAGCTTAGTCATAGATTGCGTCTCCTTTTACCCGCCGCTTTTAGACAATAAATAGCGACTCCTGTCAACTCCCCGGATCTACTTGCTTTGGGGCATCTTCAAAAGTCGCTCCGGAGATACAGTGCGGAGGGCTGGCCGGTGATACGGAGTACATGGCTGAAGATTACCCGCATGACAAGGGGCTGAGTATGCTCCATGCTCTTAATTTGTCAGACTGAAATCATGGTTACGGCTTCCGGGCGGAAGATTCCAGTGGTTCATCTGGAGAAAGCTGGTGGCTGGGGATCCCAACCACCGCATTTCTTCATGGCGAGATGCACAAAACCAAGGGCTTCCGGACTTTATTCTCCTCGAAAGCAGAAGTGAAGTGACACTTGGTTTTTTTTATGACATTTCCTTTCTTTGTAGTCTTTCCGCCGATGATATCCTGTTTTCATGAAGTTCCTCCTAACGACATCCAAGAAGCTATTTAAAGGCATCTGGCTGATAGAATTATAAAACCTCCTAATACCACCTATCATTCTTCGAGATACAGAAGTATAGCTTGAGAACCACACCCTCAATTTGGCCAAAGCATACCATAAATATGCTGCTTAAGTTCAATAAGGCCTTGGTATCGGCCGCATTGCTCGCTCACCTATCGAGCTCGCTGCCGTTGATACCCCGTCTACCCCGGGGAGTACCTTACTCGGTCGTCCAAGTTGACGGAGGGCCTGAAACACCTACAACAGATGTACACGCAACAGTCACTGTTGATAAACCTGGGTCGACTCTACCTCCAGTCACCCATACGGCAACGATAACCCACACTATACGGCCACCCATTTCGACGACCACAACCACAACTGTCGCCTCGACGACATCTTGTACCTCTCCATCACCGACTACACACAAAACAACCATAACAACAACTACTCCTGCGCCAAGCACGTCAACATCCACTCCAAACACATCAGCTCCGACGTCAAGCTCTCCAACATCGACATCTACCACTACATCGTCGCGTCATGTTACCACAACAACCACATCTTCTATGCCTACGGCTACGACCCCTGGCACATCAACCAAGCCTACCTATGTGCCAACGCAATCCTCAACTGCTCCTACAACGACCGTCCCGCCAATATCCTCTCATATGCCTCTTCCAACGGGTTCAGCCACCAGCACTACCTCTATGACATTTTATATGCCCTCACTCATCTCCCATGCTGGTGCCTGAACTCCCCATTCCACCATGCAGCATTGAGGATACGCTATTCCATTCTAGAAGCCTGGTTCCTGCGGGGATCATACCACCACATAGATTATTAGGGCGACATGCTGCTTTCGAGCGGTACTAATACTTGAAGCGTTTTACACACATGCATTGACTGGAGTTATTTTGAGGTTGCTAAATTGTATCCTGGGGTTTTTATAATGTATTAGATGACAATGTGCCAGCCATTACACTACTGATGAGAAACATAAAATTTAATATGACTTAAAATCATTCTACATTGAAAGCTCTTACTATGTTTTACTCTTACTCCCACATATACAGATGGCTCTGGGTTTGTTTAATCCACATACATCCATCAAATGTCGAATTCGTGATTATGTAATATTGATGTTGCTACTTCGCATTTGGTAGTTAACTGATTAACTAAACATTTACACATTTTCATTGAACCATTTGAGCCTCAGTACAGTGGGAATACTCCCGCCAGTCTATATTGTTATATACCACGGTAAATTGACGCAGGAGAAAAGGCATGATACCCAGCCTAGAGCATGAGTGCAATGAGTGCAACCGGGCAACAGGTTGTCGCTACCGACGCCAACGGCACAAGTCCTAGGCCGGACCCAGACTATGAAGACGAGGTCGTTGCAGAATCCCCAGCATCTGAAGTTTCCGAAGAAGAATATGAAACAGATGAGGGTATTAATAAACGGCGGAAGAAGACGGGAAGGAACCCAGATCGGCGTAGGTCACCACTGATGATATTTCCTTTAAGTTTTATATTGGGGCTACGCCATTTCAACCTACACGCGTTGAGCTCCTAGCATTGCCTCAGTTCTATTTTCGGATATACTGCTAACCAGCAAAAACGTGGCCTCAGCACAAAAGCCAGACCAACCAAATACCCAAACGTATTCACGCGGCCTGCTAAAGCCGTCTAATCATTCCTCTAAGACTCTTCAACTGAGACTAACGTTCGGATCTGGGGACCAAGATATACTACCCATAATACATACTAGAGACTGTTGGTCAGGAGATTTAGACTTGACTTTTCCAAGCAGAGAAAGCCTTCAGAGGTGCATTGGCTGGAATCCGCGTGGGAGTAAGGACATATTTGGTGTTGACAGGGACATGAATATCCGCGAGACTACTACTGGATGGGATTGGTTTTATAATGATATAGGATCTCGATTTCGTGGGAAGCAGCAAATGTCAACTATCACCGAAAGTGTCGCCAATACCTATCTGCCCAGCCACGATATACCGAAGACAACTGTGTTGATCGGCCCATCAGATGCTCAAACTGCATACTTGATAGGACGTGGTCAATCATTTGATTTCTCTTCAGCATGGCCTTCTACAGAATCCATTGCCTTAAAACAGGAAGTGGAAGAAGCATCCAGCCTACAGGCAAATGAAGGAAGTACATCTGTGCCCAACCAGGTTAAAGTAAGGGAAGGGTGGATTGTGAACCTCGGAAATAGAATTCAATGCCTCAGTTGGGCCCCCAATTTCAACGGAAGCTCCCAATACCTAGCCATTGTAGCTCCCATCTTTGACTACCAGAAGGCACAGTTTGATGACGGAACTATCAAAGGTGCCCCTGCGTTCACACCATCGCCACCGTATCCTTCTGCAATCCAGATCTGGAGATTTGAAGCCAGGGAGTCAGGTGCTAGACTCCGCAGGCTGAACATGGACAAAAACCCGGCCTTGCATATGGTCATCTGCACCGAGTTTGGCACTATAAACCGCCTTTGCTGGTGCCCTATTTCCGTGAACCGTGATTCGAACGATGAAATTGATAGTAAGACCACGAAACCGGCCCTCTTGGCAGGGCTTTGGAGTGACGGGACAGTCAAGGTTTTTAACGTGGATTTAAGTAACAGCGATAATGAAACAAAGTACGGTATGTATAACATGTGTTACTCTCCTCCTTGAAGCCTGTCTAACATATTATTAGTTCGCCTGATAAGCCCTGCTTTTCAAGTTAGGCCTCCATCGACGATTTGTACTTGTTTCGCCTGGCTTTCACCTACAGATATAGCTATCGGGTGTGCAAACGGGTTTATTGGATTATGGAGCTTGGTCCAGTCAACCAGAAGCGAATCGTCCCTCAATCCCGAACCATATCTATATGTCCCTATCCACGACACCTACGTACTCAACATTGTTTCAGCTTACCCAACTTACCCCTACATTATCGCAGCAACGTCAATGGGTGGTCAGACGCGGCTAGTCTCCCTCATAGATCCAGCAGCAGAAGTGGCTGATGCCCTCCGGTTGAGGGTAGGGACTCAATGTCTCATTTACTCCCCTTTCTTGCGTTCTTTTATTACCAACGATGAGGGAGATTTTGTTCGCCTTCTTCCTCTCCGCCGCTTCTTTTCAAGCCTTGCCGCGCTTAAATCTAGGAGTATTATTACCTCATTAGCAACTGCGAGTTTACACCATCCATGCATTCTCGCAGGAAATGCAAGCGGAGCAGTGATGGGAAACAACCCCCTCCGAAAGCTAATTCATTCAAAGGAAAAACAGTGGCAGCAGACATGGTTTTCGCAGGAGTGGATTAACGGGGAGAATAACAGCATCACGCCGGGGCCAGTGGTTAAATTCTACGATGGTTTCAAGGCAGAGACAATCAGCCTAGCGAAAGGTTCATCGGGACAAGACAAGGAAACAGGCCAGGTGGGCATGATGACTGTATATGAAGAACAAACTGCCATCACAGCTATTGCCTGGAATTCAAACGAATCATGTGCTGGGTGGGCATGTGCCGGTATGGGGAGCGGTTTGCTCCGTGTGGAAGATTTGGCGCATGAATAGTTCGGGGTTACAACCTTCTACCTCCTGGTATATTTTGTGCCGGTGCTGTAGATAGGAATTCCTTCACCATATATATTATATATAGGAGTACTGGCCATTCTCTCCCCCATCATTGCTAATGTTCACACAAACCCTCTGTGACTCTGCTACTACTTAGAGATGAATGATAATTAGGATCTGATATGCCAATTTTAAGCTTTCCGCTCCAGGAAAATCCCTAGTTATTTTTAACTTTAAGGTTGCGGAACTTCCGTGCAGCAACGGACATCCCACCAACTTGTGCCGTCAGAGCGACGAGCAACCTTTGAATGTCACTATATAAAGGATACTTACAACACACATTGAAAGCAAATATCTATAAATTTAGCCCGAGAAAATAATTAACCATCAACGATAAGTTGTCGAGAAAATGGACGCAGAACCCCCCACAGCTGCGAGAGTTGGTGTTTTGCACCAATATGTATGGCCTATATATTACTCTCACTTCTGATAACCAGCTATCCTTTCAATATCTAGGGCGCAAGCTGATGTCAATTTTTAGTCTGCAGGTCTCAATTGTTTTGAATATAAATCAGACACGGCCAGCAAGGCGAAACCTCATGCATTGCTTCTGATTGCGGGGCTCTCGGATGGACTGTGTACCGTACCATTTATGAATGACTTGGCTGGATCTCTTGAATCAACAAAGTGGTCCGTGTTCTTTGTCATGCTCTCATCCTCGCATACCGGATGGGGTATGAGTAGTCTTGACAAGGATGTGGAAGAGCTGGGACGATGCATCGACTACGTCAAAGCCCTCAAAGCGCGTGAAAACCAGGGTGAATCCGAGCTTGCTAAGATTGCAATAATGGGGCATTCGACGGGAAGCCAGGATGTTTTGCATTATCTCTACACTCAGGCTCCAGAGCAGACAAGGCCAGCAGTGGACGGCGCTATTCTCCAAGCACCAGTCTCCGATAGAGAGTCCACTCTCTCCATTCTCGAGACCGGAACCGCCAGTGACTCTGCGGAGGTTATAAACGAAATCTTCTATGAATTGGTTGATGTTGCGAAGTCGAACCCGAATGAGAAAGATAATGGCTACATTTTGCCCATTGCTCTGACGTCACGTATTGGGTTTCCGTCGAACGTTGCGGTTAGTAGCAAGAGATTTTTGAGCCTAACCAGCCCAGATAGCCCGGAATCACCCCTGGAGGATGATCTATTTAGCTCTGATCTTGAAGATAAAAGACTGCAAGAGACGTTCGGTATGATTGGAAAACGTGGCTATTTGAAAGGATCAATCCTTGTGTTGCCTGGCGGTTCTGATGAATATATTCCAGAATGGGTGGATATGGAGAGTTTAATCAAGAGGTGGGAAACCGCTACTAAGGCCGGCAGTGATAATCCCGCCATCTGGGACGAGAGTTGCGGCGTTGTCCCTGGAGCAAGACACTCTCCACAAGGGAAATGGCAAGTTAAGCCTATACAGGACCTGCTCTCGAGAGTTCAGGGATTTCTCACTAGACTTGAAAAACATTGAAACAACATGAAGGCCTAGGAATATAATAGAAGTCTAAATCTGCTTTATTGGGTATTCTATTTCGACATATCAAAGCAGTTATTAAAAGAGTTTAGTAACATTCCAGGCCAGAACTTCATAGTGAAAAAAGGACAACGATCCCCCATTGATAACTGTGCCTGTAACCTGACCCTCTGATGACCCCATATTTCGCCGCGCACGAAGGAAAATGGCCCATTGAAAAAGAAGAAAGAAGAAAGGTGAAAAATTGAAAGGTCATCTCAGTTGCATTAAACCTTGAGCCACAGTGTGAAGACACCCTTGAGATATTCAACGATCTCTTCACCACCAAGCTTGCTTTCACCGTAGACACGGTCGACAAAGGTAATAGGACATTCTTCAACTTTGTATCCCATTGCCTTTGCACGAACCATCATCTCCATCTGGAAGGTGTACCCTTTGCTCTCGGTAACCTTGATAACTTTCTCAAGAACAGGTTTCTTGTAGAGACGGAAACTACCGGTCAGGTCGCTGACACCTGGCATCAATGCAACATCGGCAATCAAGTTGGCTCCACGGGATGTAAGTTTTCGGATCAGGTCCCATCCATACACGCCACCACGCAGGTTTCCACGCGAGGCATATCTAGTTCCAGTGACAATATCGGCCTTGGTGCTCTCCTGAATCTTGATCATCTCAGGGATGAATTTGGGGTGGTGACTGAAGTCGGCATCCATAATGATGATGAAGTTTCCGGTAGCAAACTTAAGACCGTGAACATATGCGGTTCCAAGGCCGAGCTTGCCTTCGCGAGGCTTCAAGACGATGTGTTGCTCGCCATAGGCAGCCTGGAGCTGCTTTGCAACCTCGATAGTACCGTCGGGGGAACCATCGTCGACAATAATGACCTCCCAGTTAAGCTTGCTGGATAATTTTAAAATCCTCACATTAGTATATCAAATCTAAACGTAGAATTGGCGCGATAGACTGGAGGGGCTAGATAAGGGGGAGAGGGGGGACAGTCGACACTCACTTCTCACGGAAAGTCTTCTCAATCAACCAGCAGATGATTGGAAGATTCTTACGCTCATTGTAGGTAGGCAGAATAACGGAGTATTTATTTGTAGGTGACATCTTTAAATGTGACGGAATTGGTGTTTGTTCAAACTGCGATTCGGCTTCTTGGTCCACGGCTTCTAAGGTTGGTCGATATCGAGGGCCCCGGCCGGGCATGCGGAACTCGCTATCACGCTATTAGACAAGGCGAAATAAAAAGAAAGACAGAAGAGGGCAGTGGGAAAAGAGCGTCTTTCAAGCAAATCTTCGGTGGCTAGCTTGTCGATTGGCTTGCTGGCTTGTTTGATGCTTGCATGTCTTTCTCCCAAGAAACAAGTTGATGAAGTAATCAAGGGGCTCACGTGGTCCGTGCACTCACCGCCTGGCAGAAATCCTCTTTTTTCCGTCCAAGCTTTCCATCTTAGCTTGTTTGTGCTGGGAGGATGGACATATAAGCTGTTGCAGGTTGAGGAACAGCAGATAGTTGGTAAGAGAGAGAGAGAGAGAGAGAGAGTGTGTGTGTGTGTGTGTCAGTGTAAGTGTGCTTTACGTGTTCATCATGGAACCCTCCGGTTCACAGCATCGGCGGAATGTCTCTGTAAAAGGTATGTCTGCCCATCTTGGTCTACTTAGAGCAGCATACTGACATGATAGCCCAGCTACTCGGCCGCGCAGCTCAACAAAGGGGCCGTTGGATATCCCAGATGAGTATGATCTGACCTTACTAAGTGCTCTGCTTGGCTTCTCTAATAGATTTATTTTATTACAGGCTAGATACCCCTTCTTCAGCTTCGGCTGCCTGCTCAGGTAAACGGGATTCCAAGAGCGGTGTCTTACCGCTCCGCCCTACAAAAGACTCAATTACATCACCCCGGGATAGCCTACATATCCAGGTGAACCAGAACTTCTCTTTCCTGCTCCGGCCTGAGATATTCCACCCTCTCTCGCAGTTAGAAATACCCCTTTCCTTCCGTTCAGACTTCCCAAGCCTTCTGCCGGGCCAGCCATTGGAGTCAGCACTACAACAGCTCAACGATCTATCAAAAAGTGGCCATTTCCTTCCTGCAGCGCATTATGCTGCTACAATCCTGACCTCCAACCTGATAGCTTCCAATGATTATTCCACGATATTTTCCCTCTTGTATACTCGCCTGACCTGCCTTCAGCTTACGGGGAATACCATCCTGGCTGCGCAGGAATCAAAAGCCCTGCAAGACTTGAATTCTTCATTCTACTATGTAGACGTCAAACCTGATCTTCCAAAGGAGGATTCTGGTAACTCTCAGGAAAGCCCGGGAAAGACTCACCTTGCTCCCTGGCCGCTTCGTGTTATTGCCGTAAGACTGCAAAGTATTGGATTCGGCGATGCCAGGAGAGGTATATCCGGACTTTATGAACTTGGATTAGAAGCTAGGAGATATATCATACGCCCTGATGCCGCGCCTGAGGAAAGAGCCTTGTGGAAAGACAGACTAGCTGATCTGGGTATCCGTGTTGTTAATGCTTTGGTTGAAATGGGTGACCTGGAAGCTGCTCGCCGGTCTCTGGCTAGTATGACTTCACCATCCAAGACTAACCCCCATGGATTGCAACAGAGAGCGCTTTTGCACCTACGGGTAGGAGACGTAGATTCCGCGAAGGACTTATTTTCCGGCGCATCCAGCCTATCAGCCAGCATTGTTGAGCCATTATTGAAAATGGCCGAGGGTAAATTCGATGAAGCCGTTACCGGTTGGAACGACATTCTCCAAACCTACTCTGGCACGGACGATGAGGTTCTCATCAAACAAAACCTTGCAGTCTGCCTTTTGTATGTTGGGAACCTAAAACAGGTAAGGCTGAACTTCCCTATAGCTGAGATATCCCCTTATCTTTTTCGTTTCTTTTTTATACCAGCTTGGAGGGAGGCTAACTCCTTCTATCAAGTCACGCGAAATCCTGGAGTCACTTGTCGATGACCGCAACTCTTTTCAAAGCCTCACTTTTAATTTAGCCACGGTGTACGAACTTTGCTCGGAGAATTCAGGAGCCCTCAAGGCATCATTAACAGAACGGGTAGCGGGGCATCCCCAGTCAGAGCATCGCAATTGGGAAATACCAAACGGCGCCTTTAAGATCTAGATCTCTTATTGGAGTATATTTTTATTTTTGTTTTCATTTATTATTTTTACTTTCTATCGGTTGACTGTCGAATTATCATATTTCTTTCGTTCAGAAGGCCTGTTTGCATGCATTAGTCCAATACCCTAGTATGGTTAACCACCTATCGCCTATAGGGTTGGAACTGTCATACCTTTGATTCCCAGGCTGGTCAATTTCACAATGCGACCGTCTCTTTTGGCAGAACATTTCCCACCACCGATAATGGATAATGGCCCTTGGCCCTCGGATGCCAACTGGGTACGTGCTTGTTCACGCGGCCTTGGGTTTCCTAATCCGGATTATGGCTCTATCCCCTTCTCTCCTCCATCCGATGCCTTCCATCTCAACCAACTCCTCCCACGTGCAGCCGTCTGGTGAACCCGTACAACATTCGATGATAAACCGTATGTCCGCCCACAAGTAGGTTTTCGCGATAGCCTTGAGAGCTCTCCGTCGCACATAAGGGTCAGACCAGCTCATCAGCGACCTCGTATACCCATCCACATTCCTTCCGGCTCTCCAATAGAGTACCCAATTGGCATGGAGAATGGCAGAAATGACGTTATCGACAGTGCGGTTATAATATCCAAAGGCGTTTCTAGACTTTGTGCGGAGTTCAAACACAAGCTCCCAGTCAAACCGCCGGCAGGCATAGTCGAGAATGAGGTAGGAGGTAAACTCGTGCAAATCAGATTCACTCAGAGCGCTCGACGGTTCGTTTAGCTCCTCAATCAAACGCTTCAGCGGAGGAAAATATGACGGAGGGTGTCCCGAGAGGATACCCATTCGAATGCAGAATATGTGGACTTTCTGTGCAAACTCTAAGGGGGTCTTGGACGCGGTTGCAACGACGCCTTCTCGCAATTTGCGGAGTGATAGGAGTAGCACGCTGAGGTCCTTTGATGCTGAATCGGCCAAGGTCTCAGGTCGAGTGGACTTGTTTTGTGTCTGGCCAGATTGAGACCCTTGATTAGCGACAGGAGCATTGGCGACTGGCGGATTCTTAGTTGCATCTTCGGACGGATATTTGGGAAGGGAGTCAAAGGCCGCATCAATGTCACTTGAGTAGTCGTTGCAGAATTTCAAGTACCGCTCCATGATTCTCTCGTAATATGCAAACTGCGCCTTCACGTCCAGCAACCTGTCAAAACAGGGAACAATTAGCCACCACGACGCAATAAAAAAGGGAGAAGAACGAAAAAAAAAACGCTCCCCAGGGGCGTCCTACACGGTATCTCCCTTAGAAACGAATCCTGCCTGGTCTAATGGATCGAGGACCGGCTCTTTCAGTCGTTTCCTGGAGGGAGAGGAATTGGTCGACCGTGGACCCTCCATGGCTCGGGCTAGATTCAAAGCAAGGAGTGAGCACTCGAACCACCCAGCCGTGAACAGACGCGACCTCACTGCCCAAGCCGCAGCTTTGGCTGACTTCTTCGTCCACGTCCTCGTCCTCGTCCTCGTTCTCGTTGTTGGTCTTGCTTACCGTCGACTTTCTCCCACAGCCATGATGACCTCAAGCGCGCCGCCAGTTTGCACTGTTTGCAGGGTTTCACGTGGTGATAAGGAGATGTTGAGAAAGATGTTGAGATAAGGAAGGCAAAAGAGATAAAAGAGACGCTGAACAGTTCACTGCTGGCTGTTGGTATCAGTGTCAAGGAGAAGAGGGTTCTGTGAGAGGAAGAAGAAGAGAAGGACAGGAAAACAAACAAGGAAGAAAGAAAATGTCTGTTTTGCAGCGCCGAGCAGTCACCACTGCAACCGCCGCTGTCTACAGGAGGGAAGAGGCAGAGACAGAGGCAGCGCAGCAGGTGGAAGTGCTCAAGATAGTGGAGGAGGAAGTGAGCTGGACAGCTACTGTCCACTGGGATGCCCTGCCTCACTGGCTGCAGGATAACCAACACATCCATACCGGCTACCGGCCTGCCTCTTCCTCATTCCTGCGGAGCTTTCACTCGCTGACCTACGTCCACAATGAAACTGTCAACATCTATACCCACCTGCTCCCGGCCATCCTTACCATACCGATGTCGTTCATCCTCTACCAGGCTCTTTCGCCACGATACCACACAGCAACTCCGGCGGATATAGTCGTGTTCAGCTGTTTCTTCGCTGGTGCGGCGTTCTGTCTCGGGATGAGCGCCCTATACCATACGATATCAAACCACTCGCCGTGGGTCGCTTACATCGGTAACGCATGCGACTACCTTGGAATAATAGGTCTGATCACCGGCAGCTTCATACCCAGTATCTACTATGGCTTTTACTGTATGCCACAGTTCCAGAGACTGTACTGGGGTATGATTGTGGTCCTAGGAGCTGGATGTGCAGCCGTTGCGACAATCCCACGTTTCCGTGCACCGGCCCTCCGGCCTATTCGAGCAGCCATGTTCGTAGCCTTGGGCCTCTCTGCTATATTTCCTGTTACGCATGGTGTGGTTGTGCTTGGATTTAGCCAGGCGCGCCAGCAGATTGGACTGGACTGGATGATAACGCAAGGAGTGCTCTATATCACTGGTGCAGCTATATATGCTGCCAGGGTACCCGAGTGCCTACATCCGGGCAAGTACGACATTATCGGGCACTCGCATCAGATATTCCACGTCCTAGTCGTCCTTGCGGCCGGCGCCCACCTGACTGGCCTCCTGAACGCCTTTGATTACCGACACAGCCTAGCGATTCAATGCTGACTGACCTAGGAGACAGCAAGCGCCTTCCAAACGCCTTCCAACCTATGTAAATTATAGCTACTAGACGATAAGTATTAATAGAACATTAATAGAATATTGGTACTCAGACTCAAAGTCGCCTTCCTCGTCTCTCTACCTCTGGCAAATCAGCACAATGGCGCTCTCTCGTGTAATATTGACGGACAATCCTGATGCCTCCTTTCGGCATTTTCGGGTGTTTCGTCCAGTCGCAGCTTTGGCTGGACCTCGGCATTTCCCCTTTCTTGGCTTGCTTGGAGACAAACAAACCACCTTCTTTTACACCGCATGCCCGGATAGCCGACTACATCTTCGTATTGTTTACACTTCGAGCTGCTCACTTCGTTCTTATAGAACCCATATATCATTTGTTCCTCGTGCAATTACAATATACCTTCTATTCTTACCCATATATCCCTACTTTTGCTCTAAAATTCACCAACCAGGAAACCGGAACAGTCGCAATGGCTCCTCAAGAACGTCTGACCCAGGTCTCTGCGCATCTCAACTACCCCCAGGGCATGCTCGCCGGTCAGGTGGCAATTATAACCGGATCAGGGCAAGGAATAGGAGCGGAGGCTGCTAGGCTTTTCGCCAACGAGGGCGCCAAAGTAGTCGTTGCTGACCTTGACAGCTGTCAGTAAGATCTTATCCAATAACTATTTAGAAAGGATGAATATGCTATGGGCCAATCTGGTAGACATTGGGAGAGATAGAGAAAGCTCATGACTGAATGATACCATATAGCCAAAGCAGAGGCCGTTGCCAAAGCAATCAATGATGCATCCCCGGGCAGAGCAATCGCCGTTGCTGGCGACGTCCAGGATGGTGCGTACCTGAAGAGACTCGTACAAAAGGCCGCCGAATTTGGGAACGGCAAGATCCATATCCTCGTAAACAACGCTGGATTCACCTGGGACGGAGTCATCCACAAGGTGCCGTATACCCCCAATACTGTATACGTTTTCGGCATTCTCGATATTGATGTGCATGGAGTTACTGACTTTCAACACGAAACACACTATAGCTTACCGATAAGCAATGGGACACCATCATTGCCGTTCATGCCACTGCTCCTTTCAAACTTGTACAGGCCGCAGCTCCATATTTCCGCGTAAAGGATGGTGAACCAAGAATAATCGTGAACATCAGCAGTACCAGCGGGATTCATGGAAACGCGTATGTCACACCCCATCATCGTTTGCCCCGTTTCTCTGACTTGAAACTTGAAAGAGGGGAGATGGTTAAATATATGGTATCTAACCAAACACTTCTTCAGTGGACAAGCAAACTATGCAGTTGGAAAGGCAGGTATGGTCGGCCTGACCAAAACCATTGCTAAAGAATGGGGACCAAAATTCGGTGTGCGAGCTAACACCATCGCCTTTGGATTTGTCCTCACTCGATTGACTCAGGCAAAGGAGACTGGGGCCTTCATCACCACTCCAGACGGCGAGAAGGTTGCTCTCGGCATTCCCGGCTCTCAGCTGCCTACTCAGACCAAGGAGTCCGAGGAGGCCTACGCTGATATTCCCCTTCGACGAGCGGCGAGTGCAACGGAGGCGGCAAGGTCTATTCTCGGTGTCTGCAGCCCACTGCTTAGCTATGTCAATGGCCAAACCATAATGGTCACTGGAGGAAGGAATATGTAGAGGCGGAAAGGGCAGGCGGAGTAATAGAACAAGGCACACCCCTTTTCCTTCTCTCCCTGTTGCTTAATTGACTAAATATACTCCATGCTTTATGCACCTTCCATGTACACATCACTGAAGCTAATGGTAAGTTCTTACCCACGGCTATATCTCCCCGGCAGTTGCTCCTTGTCCACCCTGGGTATACTTAAAAGCCTTATTTGGGTTCCAACCGCATTGGTTTATCACCCCTGGCAAGTTCGAGGATTCTTGTAGGGGGCAGATGCAAACTGCATGATTTAAAATATGTTTAAACCTTGGACCAACCGATTTATTTCCATGGTGGGTTACGGATATCACCCTAAGAACTCACTGGTTGAAATGCATTCATTGTCTTTCTAAACCCAGCAGCCTTATGACAGGGGTCGTAAGAAAGGTCGAGAATGAGTATTTTCCCTTTTTGAATCCCTTATAGTCCTCTCGGCTATAGACAGGATATATATATATGTCTGTGTATTGAATATCAACCTTTTTGATATTACATTCCTGTCCTTACCACTTCAACTGCAGGCAAATGAAGGCCTTGATATGCCTTGAACTTAAGAGGTGTTAGGTAGTTATTTATTCGCCAGGTATTTCCATTATTTTTTTCTTTAAAATAAAAGGCTTAGATAAAGTATCCGCAACGGAAGGACTCCATACATGTAATAGTATGGATGCATATAGCTATGCAGCTTGTCTATCATGCACCAAGGCCATGCCCCCCACAAAGCAGACGGGGATTCAGCAAACGAGCCACGATATCTTGCAGCTGGACGCCTGGATGCATTGTCAGATGGGAGATACAGAAGAACCCTTGAGCCGGCAGTCGGCAGGGTGACAGCCTTGGTTTTTGCCTGGCAACCAGCCAGCAGACAGTCATGGCAGCGATGATTAAGAAAAAATATGCACCTTCTACTTCATCTCCCCTGCTATGCTGCTGCCAGCGTATCTCCCCGTCGGTTTACTTACTAGGGGTATTGAGAAACGTCGCGTGATTTTCGTGCACTCCATGTGATCCCTTCATCCGCATATGTATATACATTCATCCATGCCGTCTGCTGGAAGGTGAGCCGGCTGCCCAATATAGATATATGTCAAAAAGTCAGTAGGTGGACATAAAAAGGATAAAATGTCTTGAACTATGCAGGGAAACAAGAGCCAGCCATGCAATCAAATTATGCGTGATATACTCCGTACTTAGAGCATATGGTAGCTATTCAACATGTTGAACGAATGCCCCTGGCCCGGGAGGCGGTTGTTTGGAGCGAGCGCCCTTCATCAACCAGCCGTTCAGTCCATGTACGGGCTCACGTCTCACGTATCAAGAATCGAGCAACCTTCTTTACTAGGTACACTCGTTAACTAGCTATCTCTGTGCCGCAAGGATAGACTTCCTTTCGTCTCTTCTTGAAGAGCGAAAAAGAAACGAAGATCGAAGAGACAGCATGAGCTTCGCCCCCACGGCTGCATCTTTCTTCAAGCCAAATCACCAAATAACGGGGTTGCGCCCCGCCTGGCTGCAATGGAAATGTACGGATGACCAACCGAGTCAATAGTAGGCCGTCTCTGGCTGCAAAGGTCTGCTGCGTCTATGTTGACTGTGTTTGAGAACTGGCCTGCGTCAGCAAAAGGTGCCAGAGAGAAGATGGCCAGCGGCGAGCGTTGCCCAAGTGGCTTGATCTCCCTGGGACAGTCTATCAGCTTGTCGATCTGTCGTCGCTAGTGAAGGATGGAACCATGGCCCCGAACTAGTCTTTACGAGGTGTACTATACGGGAGACTTCTCTCTGCACATCTCGCATCGTCTTGAAGATGAAAAGTCCTCGTTTGCCAAAAAGGGGTTGGAGTCCAGCGCCCCGAGATGGAGAAATTGAATTGGTACATAACTACACCCGGACCCGAACACGTCGAAAATAAAAACGAAGAAAAAAGAAAAGGGGAGAAGATCCAGATGGGGCTATTTCTCTAAACTAGCTCTTGGGGATGTCATTCTGATGAAGAAGTGTTGAAATAGATCCCGCTAGAGAGAGCTCGAGTCCCCTGTATCTGAATACGGAGAATGGATGGACAGACGGAGACACAAGAGTAGCAAAAGGATGGGGCACAGCGAACAGACTGATCTGATCCCGTAACTAACTCTCTTCCTGGGGCTGGCTGCCTCGCACTGGAGAAAAGAAAAGGGACGGCGAGGCTGCGAGAAGGAAAGTCGGGCGTCAAGTTGGTCAGCAATAGTCAGCCATACTGTACACGAGTAGAGGAACCACATAAAATGCCATATAAGTCAGGCGTTAGGTATCATAGCCTCCTGTACACCAAGGCGTCCAGAAGGCTGTGCTACGTCTGGAAGTACGACCATTGTCCATATGCGAGGTAGAATCGTCAAGGAGCTGATCAGTCTATAAGTATTTATATTGACTGTCCATTATATACATTAGGGGGAATGAGGAACGTATATGTATTTAATTGCTCGCTCATCCCACAGATCTTCCTTCCGCTTCACGGGTAGTTCCCGTGGTGCAAAGATGAGTAAAATAAGGGTTTTTTGTTGAACATATAAATTCTGGGTATCAGTTTCGAAAGCGAGAATTTCATCATCCCATCAAAACGCAAAAAAAGGCACACACCCGCAAATAAACCTCTATTGGTAAATGGTAAGGGGAGAAAAAAGGCAACCAAAAAAGTGAGTAGGCCTCCAGATGCATCTTAAAACAACCCGCATGAGTACACACAAAAGAGTATTCCGCCTCCCGGATAAGTATTTGAAAGAAAACGCCCCCAAAAGAAACAACCAAGAACAGATCCGCTTCGGGGATTTCAACATGAAAAACGCCAGAACAGTTATTTCGTCATTTTCGTCCGTCCCAAATAAAAAAAAACCAAGACAAGCCGTATTGTTGAACGTAATACAAGTGACACGAAAATGGATAGGCTGCCAAAGAGAAAAAAATAAAAAAAAGATCAGCCTCCACAAGATGGATATATTATGTAGGGAAAGGAGAAAGGCAAAGTAGCGATTGTATCAAGACAAGTGTTGAAATGGAGAAGTGATGCCCATGAAATTCGTCAAACGCTAGCTGGAATGAGCAGAAATTGAAGAAACATTTTCCGGGAGCGTAATATTTTTGTTCTCTGGGTAGAGGGAGTGGCCGCTTGTCAGCTAAAATCCAATCCGGAAACCGCAGTAATGAAAACAAAGTAGAAAGGGCTCCGTCCGTAAAAGAAAAACTCCGTGGTCTTGTTGGGAGGGTTCCATCGGATGAATATTAAACTGGTTAAGAAACGTATATTCCAAAACTGAGAAAGAATAATTGCAAGGAGATTCGTTGGCGTAAATTAAAAATCGAAATCCTGACGAGATTAAGATTGAACGGTGATAGGCATCGGTTGTTCCAAAGGCCTATGTCGGGCGGTCAACTTCTGCCCAGGGTGGTTGATAGGAATAAAAGAGCCCCAGAAGTTGGGTGGAATAACAGCAGGGACAAATCGGTGTTGGAAGTTGCTCGTTGACTCGGTGGAAGAGCATGAGGAGATGGAGTCGTCGTCAGACAAGGAGGTGTCAGAAACAGCTGAGCTTGAGTATTGTGGTTCGATGAGTTCAGCTGCTGGTGGGGATGGAGGGTAAGTGTTGTTGAATGGCACAAATTCCACTGGCTCCTTAAGGCACTGCAAGCTCTGCGTTGGAGGAGTGACCACTGGTGTGAGGACTGGGGCCGATGGGCGGACAGTAAACCTTGGACATTCCAGGATCAGTTTGCGCAGCTCTGGGATTGTGATTCTCTTTTGAGGATCACATTCAAAGATGCGTCGTAGGATGGCATTGAGTTCCACGGATAGTGGGAGGATTGTCCTTAGGAACTGTGGGTTCTTCAGGTAGGCCAAAAAGGTAGCGTCCTCTGGAGAGGCTCGTTTCCAGGGGTTACGACCGCAAGATAGGTTTACTAGGATAACTCCAAGGCTCCAAACGTCGTTGGGGGCAGAAGCATAAGCAGCTGGGGTAGATTGTTGGCACTCTATTCTGACTGTTAATAAAAATGACTTATAAACCCAATTACGAGGTGAATACATACCAGGAGACATGTAGAATGTGGAGCCGCAGCCAAAGTCGGACGTATAGGCATCTGTGGTCGCGAGGCCGAAGTCTGCAAGTTTAACGTTCATGCCGCGGTCAGACACCAAGATGTTTTCTGGCTTCAGGTCCCGATGATAGATCCCTATACTGTGGCAGAATTCAACGGCATCCAAAATCTGGAGGAAGGCCCTCTTTGCTAGGAAATCATTTCCTACGAAGTGGCCTCGTTCGGTGATATTGGAAAATAGATCGCCCTCTGGACAGAACTCGATCACAACAAAAGTACAATCATGAGAATCCATGATGCGGACCAAAGAAACAACGTTGGGATGATGGCTGGCCATATGATGTAATTTGATTTCCCGTTGTTGGAACTTTCGCTGTCTGGGATCCAAGCCGGCCTTGTTCAGTGCCTTGACAGCATAGGGAATATTTGTCTGAATATCGATTGCAGAGTATACCACTCCATAAGCACCTACCCCGAGTATGCCGGTGAGCTCTAGTCGATTGGCTAGGAGTAGCCCAAGCTTATCCTCTGGAGCATCGCAATAGGAGATTGGTTGAGGAGACTGTGGTGGAGTTGGGAGATGCATGGCCTGTTGTACCTCGAAGGGGCGAAGGACGTTGTGGACGTATGAAGTGGTTGATGGATGGCAATAAGGAGAAGGTAGACGGGGGTATTCCAAAGTCCAGTTGCTGGCAATGTGGTCCAAAATAAAAGCTTCCAAGAAAACAAGTAAATGAACCCTTTTGTCGATAACTCCAGCAGAGAAAAAAGGATGTATATTAAAAGAGAGAGTAAGAGGGTGGGGGATGTTCCTATGGCTCAGGAGTCCATCTGGCCCGTTATCAATCTTGAGAGGGAAGGTAGGGTAGGTAGAAGGGCAGAGTAATATAAGGCACGAAACAAAAAGAATGAAAGGTGATATATATCTCTGCGGCTAAGTATGGTTTTGCTTGAGAAGGTTTAAGGTCCCTGGTGGATGGTTGGCTTGGAGGTCCAGAACTGGTGGATGAGGCGAAAAAGGGTAAAACGGCAGAGACGGGTATTTTTAAATCAAGGCGAAGCGGAGGCGATATGGACCGGAAGGAGCTGGCCAAGTAAAGCACTAGGGCGATGATGACAGTCGTAGAAGGGGGGAGAAATAGGAAGAGCCAGATCCAGAGCCGGGAGAGGAGTGATGGGGTGAGAGACGAAGATTTGGGTTTAAAAGGACCGTGATCAAAGAGTTTGAAAACAGGAAAAGGAACGTGCAAGGGGAGAGGAAATGGACGAAGTGAAGGGCGAGACGGGAAGGATATAGATGAATATGATGATGAGTGTGTCCGAGCATGGATAGGTACATATATCGGAGGAAGATAGAAATGCCGAGAGGGAGCAGCGGGCCTCCCAGGGTTAGTGTTGAATCGTCACTGCTCGCTCATCTCTCACACACCACACAACTCTCTCCCTATCGCTGGCTGGGGGGAGGCAGGCAGGCAGGTGGTGGCGGGAAATACCTCTATCTGAGGGTACCGCAAGCGGCTTCGGATTAAAGATGGAGATGGGGCATGATTGGCGCAGAGTCGGTCCTTCACGCAGCTTAGCTCCGTAAGAAACAAGGCGGACCAGGCTCCATGGGGGACGAGCGAAAGGGAACGCCACTGCCAGATGGTCCATGGGTCACACCTGTTGCAAAAGAAAAAGAAACCAGAAGGAAAAAGAAACGACGGGAAAAAGGAAGAAGAGGGAAGAAGAAGATGGAGATGTATAACAGGAAAAAGCAAAGCTGCAAGGCGCCCGCCAATGGCTAGTCTGTGCCAGCCATCCTCGCAAGAGCAAGACAGCGCGAATGAAATTGCACTGCAGCTGGGAAGCAAGCCCGGGCGTGGGTCTTCCACACACACTCTCTCTCTCTCCTTTCGCTGACTGCCCTCTGCTGCCGCTGCTACTTCTTCATCTTCTGCCTTTTTCCGTCCTATGAGTCCCCGGCTGTTATCCCTCCCTGGTCCAAAAGGGAGAGACGGCGGGTCAATGCAGTGGCTGCATAGTAAAAAAAAAAAAGAGAGCAGCCAGAGAACGAAAAACGATCGTTACCCCCTTTCTCCTTTCGCTCAGAAGGGCGCTAATCATGCACATATCCCTCTCTGCTCGGCCTGCTCGCTCTGTTCTCTGTCTTCGTTCTTTTTCCTCTTCTTTCTTTTCTTTTTTCCTTGTCTCTTTTTGAGCCCCTACATGGTGCTCCCGTATACGGAGTATGTTATCGTAGCTTGTGCACCGAAGTTTGCGGTGGTCGACTATGAGTGTTACCTAATCTAGCACAGCCAATGGGGTTCGAGGGCATGTTGGCCCTATGATGAAACTAGCCGTGTCCACATCATATAGAAGACAGGCTGCTTCTCCACCCAGGGATGTTTCGGCTGAATCAGGATTTCTTGACAACGGTTGCGTATATATGTACGAGTTCTCTGTCATATAGGGGCGATGGGTGGTCGAGCGAGAACGTAAAAAAGGAGCAGGGCAAGCTTAACTAAGCGCCAATCTCGGTCTTCCTGGTCGTCCCTTATTGGAAGCTGAATGGTGCCTTTTCCTTTCGTTCCCTGACGTGGGCCTTTATTCCTTTTTTTTTTTTTTGCGTCAACTCCCCCAGTCGTGAGACGAAACAGGTCAAAGATCGATGGTGTTTTCTGGAACGAATCAAACGGCAGGCAAGATGGCAAATCGAGACACACGAAGCCAGGATATTGTGGACAGTGCCGTGTGGCCCGTGGAGATTTACCTCTACGGTGGAGCATGGCTTTCTCTTTTCTTCTTTCCTCTCGTCTTCATATTCTTTGGGCTCTGATGTCAGCATCTCTGTCCAACCTGGTTCAGAAAAAAGGCAGAAGAGAAAAACAGTCCAGTTCGAAGGAGCAACAGCAGAAGGAAAAAGAAACGAAAGCAAACACAGTTCGCTTTATGGAAGAGAGAGACAAGGGAAAGGGAAAGTTAAATGCTGGGCTAGTTGGCCGAGCTTCAAGTATTACATTATGCAGGATGGATGTTGGGTGTGCATGGTTGTATACGGAGCATGAAGCCATCATCAATCTCTGAGTGACTCCAAATTATTGACCTTGTTGTTTTGAGGCAAAACATAACCGTCATCCCTTAAGGCCAAAAGCCTGGTTATGGGGAACAAGAGTGCGAAATTAGCTGCCTTGGATGCCCTTCTTCCTGCGTGATGACAGGTGGCATTGCATAGCGCCCTTCTTCGTCCTCTCCCCGGCCCTTGGGTCTTCTTTCAACTGACTAGTTTAGCGACTCGCAGTGCAGAGCATGTACGGAGTACTTAGAGTAGAGCTGGCCGAAAGGGTTGATTTGATGATGATGATGAGTGAGAGACTCGACATGCAGAGTTGGTACGATGCGAGGCTTGCGGAGCTTCGGCATGCGCTGTGGATAATTAAGAGTAGCGATTATTGGGGAGACCAGGAGGCTTGTGGTCTTGGTGGTGCGCTTCGAAGCTTGGTCATGATGATGATAGCCCTCTTGACACGAATCAACAACAACCAAAAAGAAAGAAGTCGATCTGTTTCCCTTGGGGCTTGGTTGTCCTTGCTTGCGTAGATTCCATCACTCTGCGCTGGCCCCGGGAACTTTGCAAAAAGCAATCTGATTCATTATCATGGTTGTTATAAATTTCTGTGCTTTTTTTTTTTATTAAATTTTTGCATGCACGACACTGCCCCTGTACCATGTTGGATGATCGGGCTGAAATCTAACTGGTGACCTTGGGCTTTTTTTTCGAACACGGCTGGTGACCTTGTATTGGTTTCAGTGCTAGGATCGTGCGGAGAATCCCCTGGGCTTCGATAGACCATCACCATATTAAATGAAATCTCTCTCTTACACGTATTTCTATTTCTGGCGGTGTCATCCTCATTCTCTTTTCCACTTTAAGAAACTTTTTTTTGCTTCTTCTGCTGCTGCTGATGTCCAGGCGAGAATTTTTGGCTGGAAGGAAAGCAGCTCAAAGCAACTTAGTATTGTGCCTGATTCGCTGGCAGAGGTGACTAGGAGATTATGCGAAGTTTATTGTGGCAATTGTCATTGGGCGGCTTCAGGAGAAGGATGCTGCTCATCTGATCTCGGTGATCAAAAGGTGTGAGAATTTCTCTTCCACGCATTCAGGAACCACCGTTCAGGTTGTTGGGACATGACTTGCTGGAGATTTCCTCCGTCAAACAAAGTCTGAGGAGATGCCATGTCGGTGAAGCCCCTTTCTACGGAGTATCTTAACGGAGTACACCTGTCGCTTGCAACTTATTCACTCCGTAGCCCCGTATCCGTACTTTATGCAGAAGGGCTGTCCAGGCTATTTGCATCAGCAGGTTGAATCAACAAAGAATAGTTTATGTTCGTGGCCGTGGCTAGTTTCTTGATACCTTCCATAGTCCTCTTCGCCATCGTAACGTAGTTATGCCCGAAGGCTAGAAAATGAAAAGAGCACATCAGTAGGAAGATCCCTGCCAAGACCTGTCGCCTCTTATCGACTGCTTGTAGCGCATGAATGCCCGTTTTCTTATGGGCTCGGTCAGTATTCTCCGTGCTCAAGGGCAAGGGAGGGCTCCAGGGCAAGGCGCGCCAAAGCGATGGTTTGTCCAACACCCTTGACAAGGCCGCTAGTTGACGTTGACTAACAAGGAGAAAAAGCAACACACGCATCCTTATCGATGATGGTCGAGGAGTTATCTGCCCTTCCTCCACCACAACTCCCCACCCTTCCCCATTCCATGGCACCACCTTAACTGGTGCCGAAGAGTCACAATACCCAGCTAATCCCGGAATAGGCAATTTTGCATCCATCATCCGAAGGGGAAGAGCAGAGGACGGATTGTGGCTGATTTCCTGTCCATTGGTTGATTACGGGCCCATCCCTGCGTAAGATGCTTCGAGTCCCTCGCATAAATTAAGTTGAAGGTCCAAGCCAACAGAGGATACGTGGAAGGATGAACCTCGTCACTGTCCTACATACGTCCTGCGTCTGCGTCTGTCTGTCCATCTATTTGTCTGATGTGCGTGTGTGTGTGTGTCGATGGCGGACTGGTGGAGAGAAGCTGACGGTGTATGGAACCTGGCCCGGCGACTCGAACATGGACATGGATACTTCATGACATGGGGCGGAGAGCGACTGAAAAGGGCAGGCCTAAGTCTTGGTCAATCATGTTGACCATGTCAACACCGTTCAGTCAGAGCCTGGATACGGCTTGCTACCAAATAATGGTCTAGCTTGCTGTTGACGTATGAATAACGTACGCTGGACTCGAACCACCACCATGGTTCGTTCGCGCTTTCACGGGTGAGCCTGGTTCTTGGGCTGAGGCTCGTTCTCGTTCCGTGATAACAACCAACTCCTTGGGGCCTCTTTGCCTCGCACGGCCAAGTCACCATGAAATGGGAGGCAGTCGTTAGTTTCTTCCTCCTTCTTTGACCAGCCTTCTCGAGTCCACACTACTCGCTAGTCCTCGTTGGAGAGAGGAACGCCGCATGAAGCGTGGTCACTAATGTACGATATACATGAGTTATCACTGTGATCTGGACTCCACCGAATACGGCATCTCGCTGCATAATTAGATCCTGCCACGCATAAAAAAACAACACTAGACATGAGCTGAATCTAAATGGAGTACTCGACCTGCTGATCGTGTGTAAAAGCAGGAGGTACCTCCATCCGTGGATTAAACCAATATCCCGAACTTGGCCTCTTGGATTTTACAGTTCCGTACAGGTGCAGATCGAAGGAGTGGAAGAGGGAGACGAGACGTACGGAGAAGAGCATTCTGCAACAAGCACTGATCTCACGTTATTCAGCCACCAGTTTATGCGTGAGCTTGGCAAGCTGTTCGAGTCGTCTCTATTTATATATACACACGCATTGTCAGCACACTATCTATATTAAACTCTCACTAATGTTCATCGAATTTCAAACCAGACTTGACGTACAGGTCGAGATGGCAAGGGTTCGTAAGGGGCCGGATGGTCATAAGACAGATAGGGAGGAAAAAAAAGCGTTGAAAGTCAGGCAACCAGCTCCCTGACCTGACTAGAAGTGGGCACAAGACGGCGTCAAGTCCTTTTGTCTCAAAGAAGCCCTGTCGGCTATTGAACCTCGTTTTCGCCTCGTTCTTCGTCTCGTTCTTCTCGTCTTTCTGTTTCTTTTCTGATGATGTTTCCTTTTGCCTCTTTCGGCGAGCTCCTTGTCTTACATAAGAAATAATATCATGTGACGCTTATTCATCCCGCCTTGCCCTTTTTGGGTGATGCTCTCCCTTTTTCTGCCCAGCCTCGGCTCGGCTCAACTTCGGCAGCTTGACACCGCCTTTTCGTCTTCTTCATTTTCAGCTTCAACCTCGCGCCACCTTTTTTGCTTCTTCTTCTTCTTCTTCTTCTCTCCTTATTCTTATCACCTTTTCTTTAACGACTCTAGAACTCTAGACCATATAAAAGGAAGAAAAAGTACGGAGTATGCAGGATGAAGTATAATAGGGGATATTATCTTGACGAAGGCGGAGTAAGGAGAGGGGAAACACGGGTCGGCCGTAGTTTGGCCCGGATCTGCTTCAGGTAGAACTCTGATGTGAGTTATCAACATCGCTTGCCATGGACCACGGCCCATGATACATCCGAAGGGAAAAAGAAAGAAGGATAGAAGAAGAAGAAGCCACTAAACACAGCCCTTCGTCTTGGACGGGAATAGCCTCTAAGAGGGTCGGAGAATTTGTCTCCAGTAGCGACGGAGCATCCATGGCCCTGACTATGGAGAACATGATGCTAAGATGCACCTCTCTGTATGTACTCCAGCCTTGGAAGGATTTCCGTCGCCTCGTATATGGAACGTTCCATTCGCTCGTCCTATCTCCTTCGGCATCGCCATCGTTGCATGAAAGCAAGGAGAAAATTTTCTTTTCTCCAAGATGACGTTGCAGTTTCTTTCTGACTGCTTTTCTCCCTTGAAAGAAGAAACCCTCCTCAGCTGCGCGACTGAAGGATAATATTCTAAGCGAGCAAATTGGGAAGCTCTAGGAGCGCCTCCTTGTGTCCTGGAGGACAAAATATCTCTGTGTGCGTCTTGCCCGTAAAGGAAGTACGGGAGGATCGTTGGACTCTTTTCTTCTTCCCTTCAAGACTAAGATTGAGGCCTTTTCTCCTGCATTGCTAAACGTGGGGAAAAGTATCCCTGACAGTGCTTTCAAGTACAGAGTACTTCGTCAAAATGCGAACACGCTCCAACCCTCTTTTGGCTGAGATGCCAACTCTTACGAGTGGGTGATTGGCCAGCATGGGAAGGATGTGGACAATGCTGTCGTCACGGAGGCTGCGAGATTCAGCCCCAGCCCATGCCCGCTTAACCTTTTTTCCATCCTTGCCGTGTTTGTCACTCTTTCACCATGCGTTTCAAGGCGGGCACACTTGCATATACATACACTCAGGCAATAATACAACTTCGCACTAGGCAGACGGGAAATCCATGTGCGAGGTTGGAGGGTCAAGTTAAAGCAGGATTGTATACATGTCAGAAAAAATTCTCGTATACAGATACACAAGCTCTTGACCACATGAAGTTTACAGCATCAACACCTGGAAAAGAAGTACTCCATACATCATCGTCAGCAAGGATATGACTAAGTTGTTCCAGAATCCCGCTCCAGAAGGGCCATGGACATGGAGATGCTATACATAGCGTGATATAAGAGCCATGGAGTAATGATCTTCTCTCCGAAGCATCTCCAAGGGTAACAAGCCACCCTCAGACACAGACATGCAAACTTCGTGAATATATACCGCAATCCCATGGATGGGGATTTAATTAAAGAACAATATTAAACCTCGGGATCTCTCGCAGCTGTCCTTGCAACCCGTTCCGTCCATGGTAGAGCAAGGGGTCCCAGCATCAAAGCGTAAGATTCAATTCGATGTGCATACTTATAGCTAACTGGACAGGCCATGAGATGGTGCCAGGGAATGGCTTGCACGTTGATCGACCGTGTTCCTTCTTTTGTTCCCTCCCAGCCTCCTTGCCCCGGCTGCTGGGGTTGTGGAGATGGAGAAGAAGTTACTCGATGCTAAATATGTTTACAAACGCACGGAGTATCCATGCTGGCTGTTGCGCGATTGTTCCTTTGCCCCTTTCCCGTTTGTAGTGGATATCTTGGACCAGCAAAAACGGGAGACAGGAGGAAATGCGCAGCCTGGGAAAGGATATCACTGGCCCCCTGCATATTGGCTTCGTTGGAGGTTTGGCCATTTGCGCGCACAACATTGATATTCGATATACGGCGTACATTCAAGTACATACGCTTGCTGAAAGCTGGCATGTGTGCGGATTGACACAGTTGCATGGGTTCTTGATAAAACACGTAAGTTCCTGCTGGACATCGAGTCCTCATCCTGGAGGAATGAACACCCGTGATTGGCACTTGACCAGATAGAAAAAAAGGAAATCGCACCACAGCATGGACTTTCTTTTCGCTCACACAGGATACTTGTGTTTAAATGTAGACGATTTAATATAGGTGCGTGAGTCTGTGTATATGCAACCACGGAACACTACAGGCGAGATTAAAGGTTTCATGCGGATCAAGATAGAAAGGGATATCGGAAGGTTGGTTATTCAACCCGTGTTTTCCTGCAAAGTCACTAACTACACTTCTTACAGTTACCCTTTTTAATTTATTATTAATTTATTTTTGCTTGAAGCTTCAAAAGAAAACGAACAACATCTCAATCACGCCTGGAGAATCGCCGTGACCATGTGTTTGCGCTGCCCGTCTCCCAGCCAGGCTGTTATTGTAGATTTCCACTCAAGATCTGTTTGGTTTCATACCAATAACCCCCAGCCATGGAGGAGTCGTCATCAATATCCGGCCCTCATCTTCCCGCTTGGCCATCTTTTTTCCCTGGGAATAGAAGGAGAATTGATACTACATGTTCAATACCCAGAGCCCAGCAACCTTAATGTATCAGGAGCTCACTTCAGACAGCCGGGAGGGTTTCTGGGAGGTCTCCTCCGTGCCCTATGCATGTCCCGCCCCTTTTCTCCCTCTCCCCCCAAGAGGCTGCCGAAGAAGGTTGGCCTAAAGAAACGCATGTTTGATCCTCAGTTGAGAAGCTACTTTATTGATTTTCCCTCACTGCATACTGAAGTTGTCGTTATGGCCACCCGCTTTGCTATCAGTTTCCACGGGATCGAGGCCTAGAAGTGCATCTGACATGCGCGTGGATGGTGTACTCCGTACAGCTTCGGTTTCGTCCGTATTCTTTGGGGAAGATGAAGAATTTGATATCCTACCATCAAGTGCTGTCGCCTCCCTTCACACCTACAGTAAAAGAAATCTCCTACTTCGGACTTCCTTTCTTTTTCTTATTTTTTTTGTTCCTCACCTCCTGTTGCCCATCTTGTCGGAAAAGTAGTCTGAAGTTGCTTTTTATTGATTCCCAAGCCCAAGGGAAGAGAATAGTGACCTCAGCTCGGGTTTCTCCTGCTCGCAGCCTACCATCGACTCAGCTCTCTAATAGGGGCACTGCTCTCGGCTTGAGCTGCCATGGACATCAACCCACGCATAGCCTTTCCTTTCCTAGGCCTGATTAGGCTATGGGCCTCAGGATAGCAAATATCTGTGCAACATCGCGTTAGCCCTATCTCAAGAGTGAAAGATAAAATAACATCTTCGAAGGTATTATCCTTTCCCCTTTTTTCCCGCATAGAGGGGGTTGGACGTCTTGGGCTGAGAGAAAGATGTGACTTGAGAGATGAGATCTGAGCTAAACTTGAGCCCTGCCCCCCTTCTCATGCATCTCCTGATCATCTCTATCGCCCACCAAATCCCCTCATCTTGCTCAAGGAACACACTATTCGAACGATGACACGTCAGTCCAATGATATCGCATGTGAGGACTTCCTACCGGCCTTTCCGTCCACCGAAAAGCCCGTCCAGCCACGATTCATGCAGTGACACGAACCTTAAAAGGGCACAGGATGTTTGATAGCTCTGATACTTTCCCTAGCGGCCAAAGATAATAATGGTCCAGACGCGTGTGTAGCCTATTCTGTTATCGTTGCCGTCTTAGTCCCGGGTACTCAAGCATAGACATACACTGCAGGAGGCTGTAAAAGGTAAAACCAGTCTATATGCAGATGTGCTTTGTAAACCGGTGCATGTTCCCATCCTGTCTGGGAATTCAAAGGCCACATCTAAACATAGCCATTTCATCCTTAATCCCTCTTGGACGTGGCTGCATAGTGATACGATGGAGCGTACGTCCTGGCTAGAAGCATGAGTACTCCGTACATGGCCATATTATTTCCGTACTTGGCCAGCAATTAACCCTCTGTCGAGTATGCCTATCGCTCCCCTGGCTGAAGATCATTATTTGCATGTCATGTGTGCTGTGCAGAGGAGGGAGAAAAGGAAAGACAGGGAGGTTGCCCTCGAGGAGTCATCAGTTAGTTAGCTAACCGATCTTCCCTGTAAAGACGTCGCAAAAGGAATAGGGGGAGAGCCATTCGTGCTATTCGTGTCAAACAGAGGACGCCCGTTTGCCCACTCACCGTGATGGCCAATATATGATCTGCTCAACCTGTATCACACCCTCTTGGTACTCTGTACTATTATTTCTCCGACTGGTCGGTCCACTGCTGCTGAGCCAGGACAGAAGTAGCACTGCCATAGCCGACGGCTGCCTCCAGCCCTTGCCTCTTGCATTTTCCTTGTGCATAGCACTAGCCCGACGCCGAAGGGCGCTGGGCGTTGTACAGAGCGGGCGATGGGATCTCCACGGCTCTGCATGAGGAATGAACAAGAGAGAGCAGAAAAATGCTTAGACGAAGCTCAGGGCACCACCTTAAACTGCCAAGCTTTTGCTAGTTTGCATTCTGGTGTGACATGGTGACATTTTGGATGCTTGCCAAAGGGGTCATCAGGGCGTTGATATTGGAGGGCGCCCGGCTGGCGTTACTGCTGATGCTGTAGCACAGAGTACGGAGTACAAAACGGCTTCCTTAGATGTGCGTTCCGTCGACACACCGCAGCATGCTGGTATGTCCAAAGTGAGTATCGCCGTGTACTCTGTAGTGGCTCTTTTCTACGACACTGCAGGGCACTTCTGTGTCCGTGACAATGCAACATGCAAAGTGGCAAACATCTTCCGCTCCTCAAAGACGATGGAGATGGAGAATAGATCCCTTTGCTTCCTCTTCCTCTCCTCCTTCCCTGGCATTCTTTCCCCTTCGGCCGTTGCCGGAAGTAACGTGTAGGCGATAACGGTTGCTTGCTATCTTGCATATCCGTTTGAGCAACCGAGCGACACTATTAATATTTTGCATATGACGCTATTTGCAATAGCTTGGGCCTATCTTTTCTTTTCCTCCTCCTGCTGTTCCTTGTCTCATTATTTCCTCAATATACCCAGCATCCGGAGTGTAGGTACGGGGTATGCGCGAACAATTACCGCAACGGGAACCATGTCCATCTCAAAAGAGAAGGGACCGGACGCAGTGCCGCCCGGTTATTGATAATGATGTGCGTATAAGGGCGTTCATATTAATCGATGACGGTTCCCACGTCATTCAGAACCATTCTAGACGGGGTCTGCTTTTGAGAAATTGGTTTCACAGCTTAAGACATATCAGATCTCATCTTCATACTTCCCGCTGGCACTGGCTGCCCACTTACTTATGCAGACATTTGAATATACAAGAACCTGCAAGGCGGGTTGGACTTGTTCTTGTCCGCGGAAGAGATATGTACGGTCGACCAAGTTGCTTGACATTTATTACCGGGGGCCGGGGCTGAGCGGTCCCTGTGAGATTACGTTTCCGCACCCGTGGCCTCAGCGTATCGTTGAAGAGTTCAATGGTGCATATCTGGTTCCCAGTTGCCCTGCTTGTACTCCGTATGGAGTATGGGCTGTGAAGCATCTTGGATCTTGGACCTTGCCCGAGCTCCCTCTACCACTGCCCTTTTTGCATTTGTTAATGCTCAACGGCCCCGTAGCTACATGGCCGCGTGGTTGCATTTTAAATTGATCTCCACACGTTTAATTTGATAACCTCTTGTTCTCTTTTGAAGCATGAAGCGCTTGGGGACCGTTGTGAGCTCACGATCTAAGAATATGATTCATCATCTTCAACAACGCTTCTCTTGCTATATGATTTTCAATCCCAGTCAATATTATAACATGAGTTTGCCCCATTCACCTGAAACGTACTATTAAACTGCGCCGGCTTCCCGGGCGCTTGACCAGGATGCTCCTTTTGTCCATCTGGAACCTTTCATAATTTCCCAGGCTGGATGCCTAAATTATCGCCGTTTCATACCTGGGATGCTGTCCCTGGACATTATTTTCCCGTCCGCTACCACTGCCGCTGCTGTCAATGCAAAGCCCTCTAAGCGAAGGAGGGAGAACAGCAGTTGACCGAATCCCGAGGGATCTCGCACGTAAGTATAACCTGCAAGGCTAAGTGAAACGCCTTTCTTTATTCTTGACGCCCGACTGCGACGTGGAACATGGCATGACTTCATCTTCGTGCTATTCATGCACTCGCATCTACAGCGCTTCTCCCCGTCGTCCCATGGCTATAGACCGAGAATGGCGGCCGGAAATCCTCCGTATGTTCGATTCATGCGAATAGGGCGTCAGCAGCTTCTTGTTAAGGTCTGTCTCTTCAACATGCCGCATGCACATGGAGTACATATTGCTTGCTCAGCTGAAATATACTGCCCTGTACTCCATACATCGGCCCTATTTTCACGATAACGCAGCATAGCCAGCATCCAGCATCGCCGGCCAGCATATCCCTAGTTTTACCTCGCCTGCCAATTTGACTTCTGCTCTGTACGTACCATGTAAAATCACACTGCGGCTGGTGTTTCGGCCGTTATGGATATTATCAGCAAGACTGTTAGTGAGATCCTTCAGCCAGCTACCAAAGTGCGCTTCGGCCGATGTTGAACCTTGGAAAATTGGTCGGTCAGGTGAGCAGCTGGAATCCCAATAGATCTTTCTCCTTCACCCGTTACAAGCGAGCAACATAAGGAGACAAACGGCCTCACTACGCCACGGGGCTTCCAGAATGTGACAAATGGTCGTTACGAGGTTGGCGGTTGACATACGTTCTTGTGTGGCGCACGTTGGGCGTATGACCTCTTGGATTATGCTAACTTAACGTCTTTTTGTCTTCATCGGCCGAGGATCGCTTGCAAAGAGCTTTTACACAGATAATAGTATATTCGATAGCTAGTGCACTGCTAAAGTTGTAAAAGAAACACTGAATTTTATATATAAATCCGTCCTATAGACAAAAGACACGGTATGTCTGTGTTACTACATATTCACAGTTACTGCGTTTCAAACGGACTAGGTAGTTGCATGCTTGAGACTTGCGGGACTCTCGGAATTCCTCAAAATTCACCAGCCTTCCGGAGATCGCCTGTATAGCCGGGTCAAACTTTGTTGTGCCTAGCAATGAATGGATGGCGAAGTGCTTCTGAAGGAGTACATCGTTTCTCTGGGTTCAGATTCAAACAACGGTCAAGGAGGTCAATGAACATCATGATCTCCTTGGACTCTGCATCATTCAGTCTTGCGCCTTTTCCAATCAACCGAGACTTTAGGTCTCGTGAGGGCTTCTTAAAGTCAAGAATCTTAGTCACCATGCGACCTGTAATCTTGTCTTCCTCCAGGCTGCGGAAATTGAGGAGGTCGTCAAAGTGTAGATGTGCTAATGTCGCGCGTCGTAGGAACTTTGGCGGGAATTTACCACGGCATTCCATGATGGACCGGAGCATCTGGTTGTTATTGCGTCCTGTAAAGAGTATTTTCCCAGAATAAAGCTCGAAGAGCGTGCAACCTATAGACCAGACGTCCAGGCTATGATCATACGGGATCCCAAGTATGATTTCAGGGGCTCGGTAGAATCGACTGACGAGATAAGGGGTTATCTCATTTTCTGAGGCGAGGGAGGCAGAGCCAAGATCACATATCTTGAGAAGGTTTCTATTCTCATTAACTAGGAGGTTGTCGGGCTTAATATCTGCGTGGAGGATGTTGCATTTGCGAAGAAGGCTTAACCCGAGGAACATTTGTTGAGCATACGCCCGGATGGCTCGTAGGTTGATACCAACGTCCCTACCGAATTTCTTGAGGACTTCGCGAAGGTTCATGCTGAGATTCTCAAAAACCATGCACAGGTGATTTTTATGGTCAAAATGCCTGTCAAACCTGATGATGTGCTTTTTATCGTCTGGGTCCGCGTTTTGTAGCAATTGTAGTATATCGATTTCCGTCATGCCTGCTTTCCTCATGGTATCATTGTTCCGAACAATCTTCACGGCCACTAATTTTCCTGTCTTCGAGTCTGTAGCACGGACAACGGAAGAGAACATCCCCTTGCCTAGAATTTGCTGGACGTGATACCGACCGTTGATCAACTCACCCAGCATGACATTGTAGTAACCCTCAGGGTCATCCCAATTATCAAGCATGCTCATATCAAGTTCCTGAGCCTTTGAAATCCCAGTTGGGCCATTTGGTCGCGTAGACGAAGGCGGTTCTTCAGCAAACATATCATCATCACCCTCAGCAAACATGTCGAAATCATCTTTGACATTTGCTGGATTTGATTCTTCTGCTTGTTGAACTATGGCAGTGGCAGGCTGGCCTGTCTTGGTCTCGTCATAAGAGGCCGCAGATATATCATCTCCAAAGTGCCGCTTGTCATGTCTCTTCTTATCCTCTCTCATATCAGACGTCGGGTCATAATCAGCTGCACAGGGCTCTTCCTTATTAATTCCGCTCCTATCCCGTAAATCTGTGTTGGCAAGGTCTTCATCCTTTGAAACCTCGAAGTTAGCAGGTGACTGCGAACCTGGGGTGTCAATGGGAGTTGCCATTGGTGACGGAGCGGATGATGCTATAGACTCGTTAGTTGTATTACTTGAATAGACGGTTACTGACGAAAATTCTTACCTGCTTCATCCGCATTCGGAGTAGGTTTAGCAGAGCCATTTGCTACAGAGTCGGACGGATTCACAGGCTTCAAGGCCTGGACAATAAGAGGCTTCGGAGCATCACGATACTTAGCCTTGATAGCTTCACGGCGTTTCCGCCTTTGTTCAATCAGAGTAGCTTCATCAACTGGTTCTATGGACATTTCAGTATCTGCGTCTTTGTCTTGAACAGATGGTCTAATAGGAAAAAGTTAGTAAACCCGTCAATGGATGAGTAAGATCTGAGTAGTATGATGGAACTTACTTCGCATCCTTGCTAGCTTCAGTGATGGAACGATTCTGCTGTATCTGAGATTCTCCATTTTCAGCCTTTTGTTTCCAAGTTTGAGCGCTAACTGAGGGATTTCCTCGTTCGCTCACTGACTGTTCTGTACACAACTTAATGCCCCCCTGCCCGCGAGCTATGCCCTTGCCATCTATTTCCGAGGCGTTGACTTCATCGCCAGAGTATTTTTTCTGACTTCTAGGATCTCGGTATGGGGAGCGGCTCCGTGTTCTAGGCCGCTTACCTGGTCTGTAATCGTCACTATACTGCAAGTCTCGGCTATCCCGGTCATAGCCATCGTTCTTATCATGATCGTAGTATGAGCGTTGGTTGTGTCTGCGAGAGCTTCCACGGCGATAGTAGTTGTCATCGTATGTGTCATTTGAGAACTTCACACGTCCCCCACGGCCGCCCCTATCATAGTCATAGTAGTCGTCTCGTCTTCGTTTTTCGCCTCGGGAAGATCTATAGTATGGCGAGCGGGACCTTGAGCGTTCAGAACGGTACGGCCGCGAAGACTTAGGGGACTTTGGAGGTAGAACATCGTTTCTGGGGTTACGGTCAACGCTGGTGTCATTATAAAGAGAGGTTTGCGACGTAGTTGCCTTCGTATCTGAGCCTGACTCGATGATCTCACCCTCTGATGGGACCGATGGAGACCTTGACCGCCGTGCAGCCATAACCAAAATCCCGACACGTCACGGTTGGCTTAATCGGAAAATCGAAACGAGCTTAAAAAGAAGTAGAACGTGGTTCGGTTAGTCAAAGAATCTCCAGGTTCTGCTTGTGCTTTTCTTGACTGGAATAGCTAAATGAAGGTAGCGTTGAGCGAACGGAGATAGCATTCAACTCAACAAACTTGACTTCCAACTAGCTTACTTTGCAAGAGGCATTTCTTGGGTAAAAAGGAATCTATCTTGAGTTGACAGGCGAAAGTGCTCTAAATTCCAGTCGGTAAAAACGTAGATAGAGATATACGCAGAGAGGGAGAGTAAAGACGTCGCGGTGTTTAAAGACGGTAAATGCCTTATTCTAGTGTGTTCGAAGTTGATGTCAAAAGAAAGAGGTGAGGCAAAAAAAGGTTTTCCCACTAGCCCAAACAGGACTAGATCCTCTTCCTCCTTTCGCGCCGCTCCGAAGAGAAGAAAAAGATCTTATCGGTTCAAAAAGTTAACTGATGTGACGATTCCAACGGCAACTCAAGAATTTTCCTATCAACCGCAACACATTTCCTCTCTGTAACCTCCGATAAACAGTCAAGCTAAGAAGCCATGGGTGGTGCATCTCGCGAAGGTAAGACGACTGCCGCTGTACCTATATTTTTTTTGTTAGGTCTCCGTTCTAACGACGAGTCTTACCCCACTCCAGGCGGCAAGGTCAAACCCCTCAAGGCCCCTAAGAAGGAGAAAAAGGAGCTGGATGACGAGGATATTGCCTTCAGAGAGAAGCAGAAAGCTGGTATGCTCTATCTACAATATCACGGCCCGCTATTATATGTTTCCGTGCCTCTAACGGACACTGTAGATGCCAAAGCCAAGAAGGAACTCCAGGATATGGCCAAAGGCAAGAAAGGTCCTATGAACACCGGTCAGCAGGGAATCAAGAAGTCCGGAAAGAAATAAACGATTCGATAGTGGACGTTTCCTTTTGAACAACACGGCCTTTGTCGACTTTCACGCCCGAAATATCGGGTCATTACCACCTGCGGATCTCTTACCGCATCACGCTGCATTACGAAAGCATGAGCCCTTTTCGTTTTCAACGGGTCAGAGAAGGCCGACACCCTTTTCTTCGTTCTACCATTCAGCTCAGGACAATAGATCGCCAGTCAAGTCTTAACTTTTTATCATCTGCTATGATGCCAAACACACCCTGTATGCACTGCACAGATTCAGAGGGATGCTAGTTAAGAAGCTGAATTTACATTCTCCCGATTAGCGTTATGGTATTTGATAATGTACATATGTTCCTAACTAGTAACCCGTTTAACCCATAATGTTGGTTCGTTGGCATAAATGTCACCTTTATCTCTCTTTTTGTATGCACGAAGCAGTTTCAACCCCAGTTCGTGCTCCTCCTTCTTGATGTCTGCCAGCTCATTGTTTAGGCTTGTCACAGTTTTGTTCACTTCGCTTCTGGTGGCCATATCATATGCTATCGAGCTAGGTTGAATAACTTGAGTTAACTCATGGATCATAGTGTCGATATTGGTCTTTCGGCGCGCAAGGTCTGCAAGCTTTGATTTGAGATCTTCGATTCTAGTGGTGATGTTGGTCTCAGGTTGGGTTTGGGCTACCGTTCCTACCTCAGAGACAGTAGTCATCTGTGAAGGAGTAGGTTTGCGAATGGTATTTTTGGCAGAGAACTGATGCATTTTAGACCCAATACCTGGTAGTGGCTGCTCAAAGCTCTCAGAGATTGGAGGAGGGCTTCCCGGTTCGGTAGTGGCATAAGTTGTGGCGCTGAAGCGGCTACATGGCTCTCGTGGAAACGCTATTCCCTGGAGCTGTTGCGTCAACAAGTCGCTCAGTCCATTGTCCCCTTTACTAGAGGCTTGCTCAGCCTGCTCAACAGCACCGCCAAACTTGCTAGTCTCCCAAGTTGACGTAGATGTGGTTTGTAACACATCCTCGAAAAGACTCAAGTGCGTAGAATTTGGGATAGTCAAGGGCGTGGGTGCTGGCCTCGCAAGTACTTTGTCCTTTTCGGGGACAGCTGGTCTTGGCTTAGGTGCCATTGGAAGTGCTTTGTCATCCCTGGCTTTGGGGTTTGTTATGGGCTTCCCTCCCACAGGTTGTGTGCTAGACCGACCTCTATAACCTCCATCTTTTAAAGGGGGCGGGGGAGGATTCCCATAAGCAGAAGTATCGGGGTCCATTCGACGCCGGGTTTTAGGAACATTCATGTGGCCGGCTTTTGTCTCGATGTCAAATCGAGGTTTCGAAGGGCCGCTTGCCATGGAACATCCTTCAAGTTTTGTGTTCCCCGGAGTGCCTTGGGGATATCTACCCTTGTCGCTTGTTGTTAGTTCCCCTGGATAGTCATCCCATTTTGTTGAATATTGTCTTCGTGCAGCAGGAGCCTTTATATCTCCATTGGAGTTAGATGCATATGCGGCCCGGTGAGCCGAGCGTTTTTCCTTGTTGTCCATATCGGGAATGGGGTTGCTCCCAGGCTCTTCGATGGGAGAAACATTGTGACTCTCCCTAGATGAAGGGTACTGTTCACGAATAGGAGAAACTGGAGGGGATAAGTCACGATCACCATAGCCCGAATGATATGCTGAGGAATAAGAGTGATATGGCTCGCCGTGGTTATGTGGAGAATGTGCCGTTGAATCTTGGGAATAGACTGAGGAAGTGTTCCGCGCATGTGCTGACTGGAATGAAGGTTTTGGAAGAGGTTCAGATACTATCATCTTTCTACAGTTTCCTGTTAGTTAAAACTATATACTAAAGAAGGGAAAATCGATAAATGGCTTCACTTACGCCTGAGAAATTTGTGGCTCATGTGGATGGGTATAACCTCCATGGCCAAACCCCGACATCCCATGTATCTTATCACTCGCGGAAACTGTGACAGCTTGGCCTTGAGGCTTTGCCCAGTCCCGAGGCTTGTGAATCTTCTTCCACATTATCCAGTCGCCTTCTGAATAGAGGAAAATGTGTGTTTTCCAAATGTACGTAAGTGGTATCGTTTTAACGAGCACGGCTCGGCGGCTGTTGGTTGAAAGGTTGTGGAGGCCAGTAAATAGGATGGCCAAATATGTTCAGAGAAGCTTAGGAGATGTTGCAGAACAAATCTCTTTTCAAGAGAAGAAGACGGCGTATTTGAACGGCGTTACTCTCCGTCAAACGCGACCGACTGAGTTCAGAAATGAACAAGAGAAATGAATGTACCTCGTTTAAGTGAAAGACTGTACCGAAAGAACAAGTGTTCCAGTCCCAGACCGGGCATGAAGGAATCAAAAGGTAAGTAAAAAATATGTTAGACGTGAAACTCAGCCTCCTTCCCTCTCTCTGCCTGCAGAGTAACCAACGTCTAGCCGGCGACAAGGCTTTGTCAGATCATGCTCTGCGATCACGGTCCTTGATATCTCAAGGGAGTTCCAGAGTATAAACACAGCCCAGGTAAAACTGCGCTAGTCCTACGCTAAGCGCTGTCCCATGCTGCTTTAATACCTTATTTCCAAAAATAAACCTAAATGTGTCTGCTTATGTGATCTCTACCTTAAAAGCGGCGTGAAACTTCCCCCGATAAGGTTGACTAGAGAGCTTATTCGTGTTTCATCCAAAAGGAGCAGGCGGTGGCCACCGGCAGAAAAAAGGCCGCTGACATCATCAGCATAATGACATAATCCTTTTGCATTTGATGACATAAGTCGAACTTCTCATAAGGCGGAGCTTTTGCTTGCTTTGAGGATGGTAACAACAATCTAGCAGCCTTGTAACGTCTGCAATATTGCGCTGACAGAACAGCTGTGCATCCCAAGATGGCGCCAGGTAAGTGCACTCCATTTCTGATGCGCCTGTTAGACACCAGCTAACTAGATAGAGTAGAAGATAGCTCTCCCCCAGCTGAAGTGTAAGCCGAACACCCAATCTACATCGTTGGCTTATTTGGCCACACACCTGCCTCAATACTGAACCAATTCTATGGCAACAGGGCATCAATCGCCTCCCCAATTAACCTCATCCTATTCTCCCTTTTCATCGTTATAATCTACATGCAGTTCAAGCCAAAGAAACCTGTGACATTACCAGCAGCCCCACCACCAACTGTCTTCCGTACCTTCTCACCTACCGACCTCCTACCGTTTAACGGTAAAGACGGGGCTCCAGTTTATCTTGCGGTACGAGGGCGTGTATTTGACGTTACTCCAGGCAGGAACTTTTACGGGCCAGTGAGTTCTTCTTAATACATATATCTATATTGCCAACTCGCTTTATTAACTGCTCCGGCTGATGTAGGGCGGACCATATGAGAACTTTGCTGGACGAGATGCCACTCGTGGATTAGCTTGCCAGAGTTTTGACGAGGAGATGCTGACCAAAGATCTAAAGGGGCCACTAGATGATTTGAAGGGACTGGGACCGGAGGAACTTGAGAACCTAAGAGGGTGGGAGGAGCGATTTTTGGAGAAGTATCTTGTCGTTGGGAAGCTTGTTGCTGAAGGCGATCCTGCTCTTAAGGAGTGATACGTTAGGAGTTTTCAATGAAAATGAGTTTATGCATGGCAGGGGTCCGTTAGGAGCTACAACGTTAGATAGGAGTAGCTGGTGCTTGCACGATTATAGTATGGTAATGACCAATCGACTATGGATGAACAAGCAAGACAAAATGAACTATTTAGCTAGTCTCATTCTAGGGCTGAAAGGCCATGGAGAAGATGATTTCTACATGAATATGGAATCTGGTGAGAAGTGTTCGCTTGACCATTAAACTAAAGCCGTAAAGTATTCGGCCGTCATTAACTTATAACACAAGTCCAGATATAACAAACTAAACATCCTTCCCATTAAACATTTTGGTATCAGTTCCGTCTCCACGAATGTGCGTTAAATCATTTAAAGTTCATCACTAGCCTTGGAGGCCTTCTCCTTAACTTCTTGAGCCGCCTTTTGCCCCTCTGCCCGGCCGCTGAGAGCCCCAATTTTCAATTGATCCCAAGCCCATTGGCCGAGGCCCTGGAGTCGGGAGAAGATAGAGGCTTCCTGCTTGGTTACTCCATAGCGGAAGTAATCAGCGTTATCCTTTGCTTGCTTTCTTAGTTCCTCAATACTTAAGCCGCGAGTTGGCTTGATCCCATAAGAGGAAAGGAACTTTTCAATATCATCCTTTGACCATGTATTGAAGTTGATGTCCTTCATGGAATTGGTACTTTGAGCAAGATAATTTGTAATAGAAGTAAAGTCGGGTCCACCAGTCTTTGAGGCACGGTTGTATGCATCTTGAGCCTGCTTTAAGAGCTCATCACGGGTATATTCGACACCTTCAAGAGCCTTTTTATGCTGAGATGACAAGTATTTCCTATTTTTATTCATTGTCAGCGATAAATCTATAACATATAAAGAGTAGGTTGTTTATTACCCGAGGTTCTCTTTGTTCCAGGTGTCAAAAGTCCAGGCGGTATATCCGGAGGCAGCCTTGTGTCCATGAAGCCGTACCTTCGCTAAGAGTTCATCCCTCTTATCACTCTGTGGTACAGGGATACCACGGGCATCTAGATAGGCCTTCAGACGAGTATCAGACCATCCATTGATAACCTTGTTGAAGGCATCGTCCATCTTCAGTTGTGCATCATCCGTGGCTCGGGCGAATTCATTTCCAGCCTTGGAAGTAGCAGCTCCATAGGCATCAGCCATTGTAGCAGCTGGTTTCTCCAGGAGAGCGCGACGGTTCTTGCGTGCCAAAGCTAACATTTCATTTCTTTTGGAACCCTGAGGCACTTTGATGCCATGTTCGTCGAAGAATTTCTTAAAATCGGACTCCGACCAGGCGTTGAACAGTGCCTCAGCAAGAGTTTCTTGTGCGGCTGCCATCGACGCAGAAGCAGCTGCGGCAGACTTCTGGCCTTCTATGCCTGCACGCCGCGAGTTACGGCGCACGGCGGCAATGAGCTTATCGCGGGTTGTTGGCTGAGGGACAGTGTAGCCATGACTATCGAGGTACTCCTTTAACTCAGACTCTGACCAGTGCTCATATAACCAGTTTCCTGGGTAATTGACCGATTGTCCAAGCTTTTGAGCGATAGATTCATAGTTGCGGCGGGCAGTTGATAGAAGTGTATCCCTTTTCTTGGGTTGGGGACATGGGATCCCATGGCGATCCAAAAAGGCTTTCAATTGAGAATCACTCCATCTAGATAGGGTTATCAGCTTGCTATATCTTCATTTTGAAGGGGTTCATGAAAGACGTACGAGTCAAATATCCATTCTTTGGCGTCATTGAGCGAGTCGGTGACATCTTCTACTGTCTTAGAAGCCGGTGCAGAAACATACGTCTCCCAATTATTTTTCACTAATTCTTCTAGGTCCTTGCGATCTGCAGGAGTAGGGTATGGAACATCTATAGATGGTTTAAAGCGATTAACAAGGTTTATTCAAGTGGCTAGTTGCAAGGGAAAGGCCAGTTATGTACTCACCATGGTCCGAAAGCCAGCGTTCAAGCTCAGTCTCATGCCATTTATTGTATACTGCGGGCACCGTGGCGCGTTAGCCTTGATCAATTCTCCAATTTATGAGCCATTGGGCGGCCATAACCAACTGGCTACAGGAAATGGAAGGGAAGAGGGCAACAGTACCAGCTTTGCTGAACCAGTCTCTGGAGCCCACGGCTTCCGACACCGTCAGGGCTATGATTAGCCCAGTTAATAGCCACTTCATGATAGCGTTGGTCCCAAGTATCAGCAAACGAGTCCCATGCGAATAAGAAGCAGCCAAGTGGTGCGTTTGTTAGGCAGACGTTGACTTCAAAATACCGAAGAAGGCCACCTGCATGAGCAACTGAGCAAGAAAAGAACAGATCGCAAGCCCGGCCAGTGTTCAATATATACTCGCTATTGGCGCTGTGAACAAGATCCCAGGCAGGGCAGCAGCTCTCTTTTGTTCATCATCTCTCTTGTTACTATGACGTGTTGTGTGACGTAGGGGAGAAGGCAAGGACTGAGGGGCAACATCTCTGCAGCTCCAAGTTAAGGTCCATCCTGGCTCTTAGCCTCCAGCATGGTTCCCCATGCACTGCTGTCTTAGCCTGCCATGGTCTCGCTGCCAACATCTCAACTCTTCTGCTTGGTATATCCACCGTAGCCTTTGCAGCTGTACTTCTTCAGCACTTTTCTACCAAAATGGAACAGTTACAGGTCGATCCCCCCAGGCCGAGGCACAAGTAACGTGATGGGTGACTAAAATAGTCTAACCTAATCCAGGCAGTCAGTACGTTTACCTAACCCTTCCCTTAACACAACGTACTATTATTGGTTGGCGTCTGCCCCGCACTTGACGCCATACCTAAAGAAGCTAGACTTTCCGTAGTTCTTGCGATCGCCGTGTAATGATTGGCTAGAGGCGTCTAGGCCTGTGCACCTTATTGGGCGGACAAGGCGCATCCTTTTTCCACCTCAGTTTTTTGCGCCTTGCGTCTCGGAAGGGGAGACGAGAATACGGAGTAACAGCACAGGCAGAGAGACAGAAAGCAAAGTCTCTGCGCGAATAACACCCAAAGACACGTCTCTCCAGTAGCCGTACCTGCGTGCTGGAACCTGGTAGTCTTCTCCTCCCGTTCATCTTCCTCTGTTTCCCTTCCTCCCTATATAATCACTCATGTGCGCTCGTTGGATCCATACCCCCCTGTCTATCCGCACTTCACCAGCAGTTCTATAGGAAACGATGGTGAACCTGAGCGAAGAATGCAAGCAACTCGCCTCTCCCGGCGCTGTTAGCTTTACTTTCTCCCTGTAAGTCGAGACTTGCCTGTCTTTTGTTGACTGAAGAACCGCGGCTAACTCGTTTGTGACCCTATCTAGACTCATCCTCCTCGGCATCTTACTGTCATATCTACCCCAGCACTACCGTATCATCTCACGAGGCACCTCCTTTGGCATATCTCCTTATTTTATACTGCTGGGAACGACATCGGGGACGTTTGGATTTGCAAATATCCTCATTCTCCCAAAGAGTGCTCGCGATATCGCATGCTGCAGTGATATCAGTGGCTTTGCTTGTTTTGCTGGCCTTTTAGGCATCCTCCAGGTCGGCGTCCAGTCGCTATGTTTTATCATCTTGTAAGACTTGTTCTGAAAGGCATTATGCAGTGGTTCTCTTGACTAACTCTTGCATGGCAGCCTTATTCTTTTTGTTGCCTACTTTCCTCGAACTCCCCTAGCTCCCACTTCAACGTCAGCAACACCCGAGAAATCGCATAGTTTCCGGACCGCCTTTAATGTAGGGGCAATATGCATCGTCCATGCTATCTGTGTGATTATCCTAGGATTCACAGTCGTCTTTGGCTATCCGTCTAGTCGGCAGATGTGGGCGAATATCCTCGGTATATCGGCCGCCATCCTCGCTTCCATCCAATATTTCCCACAGATATACACTACCTGGCGTCTACGTCGGGTAGGAAGTCTCAGTATCCAGATGATGTGTATCCAGACCCCCGGTGCCATAGTCTGGGCCATCAGCTTGGCCGAGAGACTGGGTATGGAAGGGTGGAGCACCTGGGGTGTCTACGTCGTAACTTCGATGTTACAAGGAACCCTTCTAGTCATGGGTATTTGTTTCGAATACGTCAATCCCCAGAAGCCAGAGCTTGAGGCCGGAGCCAACAAGCCAACGGACCCCAACGGCCGCTCCTACGGCACCATCAACGGCACAGACGTCAATGCTCAAGACGATGCCATCTCCGAAGACACCCCTCTCCTACAAGGTTGATTCCTGTTTACTGAACCCCACAAAAATCGCATTATCTATTTCATTAGCAAGCCTAGCCTTACACATTTTCATTCCTTTTCAAGCTTCTCATTTTTTTTTCTTTCAATATCCTATCCCCTTTGACACTCATTCTGGAAATTTTTGTTTCATTACTCTGGTAGCGATGAGGTTCTTTTGTACCACTCCGTTTTGTTTTTTTTGACCATCCCCCTGTTGCACCCCCACTCATTTTCAACGGCCATTTATACCAAATAACAAAAAGAAAAGAAAAGAAAAAGCAGGACAGGATATGATATATGGTTCCTTTCGTGTGACTGGCTAGACCTTGTCTGAGGAACATATCACATTTTTGACCCTACATACTTGAAACATTAGCAGGACTTTGATCCTAGCTCAAGTTACCCGAACGCGTTCTCAGTTGGACCTGGTACGACCACAACAGGCGCTTCACATGGACTGGGGGCCAGAAAACATTTTTTCCAGTCTGGTCCTTCACTTTGAGAGATTCAATCGGCAGCAATTTCATTTCAACCTATTTAGGACAGAAAATCTCGGGGTGGGCTAACCGGTACTGACTGGTAACACTCGAACAATCTCCAATCACCGCTTGGCAATCCCAATCACTACCGACGGGAAGAAGAAGCAGTGGGATACGGTTAACCGGAAGATCTCAGAAGCTATGCGCTTTATTTAATAGGGCAGAGAGAGGCTATGCTAAGTGAGCCTGGTCACGCCATGGGTCCCTTATCTCTCTAACCCTTTGACAGTAATACTGACCTTGACCCAACCTGCGCGGAAAGCAATTGCCCTGGTGGTAGCACACGGCACAAGCATCCCATCAAAGATACCCGGAATGAAACAACACATTCTAACTCTTGTACAATACCAAATACCACACTACGCACACGCGCGTCGATTCTTTGTTTTTTGCTTTCCGAGGTTTGATATAATGCGCTGGTTTGATATTTGAATATAATTTTGCTTGATTGTATACCAGAGGCGAATATGTATGCGAGATATCTGTTTTTTTTTTTTTTTTTTTTTTTTTTTTTTGAGCGTTCCCCTGATATCTATACCCTCTAGACTGAAGTTTTTACCTACACTCACTTCAAATTACTAGATATATTTGTTCACTAGTACAGAAGTTAAAGAGAGGAAGAATACGAAAGATGAAATCTCGGTTAACTGAAAAAAGCCTATTCTTTTGGTTCTACGGAGTATTTCTCATCACTTTGTCAAATTCTTTGTCGAAGACATGCGTACGTTACTTTGCAAAGCACAGAACAGGTCGCATATATAATAAAACTACATGCATGAAACATTTCAGTCACAGCTAGAGAGCAAAGTCTCACATTCAACTGCATGGCTTCCGGCTCCTTTTCTTTCTTTCTTCCTTTCCCTTCCTTTCCCCATCTCAAGTAAGACGGGTGACACCACAGTTGCAGCACCCTGCATCTTCCCGCAAACATCCGGCCCAACACACTGTCCTGGACAACAAACAATATTTCAACTTGCTTGCTATTCCTCGCTCTTGAACCGTACCTCTTCCATCTCGTCTATCGATTCAACATCTCCATCCTGCGTGATCTGACTGAACGCCCGGCCGTGCCGTTGCTCCATATCCTTATTATGCCGCTGTACTTCTTTCTCTTCTTCGTCCATCTTATGCCTTTCGTCATCACTTAGCTCTTCTCTTGACGGTCGTTTAGGGTGTTTGTTTCATGGGCCCCGCTGGTATGCATCACTGAGGGTGGGTTTGGCTTTGTTGGAGGGGATACGAGCGTCGAATTCTTTAGCAAACGAGTCTGACTCTTCCATATCTGGCTCGGGTTTGTGGCGCTGATGCTGCTGGCGGGCTATATTTGGCCGTATATTAATATTAGAACTGTGGTATATACGCTGCATGAGGCCGGTTTACCTTGTTCCTTGCCAGTTGATGAGTCTTCCTCTCTTAGCCCGCCTGCAGGACTTGAATGGATGAATCTCGCGTTATAGCTGCTGTGCCTGAGAAACTGCTCTCCTCCTGCCTCCTGTGCTACCAGTAATTTTGCCAGGCCATTTCTTCGTGAGATCGGTATTCTGGGGGGTGTGAAACGCAGCGTTTGTATGAACGCCAGTGACCGGCTCATAATTTAAGGTCTGTCTGTATCTCAGAAATATGAACAGATTATAAGATCAGTCGGTTAATAACACTTTTGAACATGTAGGCTTGTTCATGGAAGGATGTTCACGTTCACTCACCCTTTTATATACCTCGCCTTCATCAACTCTACGGCTTTCTACTTCTCTGGGGTATTATGTCATAGCTAACCAACTCCTGGTCATTGCAGGTCCCACCAATGAACGAACTTGTTGGCCTAGGTATTTCCTTGGATGTACCCCTTATCCCCTGGCCTGGAGTCTTGTCTTTTAGTAAGGCCATTAAGAACGTCCGTATAGTCAAGGACATCGTCGCACCCTAACCAGTGCTTAGCTAAGGGGTCGGACAATTACCTAGGTAGTGAAGAGAAAAGACTGAAACACAGAGAATGGATAAAATAGATGAAGACGAATACATGTAGCTCTGTAGAAGAGAATAGTAACGTAAAAACGAGAATCTGTGGGATCCAGGAATAATCGGATTGATTCGAGACAAGAAAGTAAACGTATGAGAGATGGAAGATACATAGGTAGAAGATCCACGGGTATAGCCAGGGATGTAAGATATTTATGTGCATAAAACATATATTAGGAAAAGAATGTAAAAACGAGATGCCTTTTCCTCCCCGAATGTATAGATAGGATCATTGAAAGCCGAGTATGAGTAGGTAGGTATGTAGGAAATGAGCCAGAGATGTCGGACGATTGTCAGATGCCGAGTGAATGAGTGACCGAATAAGGAATGAAGTGAGTGAGATGAAGTCGTTGCTATATATATATGATGACAGCGGGATATATGAGATAGAAATGCGACGAGATCAACAAGAAAAGATATCTTCCCAGGCCTAGTATAAAACGCCAATGCCGAAAAGAAACAAAACTATTACCTCAAAAACGCCAGAACGGGAGTGCTTTAAATAGCGAGAATATGACAGCTGTGCTGGTAAGAGCAGGAGGTCGTGCCGAAAAAAAAAGAGAAGATAAAAGAAACAGGTCAGTTACCATATAACCATTCACAATAACATTGGTCGGTTGCAGCGTCTCTGGGCCCTATTAGCGCGGACCGGCGAGCCATTTTACTGCCAATACCGACATCGTCGTTATCTGGACTAGATGAGGAGTCTTTCTCTTCGATGATAACTTGGGACTCTAGCATTGATAGATTCCCGTCATCCAAAACTTGCATCTGTTGGCAGTATGGTGGAGATGGGCTGGCGTCAGAGTATCGAAGTTCTTTTATTTTCATGGCTTGGGGATAAGCTTGCGGTAGGTCTTCGCTACCTTCGCCGGACATAGTGGTAGGTGTCGCGGTAGGTAATGCTGAGGAAGTCACAGTGGATGCACGAGGGAAACCCGTTGGTGGCATTGAAAATATGCCGTCATCGGGACCGTCACCACTGGTCTTCATGTCGTCTTCCGTTGCGTTCTTAGTGGCGTATATGAAAGCTTCGATGTAGGTTGTATTCCACCAGCAAAACCACGGTTTATCACCCGGCTGAGACTGAACCTTTCCTGACCTGTTGCCGGAACGCTTGAATAGAGCTGACTTTTCCACTGATTTCCCCACGACGCCTGAGGGAAACTCATCCTTAGGGACAATGACGAGCTTGTCAAAGGTGGTATAGAAAAAGTACGCAGGACCATCCTCAGGGGATGTCATGTCATATGCGGGTTCCAGCTTAAAATCCCTGCCTCCTAAAGCTGGTACCTGGTCCCCGTATATGAACTTTCCGGTGATAGATGTTTGGGGAAATCTGATTGTCCTGGTGTTGTTGGGGCCGCTGCTTATGGATCCTTTGAAATGGCCATAATCCACGCAGTCCCAAGAGAGCCTAAGGCTAGTGGTGTTGACGCAGCTCTGAGACAGGGAATTGAACGTCCTTCCCGAGATCGAGATGGGACCTGTAGGGATGGGTGGGAAAGTAGGAGCGCCGCTTCCGGTTGGTATAGGTATAGCATCCAAGATCCCACTAGCTGTCGGAGTTGGTGGTAAGGATCTATAAACACAGTTAGTTGAGCAACACAGAGATGAATAATTGTGAAATATAACATACGGTGTTGGTCGATGATCTGGATCTGGGGTGGTCTTGTCACTGTCTTTCTTGCCTTGACGGGCTCCTACGATCCCACCAAGGACACCCCCTATGAGTGTTCCCGTAATCAAACCTACACCAATGAGACCAATGATCCATAGTGGTAGGCCACAGCAGATTTTCTGATTCCTCCGCATTTTCTTTTCATTGACCTTTTCCTGTGACGTGTTGCCTGATTCGACGGCAGATGAGTCCGCTGCGGGGGCAGCAGCGGCAGGGTTATTTTCAGTAAGAAATGTGCGGGACGAAACTTGTGATACTGGCGAGACGGGCGTTTCTAGAGGTTGTGAGGAATTGTTGGTAGTAGCACCGGCAGCACCAATTGGCGTAGTGGGCGCGTAGTAAGATTTCACCGGAATACCATCAGGGTAACGAGAGTAAGGAGGGAGCTGTTCCCTATATCCGTCTGTGCCTAAGATATCTCCAACCTCGTCTGCAACAGGAGCTGTAGCGGGTTGGCTGTATACTTGAGGGTGACCTGGTAAGGGGAGAGGGACGGTGGTGTTGAGAGGTTCGTCTGGGACATGTTCAGGGACAGTATTTTGCGAGTATAGCGCGTAGGGATGCTGCGGCGGGGCAGCAGCAACGAAATTCCGCTCGGGAACTCGTACCGTTGAATTCGAGGAGATAGACGACGTTCTGTTGACAGAGATTCCTTGGGAGTACATGGCATATGGATGGCTAGGTCCTGTCTGGCCGGTGTAAGGACTCAGCGCGCGGGGAGGAATGGAGAGCCTGGAGACGGTGCTGACGCTTCGATGGCCAGCAGACGCTGTACTCTGAGCGATGGAAACAGCAGGTGATGCCGTTCGGGGTACAGGACCAGCATCGGGGAGGAAATGTTTCTTATCCGGAATCTGTGGCAGCACTGTTTGCTGATGTTGTTGATACTGCTGGTGATACTGCTGCTGTTGCTGCTGCTGCTGTTGGAGCAGTAAAGAGGCGCGTCTCTCCAGTGACTCCGGGATGCCTTGGAAGGGGCTGGTGGGAAGCGGGAGGATAGGGCCTTGGTCCTGTGCGTCTCCAGTTTCTGTTTTGTCAGAGCTCGACGACGAGTGGCTCGAGAGGCTGTTGACAGATTGTCTCTGGCTGTTCGATGATGTTGTATCTAGCCGTTCGACCGAGAATGCATCGCTGAAGACGTTCAGCACCGGAGACGACTGGCTGCTGGACTGTTCCGAGCCATCACCGCGGCCACCACCAGCACCAGCACCAGCACTACCAGCACTACCAGCACTACCACCTGGCAACTCTATCGAGGACGACTGTCGACGGCCAACATCGCTCTCTGAGCCCCTGGAGGGAGACGTCGGTCGTTCGCTCATGTTTAGGCAGGACAATCGATGATGCACTGCCCGCCTGGGGGCAGCGATCCCTTTCGGCGCTTCAGTCTTCGAGGACTCCCTTCTCTCGCTCTACCCCCCCAGGGACAGGCACAGCGGCTGAGTGAACCCGACAACCAGCCCCGAGAAAAAAACACGATTCCAGCAAGCGAGTCAGTCACACACAAGACAGGCGGCCGGGCGGGAGGCTCGCTCGAGAGAGTCGAATGTCGATGGTCCTTGTCGGTGCCGTCGATGGACGACGTCGAGGAAGCCGATGGGGGTCGGTTGTGGTTGTGGTTGTGGTTGTTGCTGCGGGTGTTGATGTTGTTGTCGTTGGCGTCGAAGGGACGAAAGAGGCGGAAAGAAGTCGAGGAGGAGGACGAAAGTCGTGAAGGGGAGGAAAAACGACGATCTGAAACTCACCGCGTGCCAAGAGCTGCTGCCCCCCGGTCGAACTTGTCCCTGGTAGTTAACTAGTTGAACGAGAAGACAAGACAGACAGACGGACAGACAAGAGATGGACGAGATGGACGAGATGGCAGAGAGGGAGCGACGGGCTACGGAGGTACTTGGACGGTACAAGAGCCAGAGGTAGATGGATGTACAAGGCGACGGCTTCGGGCTTCAGGCTTCAGGGGCGGCGGCGTTATCTTCTTCTTTGGGAGGCCTGGCCTGGATAACAAGTAACTAACTAACTGGCTAACTAGCTAGGAGGGAGTTACGAGGGTGACTTCCATCAGTCCGTCGACATGAAGGTGACATCGACCGGAAGGCCCATTCTAATTATTATCACCATTGCAGGCACGCAGAGATGTTGGCCTTCCAAGGGGCAGCCGTCGGCATCCTACCAGCCATCCAACCAGGCCCTGCAGCAGCCAGAAGTAACAAGATGGCTGCTCCCGGAGGCCCCAGGCATGCAGACTTGACCTGACTTCTTCTTCTCCTTCCTCCTCTTCCTCCTCCTCCTCCTCTTTGCTTTTCTTTCCTTTTTTTGGCCCTTTTCCCTTTTCTGTGTGGCATAAACCTGGTTGCATTTCACCTTCACCCCTGTCCATCCCATTCACCACCATCTTCGCCTTAGCCACAGCTAACGTGCGTCCGCTTAGAAGGGCCGGTCGTCCCTTGACCTTTAACCTCTTTTCTTGTTGTCATATTATTGGATTTATTTTTCTTTTTGTCTCCTCATCTTCATCTTCTGCTGTTTCTGCTTGTCTCTCGGTGCAGGGCCGTTCAATCGAGGGTTTCTGGTCAAGGTTGCTGACTGCGAACGATGGCCACTTAGATTCTTCATGGAATGGGGCCTGGGTGGACACGGCCTTCCCGTGGACAACCACACTGGTGAGACCTTAAAGGATGACATCAGAGGAAACGCATGAAGAACCGTCTCAAGATGTCGGAAAGTTGGCCTTTGCTGCAGCTGAGGGGAGGCTTCCCTTGCTCGTCTCCTGGCCGCCGGGCACGCCCTTCGTATCTCCGTCCTCGCTTTCTCACTTCTCTCCCCTCGCCTAGCTTATGAGGCAGTTTTTGTCGATTCAAGGATGTGGGGGCAGTAGTAGTGATGGGTGGTTTTCGAACGGGTGTCTTTGATGTATGAAACTTTCAATCAATTGGTGAGCGCATAATCCATTCTTGGATCAGAAATTCTCCATAGCCAGTTCCCACACAGTCTCTTCTTGGCTCAAAAATTTTGATTGATGATGATTCCTCAAACATATTCCAAAAATACTTAATGATTAATTGAATAAACACGCGCATTTCATCTCGGTTTCCTCAAATCAAGGATCGCAGACAGACGGACCTCTCCCTTCTGGCCCCATCCGGAGATGTTACTCTCAACCTCTGGCCGAACAGCGACGTACCAACTCCAGGTTCGCCTATCTAAGTCGTCTCGGCTCAGCGTTGGCGCCCATGACTGGCAAACATGATCGATCGCGCCAAGCAGCAGACTGAGAGCAATCTCCTTGGCTGGCATCGACTTCGACTCGGCTTTCCCATTGTTCGACTGGTTCGGGCTGTGCTCACAAAATGACCTCAGCAGGTAGTCTCTAGCTGGTTCGGCTCTGAATACAGGGAGGTACGTGCTCTGGCTCCCTCGTCCACTGTCGTACCCACCATATCTGCTGTTCTGGCGGCCATCACTCGATTTACGATCACTATCCAAGTCCAGGCCCCATAGGGCTGGGAGATTGTCGTCCTCGTTCTCTGGTTTGGGTGATGGCCTGTTCGATTTGTGTGCAGGGGAACCCGTCTCCGCATGCGGGGATTTGCTGCTGCTATCTCCTTCTAGCACCGTCTCCTTCTTGCTATCAAATCCGATACGGGGCGGCGATACAGACTCAATTTCCCCTCTTTCTTCGTTCCAGTCGTACCCTACTCGCCGAAGGACGCTGATGCTCCTCCCTAGCACCTTGACCGTGGGCTGGCCGTGTGCCCATTCTGCGCCCTCAGCGCTGGGAGCCGTGTCTATACCAAGGCTGCGAGCCTTTGTGCGACTGTTTGCGCTCACTACAGCCTGGGCAAGGCTTAGTCTGCTGGACAACGGCTGTTCGGGCATTGTGTACTTCAGTGACATGACTGCGAATGCTAACACTAGGGGAGCCCGATTCGTGACAATCACCGTGTTAGCAATCTTCTCCAAATCTGTACTTATGGGAAGCGTAAGTGACTCTTCAATCTGCCGAGGAGTCATATCAAGCCCTTCTCCTCCTGCTACTCTCCGTTTTTTCGACGGCGATAAAGACGATGCTGCTTCCGGGCCGTCCTCTCCTAGAGCTCGCTTTTTGACCACTCTTTTCGCCGCGTTCCACACTTGTTTCGCAATTTTGGTCTCAGTAAAAACCAATTGGACTGTCACCAACTTTGCTTTGGATATATCCTCTGGGCTAGTTATTGAAACTTCGGTTAGTCGAAGGTCGCTACTTTTCGTAAAGGGGGTATTTTATTCTATTGAACAGCAATAATATATGTGTTTATCCCGATTGCATTTATCATACTTTAGTAGCTTAGCTTCTTGTAGGCCTTTGACCTTGCCAATGGCAGTCGCGAGAGGTATCCTGGCATCTTGCGTTAAGAAGCGCAACAGTGCCTGTACATTCGTTGCTGTGGTCATGGTATCACGCCAGTCGGCCAACTCGTCGCCTGTCGCCTTCGCCTACAGCACACCGCCAGATGATAATTATCAATCAAGGAATGTCTGCGGCCCAGCGGATGTTAAAACATGGAATCTCTGGGCAAATGATGGCTTTGATCGTCTTCTCTTTCTGATGTGTAGTTCGACCTGCCTTTTCCATCCCGATATATCAAGGTTCGTTAAAGCGCGAAACAGACGTGTAAGATTTTCATGACTAATTAAACTGCTACTGATATGGCGGAGCTCCAGTACTATACTCCGTGAACAAACCTGACTATAGCTATTATTTATTATACTATATTTGTATATTTAACTAGATAGCTATTAAGATATTCAGTCGAATAAGAGCTGAATAGAGATTTGGCGCTGTTTTGGTAATCAATTGGTGGTGGTCATCGAATGGTGGATCGTTATAACTACATGACGTCATATGAGCTCTAGCTACTATAAATATTTTTCTTCAACTTCTTGTTCCGTCTTTACACCATCTATCCCTAATATTCATATTGTGTTGGGATATTCCACATTAGCCACGGCTCGCACTCAATACCCAAGGATACCCTGGGGCATTAGGCCCTTTTGTCTATTGTGGTCCAACACATTGTCCTTCCATATTCACGGTCAACCCCCGACAAACGCGCTCAGTATCGAGCAACGCGTATTATGGGTTCTAACGAAGAGAAACTGGAATCTTTTCAAGAAGGCTTCCCTGCTACGTTTAGTAGCTTCTTCAAGGATGCTTGCGGTCAAACCAAGAAGGTGTCTTCCTTCTTGACGAACTCTCCTCCTGATATCACCCCAAATACACGTATCCTTGCCGTTTGCGGAGTTAGCGACTACCCGGAAAATGCTGCAAGCCCAGAAGACGACGGCTGGTTTTACTCGGACTTTTTTACTTTTCATACTTTGCTATATGGCCAAGGGGCTGCCCAGAAATGGTGTTGTAGCGATGATCCATCTCTCTTACTCCAGAAATACGGCAAATACCTTCACAGAAACCCAGACACGGAGCGGCGGGTGGTCCTAAGCAAGTCGTTGATACAAATAGAACTTCAAGATGTTCGGGTCTTCTCTGCGCCTGACCTTCTTCAAAACGTTCTCGAACTTCTACGTGAAGAGGCCACTCTTGCCGTCCAACAAAATACTCCACTGATTCTTTTTCTTTTCGGCCATGGTGCGGAGACAACTAAATCAGTCGAGATTGGTGTAGCTAATAATGAGCTTAGTGTTTCTACCGTCCATAGTGTCGTCGGCGATGAAGTTGATCTGACGGTCATCTCTACTGCCTGCTATTCTGGAGGATGGGTGGTAACCTCACTCCTAAATGCGACGGTACTTTCGGCCGCTGGGCCAGGTGACGAGAGCGAGTCATGGCCAAAAAGTCATTCTTTATCAAGAGCATGTGGAAGTATATATGCTTCAACCTTAGCCAAATCCCTTGCGGATACATCAAGCCATGAACTACAACATCCGCAACCAGAATCTCCTTCACCTCCCTCGTCAGGTCAAGATACACCAACCACTCTAAATGACCAGCAATCAATGACCTTCTCTGAATTCGCTAGGACTATTCACACACTACTTCTGACTGGAGTGGATCGACTCGGTTATCACCACAGCATATCATTCAGCGCCCGTGATGATGATTGGGAGAGTCACTGGAGAAAGAGAACCGGATTCCCTCTTGCTGACTTGAAAGCAAAGTGGGAGAGCCTTGAACTAGTTCAGCCGCAAGTATCATCATCATCATCATCATCATCATCATCATCACCATCATCACCACTTAACAGAGATCCTTGCACTGATCTTGACATACAAACCGACAATATATCGTTGTATAAGCTGCGAGGCCGATACGGATCAATTTCGTCCTATACTGGACAACTCCGCAGACTTGCAATAAGTTACCTAGCAAGTTATCCAGGCCGTGACTCGCTGGCTCCAAATTCTTCCTTTCATCAAAAGTGTCGAGACCTGATCTCGAAGCAAAAAAAGTTTAATCTGTCTACGCTTGAGACCATTGAGTCTACATTACGCTACCGAATGTCCTTGAGCTTTTTAGCTAACCAGCTCGTGTCGGGCTCTGGGCTTCCTCTTCCACAAGGCAAACTCTGTGAAGAGTGGGATCCGATTAAAAAAGGAGAGTATGAGTACGAAGAGCGTAATGCCATCAATGAACGACTTTACCCGCTATTTCCTCCACCGCTCCCTGGTCAGGGTCGTGGGTGGAATAAGCCCCGCTGGTACATTGTCGCAGCGCTTATGGAGGCCAATTTCTCACCAACTGAACTGAGTCTGAAAATAGAAAATCTTCTACTCGGTACCATCCCACCTTTCAACCCCACCATTTTTCAGGATATATTGCTAACTATATCATAGCTTCACAAATTCTCGAACGGGGTCAAGAGGTTGTTCTACAGAGCAACCCAGTGGTCCAGTCAAAGCGAAGGCGTCTCCTCAGGTCTTGCTGAAGTTTGAACCTTGGCCATGAGAGCTCCTGCTTGAAATAATACTTTCTACGAAGAGGAAGGAGCGTCTTTTGTTGTGAAAGATGCTATGTTTTACAACCAGGATGTTTTCAGGTTGTCCACTTTGTTTACATACCCAACCGAAACCATTAGTTCACTGCTATTCGGGCGTCTGCTATACCATCCCTACAACATACGCTATTATTCGTCCTTCACAGCCAGCAATAAATCATGTTGCTATCAGCATTTGCTCTCATTATTCCGGTTCTGAGCTTACTCGTTTGGGGTCTATCTCTGGACGAGGTCAGGCTTGAACTCGGACCTCAGCTATCCAATTCCGCTTGGATCTCTGGGAATGAACAAGAATTTGCGAGGTGGAGTGAGTATTACGCCTCGACTCCTGGAGTCGTCGTCAGCGTAGCTAGTGAGGAGGATGTGGCTGTGACGGTGTGTTTTGAAGCTTCTCCTCTTCCCTTCATCCGCCCGTCAAAGCCATAGAGTTGACGGGGTATCAGGTGCAATATTGCATTAAATATGATATCCAGTTTTTTGCCCAGTCAGGAGCTCACGGATTTACTACTACATTGGATGTGCCTCCTGATGGAATACTCATCAACCTCAGACAACTAAACTCCATCACTTTCAACGAGGACAAGACAGAAGTGACGCTGGGTGGTGGTGTTCTGATTTCTGAGGTTATTGAGGCTGCTGCTTCAAAAAATACCCTCGTCGCAACTGGAAACTGTAACTGTGTTGGCGCGATTGGCGCTATTATAGGTGGCGGATACGGCAACCTGATGGGTATATATGGATATGGTGTTGACAACATTCTATCACTCGACGTCGTTTCTGGAAATGGTGCCCTACAAACAGTTACGGATGGTGATGACCTTTTTTGGGCTGTCCGTGGTGCCGGTCCTAACTTTGGTATTATCACCTCTGTGGTAATGAAAGCATACCCCGTGGAACCCACTGGTCTATATGCCTGGTTGGGTGCTCTCACCTTTATAGGGGATAAGATCGAGGCGGTTACTAAGGCTATCAGCGAGCTTACATTGAAACCAGAGATGAACGTTCTAGTGTACTTCCTAGATGCCCGTGCTCCTTCTAAATCACCTACCATAGTAGTGACTCCGTTTTACTATGGATCTGAGGCTGAAGGAAGAGCTGCTTTCGCATCTTTACTCGATATTGGTCCTACACTTGATACAACAGCCAGCACCCATTATACACACTGGAACGACGGATCTGAGAGTTCCTGCATCAAAGGCGCCCGTAAACCATCCTACTGCGCTGGTCTCGCCAAAATAACCCCTGAAACATGGAAGCAAGCCTGGGATGAATATGTCACTTGGGTTTCATCAAATGATGGCCAGGCCCGCAATAGCACTGTTATTCTCGAAGCATATTCTATGGACAAAGTTCACTCGTTCTCGATAAATTCATCTTCAGTACCTTGGAGGGGTCAGATCAAATTTAACGCCCTTGTGGTTCCTTGGTACATGGATAAGAGCCTGGATCCTGCTGCTGAATCCTATGGCTTGTTGTCTCGCAACTTGATTTTATCAACCAGTGGTCTTAACCCCCCAGCCACGTATGTGCTTCCTAATATAACTAACCATACCGCATGATATATCTGAATATGCTGACAGATTATCGCTAGGTATGTTAACTTTGCTTTTGGCGACGAAGAACCCTCAGAGATATACGGCCATCAACTCCCTAGGTTACAGAGGCTTAAGGCTAAGTATGACCCAAACAACATCTTCGACCAGTCGTTTCACATTGAGCCTAAGCATTGAAGAGATGCGGTAAAGAATCACCATAAAACAAGAGTATGTAATAGTGGTAGTATAAGTAGCAAAAATTAAAAGGTGTTCTCCTATTCTAATAAATGATAACTTCAGTGCTTTCGTAGATTTGGGCAGCTGAAAAAGGACTCGGAAACCAGTCTTATAGTTAATAAATAGGTATTAGTTAGTTAGATTAAAGAGCCACGGCTATACTCGTTTACTAACACACAACGAACCAAATAGGGCTTTCAGGGGTAATAAACGCAGTATAAACACTAACACTAAGTATATATATCCTAAATAAATACAATTATAAATAAATAAGGCGGATGATTTATTGCTTCTCGCTGGCTTTTGCATCTACATCATCAGTCTTGGACTCAGCCATAGCAGAGGGGATCGGCGTTTCATTGACTTCATCTTCAAACTCAGGCGCATGAGTCTCTACAGTGCCGGCTCCTTTGGGTTTATCCGCTATCCCAGCAGCATTTGAAGCTTCTTCAGACGCTTCCAACCCAGAATAAGGTTCTGATTTGATAATATTCTCCTCAGGTTCCTTTGTATCAGTCGTTGTCTCCGCTGGAGCTTCAGGTTTCTCTAGAAGCTCACTGGATGCCAAGTTGGAAGAAGCAGGTTCCTCCACGGCTGGTTGTGGTGAATGTGTCACTTCAGAAGGGGCCTGACCATCCTTAGCGTCCTCAGCCTGAGGGGAGATCGCGGATTCCACAGCCTTGTCAATTCTGAACGGCTCGGGCGCTTGACTGTCCGGATCTTCGGGAGGGGATACATTTGTCTTTGTGGGAGGAGGGTCAATGGGAGATTCTGGCTGAGTATCATTGGGCTCAGAAGGGGACGGGCTCAGCTGACAGCCTCGGACGTTCACTTCTCCGTCAGGTCCGATTGACCAAACATTCCAAGGACCAGTAAGTTTGATTTCGGGCGTTTGTGGTTTCGCGACTTCAGCTACCGCTGGAGTAGACTTGGCGGCAGGCTTTCTCCTTGGTGGCCCTCTAGCCCGTCCCTTGCGAGCGTCACTGAGTGGGCCTTTCTCTGCTTGTTTCTCTGCCTCCTCTTTCTCTTTTGGTTTGGGGGCCGGTGGACCGAGTTTGAGACGGCTGTCCAGATCAGAAAGGAACCCTGCCTTCAAGGCTGCAATCTTCGAGCCAACTGCTCGTGGCGGGAGTGCTGGTTTGGATTTCGGAGCAGGACGAGCTGCATCTTCTGCATTTTCTCCCGATATAGTTTTTGGCAATGTTTCACCTGCTTCCTGGGCCTTCTTCCTGGTAGGCCGTTGGGGAACCTGTGGCTTTGGCCTATCGGGGATCGATGGTCGTTTCTTTAATTCAGTTGGACTGACTGCCTGGGCCTTCGTTGGCGATACATCTCCTTGTTCATCTGTGGAAGATCGATCTGGTTGTTTTGAAGGCCTGGGTGGTAGTGACGGTAATGCAGGGTTTTCTGGCTTCTCTAGCTTCTCGGAGTCTGCTGGTGCCTCCACGGCTGCCGTGAGTTGTTGACTTTCGGGGGCTTCTTCCCAGATATCTTTGCTAGGAAAACGCTGTTTTGAATCCTGTTCTTGTGACTGAGACTTCTCTATCTGAGTAGGAGACTCTTCCAAGCCAGACTTTTCCGTTACCTTATCCGCTTCTCGCACCCTTTCCTGCTTCTGCTCAGGGGTCTCAAATAGAGCCTCAGGTTCCGAGCCATCCTTTTTTGGTCGCCTGGGTATATCTGGAGTTGATACGGTTGCATGTAGCTGGGCACTACTTGGAGCATCTTCCCATATGTCCTTACTTGGAAATCTTTGTGTGTGACTAGCTGGTGACTTGAAGCGCTGCTCCGGGGATAGACCCCTTTCTTTGTCATCATCTTGGAATAGGGGCTCATATTCTTTAGCATGCTTTACGGGAATAGGTTCGCTCTCATCCTGGCCCTCCGGGCGAGTATTAAGACTATCTTTCTCAGGGCCCGTAGGCCGAGTAGATTCAGTATAGTGCTTGGAATTAGGATGCTTGTGTTCAAAGGGAGGGGATACTGCAGGCTGCAATGCCTCGGAGTTTGGGTCGATCTCATCGGAAGCGAGGACGTGATCTTCATCCAACAGAGCTTCCTTAAGCTTACGGTCAGGCTCCGGTGCTAGTGCGAAGCCATCTGGATGATGCTGGTGATGTAAAGGCTCATCAACGTGAATCTTTACTTCATGGGATTCAGTCTTCTTATCATGGGTGTCATCCACAACATCTAGCGCTTTCTGGTTTTCAGACAGAGGCTGTGCAGTAGATTCTTCACGAAGCACCTCATGCTGGAGTGAAGAATCCGCTGGAGGTGATTGGAGACGAGAGGCAAGTTGTTCAGTTATAATATTCCCTATCTCTTCATTTGGAGTACCCATCATATTATCAGATGTACCTAGAATCGTTAGATTAAGCTTCTGTAAGGCAAGTGTGTACATAAGGAGAGTTACCGGTAGCACGGGACTTAACAATTTTGTTTAGGTCCTCACTGCTCATTGCCCAGTCCGGACGCGGACTGCCAACACCCGACCCGTGAAGCGCTTGCTCCTCTAGAGCCAGCTCCTTTGGATGTTTCTGGTACCAGGACTTTTCAAATGGGTCATCGGGAGTTACCCCGTGCCCATGAAGGCCATAACTGCCTGGCGGCATCGATGTTTCTTGTCCACTTTTATTCCGGCTGTGGCTATTTCGACCCCCATGGGGGCTGGCTGGGCCAGGGGATGGAGCTTGTACATACCCGGCGTTAGGATACATGGGCACCCTTTGCCCTATCTCCTGGGTACCGGTCTCCTCGTCATTGTTGTGGGATTTTTGATTGGCTGCTGAAGTGGACGATTCCAGCTGAATATGAGGAACCCCAGATTTAGAGTCCAGTGACTGATGACTGACATCTTCTTCCGAGCCCGTTTCATGTCCATGTGAAGCATCTGTCCGTGTTACAGCTTGAACTTGTGCTGTTGCACTCGATGTCGGTAATGACGGTCGAGGAGCATGTAAATGAAGGTCCTTGTGGATACTCCTTGTCTCTGCAGGTTGTTCCACCCCGTACCCGGCTACATTCTCACCCTGTGTAACTGGGTTGCTGAGTTCAACAAGTCTTGGAGCAGTTGGCGGGAGGGTAGCGCTATCAGGCCGTATGGACGGGTCAATTGGAGAATCCGCGCCTAGGAATCTAGAAGGCAGCGCATTCAGCGGAGAAGGAGCAAAACTGTCTATTTTGGGGGGAGAGTTTCTCTCTGGACGGCTTGTAGGGCGTGGGGGTATCTTCGGTGGGTTTGCATTGGCGTTGTTTGGAGAGCGAGAAGGCCGCGGAGGTATCGGAGGAGGAGCTTTGGCCGACATGGCGATACCAAGTAGACTCTGTAGTATAATAAGCTGATATTTTATGTAGTTGTAACGCTGGGTAATCGATAGAGAATGCTTCTAGGTTGGTCAGTGCCTGCTTGTATCCGAGTGCTTCAACGCTCATTCCCCGTAAAATGCTTCAAAGGCATAGCTGACACAGAATTATGGCTCCAGGGGAGCCACGCTTAGAAATAGACGGTGTTTATATAGAATCTCTCCATCGATTCTATATACAATCCCCTCCAAAGCGAAGTGCTAATAAGAGGTAGCTTGGATGTTTGTTTGAGTGGCGAGAATCTTGATCTGTTCAATCAAATATGGCAGAGAAACCTCATAGGGAATATGAAAGAAAACACCTCGTCTCACTGCAAATGAGAATGCTTACCGGTGTGTATAGCAGTAGAAATACGTCAAGAAAGAGAGGTTCTTGAGCTGTCCGTAGGAAGGGGCTGAGGTTCAGCAATCCCCATATATACCAAGCGCCCTCTATAGGAAGACGTCACTGCCTTTTGGCACCTCAGGAGGTCATAGCATGTTTGATGCCCGATGTGATAGCTAGTTCAGCTCTAGTTTTGTAAATGGCCAACCTGTCTTGCAGTACTCAATATCAAAACATCCAACTCGAAGTTGTTTCGAGATGTTTTGCCTTGCTTTTACTTACGTAGCTCCAGTAATGACGCGGATGGTCACGTGGACGGCATGTGGATAGCATCTAGAGGAAAGGGACCACAGAGAAGATACAGAGCGCGGCGAGGTGGACAGAGATATGGAGGAGTGACAGTTGAACATAGCATGACAGAGTCTCGTAATAGCCTACAATACAGATGGGGGGAAACGGCAAAGCTATAGAAGTTACAAAGAGGCTAAGAAATAGAGCAATAAACCAGGATCGGAAGCGTCCAGTTCCAGAATTAGTTTCTCCTGTCCATGGCATCGAAAAAAACACGCGGATAAGAGAGGTCATCCATTAAAGTAAAAGAGAAAGAGGAAAAGACATAAGCAAGCTGGTATCTATCATTGGGTAGGAGGTATGAGAACTGGAAGGAAACCTGCGGCACAGAGACAAATCATTGCCGGTATGGGAAGCTCAGCTTAAAGGCGAAGGAAAAACAGTAGGTGGGATCATGTGCGTCGTGGTATACTTCAAGGTGGTTGGTGAGCTCTCCCTGGTCGAGGGAAGGAAAGTAACTTTGGCGGACCACAGATGAAGGGGGTGGGAAGACACGGTTCAGTTATCCCCATTTATACCATCATCTGCGCAACGCCTTGTCCGCCGAGGGTCTTGCTTCCGGTGAATTCTTGGCCCTTAGCAGCGGCAAGAGCATAGAAGATGGCGGTGATGAGAAGGAAAACGGCTGCCGCAATCAAGCTAGTACCTTCCTTTGATATAAGACTGAGCCACTGAACGACGCTCATGGCAAGGTAGATAACTCCGCGCATTGTGTTGGATGCGAAACGGCGAATGAACGCATCGAATTTGGATGAAGTAGGGCAGATGCGCAAGAGCAATGGTACCTCAATAAACAGGATGACCGGAGAACAAGCTCTATTGTGACGACCTCTGAGGTTAGCAAGCCGCAAGAGGAGGATTTGGGAGTAATTCGAACAGTTTACTTACAGGCATACTATGCTGAATGCAAGTATGATGGAAGGAACACGGAAGAGGTTAGAAATTCCAACAGCGAAGCATATAAGCATGGAGAGGATTCCGGTCCTAGAATACACAGTATTAGTTTCCGGTTATACGTGTACAGTAGCAATGCAACTAGCAGGACTCGGCCATTAAAATTAGACCGGAGGAGGCGGTATGAGTAACTAACCATTGTCCGTAGATGCCTGGGGAGCAGATATTAGCATATGCGAAACTGGCTGGAAAGCTCATCTGGTAGACTTACTGAAATTTCTTGATCTAAACTCTTCGGCGAGCGTCATTATGACTGCTGGTGATGTCTCAACGTGGTGAGGCTTCCGGTGATAGCGTAGGTATGTTTAGTTGGAGCAGCCGTATGCGGGTTAAAAAAGCTGGGGATAAACAACGCTGGCAATCACAGTCAGTATTCGCACTTGGGCAGGGGGAAGATAGGGCACACTGGTCGAGATGGTATCTATGAAGATGGAAACCCCGGGACAACTCACAGCTCTGCTCTGGTTTCTTCACCGGCAGCTAAAGCAAAGAAGAAGCTAGGGCAGCTGACACGCGATTCAAGCCACAACAACAATAACAAGGTTGCCTTCGGACCCAAGAGGATTTGCACAAAACCAATGCCTGCAAGCAGAGCAAAAGGGTGTTTGTCAGTAGCTTGTCCAGCAACGAGAAGAAGAGGTTTGCAGCTGTCTGTCTTCTTTCTTCCAAGTAAATAGAGCTTACAAGACAATTGGAAGTGACAAGATGGCCTGAAAGCGAAACAACAAACCGGAAGTTCAAGCCCCAAACCTGCCAAGCCTCACTTGCTGACTCACCAGGACAACAAGCCACAGTTAGTTTGTTTCTGATGTTGCTGAAGAAAGAGTTGGAAGGTTGGAGGACGATGAAGACGAAGATGGAAAAGAGAGAGAGGAAAGAAAGGTAGGAGAGAACAGGTGAGAAGGATAGAAGACCTGGGCGAGCAAGCTTGGTGGCTATTTAAGCCCGAATGGACAATGCTGCAGCCTGAAGGGTGCTCTACACAGCGCCGCCACGCAGCTATACGTGGACAACTGATCCAACGGCTTCTCGGACGCAGGAATTGGGTACTTTATTAACCGGCCAAAGTTACCGGCCGGTGCTAGATGGCTCGTTAGTTGACAAGGCGCCTTCGTGGCTTTGGTGGTTGGAGACAAACAGGCTCATATTCGACCGGTCAAGAGAAATTTATCATAGAACACGATATGAAATAGTTAACTAGTTACAACAGTGGTTGCCTCTTTTTCCTGTTTATTCATCCGGCTAACTGCTGATTATAGAGTCCCTTTCTTCTTTCCCGCTGCATCGCTTAAGAGCCATAGACGAGGCGGAAAACGTCGTTAAAGACAAAGTAGTTTCCGTTGCTGTCGCGGAGGAGCTGGAAGGACTGGCTGTAGTTCATGGGCGTTTGTTGGTCGTCGACCTGTAGGCGAAAAAGTCAGGCGATGCATATACCATTTAATACCCGTGATTGATTTGATGGCTGAGACATATGGTTTGATGGAAGCAGCACAGGGATATTCCTTACCAGGAGAGCGCCGGTGACCATGACCATGATTCCACCTTGCCCGTTTGACGGCTGGGCGTCGAGGGTAGCTACTTGGTGGGCAACTTTCTGGAACGGTAGGGTCTGTTTTGATAAACGTCAGCAAACGGTCATGACCAATGTTAACTCAGACTCTTGCGCAACCTCCCCCCCGGATTCACCAGCCATTCTACCCATGGTAGTACTCACAGTCAACTTCTCCAGAATGGAAGGAGCTCCTTTGACGGATGTGGTTTCGAATGTCAGCATCGACTCATCGCGCTGTATTGCCCATATATCACATCAGCTCTCTATATCCTGTGGTTATGTCATGGAAGGTCGCGTCAGGCTCTTACGTAGAGGGCTCCAAGACCTCCCCGGTTCTCATCAAAGGTCTTGTAGTAGAATTCGACGAATTGCTCTGTTCCACGGGTGCGAATACTGTTAGGGCCCCTTCTTCGCAATAGCTCCTTTCTGTACAGCCATAGGAATACACTCCCTCGTCGCTATACAACGCAGCCGTTGGGAGGAAATCACGGTTAATGAAGGATATAAGGACGTACTAGCAACCTCTGTGAAGTCTAAAGAAACAGTTTCATTAGCAATCTCAGCTCCTTAGGATGATGTTTCATAGCATGGTACTCCTTCCACCCATGGATGCGGATGGAAAAGGTTTGAAGCACAACATGAACCTGCCAACAATTTGGGGCTTGCTGGAAATAAAGCAAAAGGGAAACCTACCAGCCATCTTGTCTGTATCGTAGGCTTGTAACCGTTTCTATATCTCTTCGAGCGAACTGCCTGTCCGTGATAGTGTCTTTGGGCGCGAAGAAAGTGACGGAGGGGCTTTTTCTATTTATATGGCGGGGGAGTTTGGCAGCCAAAGAAAAACTCTTGGCGTTTAGTTCGCGCTTCAAAAGGTTCTTTACTTTTTATTTATTTATTTGTTTTTTTTTTTTGTTAATTACTTTTACTTATAACGAAGCTGTTGACAATAGGTATATGTTACATGCAGGAAGAAAGATAGGTGTATTCCTAGGATAAGACGCTCACGATGGCCGCTTCAAACGCCTGAAAAGACCGCTAGTTAACCCTCGGATTCCGAGTCTGCAAACATGTCCTCTGCCTTAGGCCGACGGCGCTTTTGAACCGGCTGAGAAGACTCCGCAGGTTGAGATATAAAGATCTTTGTTAGAGGCTCTTCCTTCGGGGCTGACCCTTCTTCCTGTTCCTTGCTGGCTGGTTTATCATGGCCTGAAGGTGCATCTTCGACGTCTTCCAAATCGCTATCCTCCATAGGGACTCCGTCTATGTCCGAAAATATTTCATCGTCTGCGTCATCATCAGCAATAGGAGCACCGTCAACATCAAGATCCATAGGGTCACCGTCAGCAGGGTTAAACTGGCTAGTGGCCCCGTTATCTTCAACGGCTTTCCATTTGTTCTTGCCCTTACTGCCGAATACACCTGTTTCCTTCCCTTCTGCTACACGGGCCTTCTCTTCAGCCTGTTCCTTTTCAGTGGGTGGAGGGTGGTCGAAGGACTTGACAAAGGCTTCATGGCTAGCCTGTGGGAAAACACACCAGCCCTCCCATAGGTTGAGAAGGATGCCGATACTTCGTCTCCATTTCTCAATTTTCAACCTGCCCCATCCAAGCTCTTTTTCTATCCGGCCGAGCTTCTCGAAAGTTTTCTGCTGTTTTAGGGCATTTTCAAAGAGCTGTCGATAGCGCCACGCATGCCGTACGCCGCTTGTAGACGACGATGAAAAGATATCTGATATGATATAGAGGCCAACCAAGCTAGCCGATGACATATCTAGTTTTTCGTCCGCAGTCGGTTTCTTGCCTTGCTCCGTGGATTCATTATCAGCTTTGGGGGGCTCATCAACGTCGTTTTGGTCTAGTCCCGCAGCTCCATGTTCATCCTTTTGCCGTTCAGGGTTGGCGGACGTATAAGCAAAGGGCTTATTCACGTTGGATACAATCATATCAACAACTTCATCTCCTCCGCCACCGGCGTGCTTAATTGCAAATGCGGTAACACGCGCCACATCGCCCCGCCGAAGCTTTGAGTGTGATGTAGGAAGCCTGGCTAGTAGGTGTGCGAGCTTCGCCTTTTGCAAGGGGTTTAAATGACCAGTCCCGTCATTCCCTGGATCATTTGTAGCGTCGTCCCGCCTCTTCTCTTCCTCTCTATCCGAGTCATCCTCATCGGAAGAATCATAGTCTTCGTCTGAAACAAACTCTTCTAGTTTGGTAGTATACTCAAACCGTAAATTTCTCTCCGGCTCTGACCACATAGGACCATTCTCGAATATCGTAGTAGTTGAAGAATGGTCTCGTCTTCTACCGCGTCTTTTGCCAGGGTTCGTCAAAATATCCCATAGTTTCCACCTATACCATACTCCCCCTGTACTCTTTGGATTCCAAATCCAAGCCCATTTTTCTTCCTTTTGGACTTCCGGCCTACTCATAAGCAAGGCCTCAAATTCGGGTCCAAAAGTTAATAAATTCTCGATTGTTTTATGTATCAGTTTAAGCTGCCGCAAGTCCGAAGGAGGCTTAACGTCGACTTGAAGTCCCTGGTTATTCCTAACCCCATATCTGGAATCATACGACGAAGGTGGCGCAATTCCAGAGCGATGAGGGCCCCCACGCCCAAACTGGTCGCCGCGTGTTATAGTTCGAGCACCAAAGGGCTGGTTTGTAAGTGACATCGACCCGGGGGTTATGGGTATGCTTGAATGAATAGCCGCGGATGATAAATGTCTAGAAATTGACAAATAATACCCCCAGCCTAGGTATTTATTCTGCAATGAGCTTACTACCGTATCCATATCAGTGGCAGCAGTGCCATGAGCTAGAGTAACAATAGCAGACCATATTCTCTTTTCATTCCCACCATGCGTTGACGGCGGCGGGGGTGGTAATATCTTGACATTGTCCACCACTAATATCGGAGGAATCAACGACTTTATAACAGCTGGCGATGTACCGGGAGGCAGGGAAGAGACGTGCAATGTAGGTTTCGCAGCTGCTTTCTCCGCCTCCTTTTTATCACTCGTTGTCTCCCCCTCATCATCTGAAGTGTGGAATGCGTTCAACGAGTCGCCCGCGCGTGAACTGTCAAATCCAAATATCCCTCGAGGCTTATCACGGTCCCGTTGGGAATCTCTCATTGATTCGAATGCCCGTTTCTTGGAGAAGGAGATAGGTGGCTTTCCAAGTGATTCTGATGTGTTTCGCATAGGGCCCGCGAAGTGTCGTTTGGATGGGCCGCCGCTGAAGGGGCCATGGCTTGTCGCGGACGCATGCTGATGATGGTGCTGAGTAGACCGTCCGCCGAATGCATTGGATGAAGCAGACGGGCTTGAGTCCTGGTCGAATGACTTCACAAAGTCCTCGTAGACAGCTGCCGTCTCGGCTTTATCCCTCTGTCTTTTTGCTTCGGCTTCGGCTTTCTGACGTTCGAAATGTGATCGTTTCGCCGCGGACGGTTTAGTGGGAGGAGTATCGAATATAGACTTGGCTGGTGTGTTTTCAGACATGGTGCCTTGCCGTCTAGATGCTCGATATGAGAGCAGCGAAGCTCTTCTCAGTTTGCGTCGCCGTCTCTAACGAACCGTAAAAGGCCAAGCTTGGAGCTTCAAGAAGTGTCACGTGAATATTATCAGCCTCATCCTAGCCCCTTGTCTATAAATAGCCGCAATCGACTTTTACAGCGAAAGATGTGATAAATTCTTATTGGCAAGTTGTGAGTAGAAGGATTATTACAGGCTTGTATTATTTTTGTCAATCCCATGCTATCGAATATATCCCCACCATTATAAACAATAGGACAATCAAGACTCCAAAAGGGAAAAGGGGAATGAAAGAGAAAATGAAGAAAAGGAGAAGCGCCGGGTTACTCCTAACTGTACATGCACAATGCGAATGAGCGGTCTTGACACCTCGCAGACCAAACAGGGAACGTAAGAAAAAGTAATAAATTTAAAAAAGGGGCTGGGTTAGGAAGCAATAATGGATGCATAGCCAAGAGAATCTATACACAGAAAAGAAAAAGGGGGGAGTGTGGGAGGAAAATAGGAAATGGGACAAAGGTAAGGAAGGGAAAAAAAAGAACTGAACGAATAAATACTACAATGCAATGCGTTATACGGGCGTCATGCTATGCGATGCAAATCTTGAGATAACCTGTAATTGCAGGGGGTATTGAAAGGGAGCGAAGGGTATCTTGACTGCCATCAGGGTGGCGCAGTCATGTAACCAACTTGAAGGAAATGCAAGTACCCTGCTCAAGTAAACGAATAAAGCGAACGTGACGGTGACCTAGGCCGCCTATATTTTAGAGGGAGGAGTGGGAAATTATATACCGGGAAGTGGATATGTTCTTCCGGAACCAGGCGCGGGGAAGGAGATGTGATTTTCTCATTCAATTTTGTTTTCAAACGGTTGCTTTTTGCATTTTGTGTTGCGTTGGACTTTTTTAATTCTTCCTTTTGTTCTAAGATAGACCTTTATTTGCGGAAGCTGTCGGCGCCGAGGGTTGGGACTTCAACCAATCGGTCACAAGGAACACCTTCGTCGCGCCTTCGTTCAAAGAAATTGTCACACTCTGATACAACCATGGCCCATTCAGCAAGTGCTCGACCTGCATACTTGTTCATTTGACCGTTGGTTGCAGGATGAATACGTGCAGCAAACAAATTCTTTGACACATTGTTTGGGACGGGAGCGATGGTTTCGCTGGTTATTCGGGACTCGGACTCTTCGGTGGCGGAATCCGTTTCAGAACCATCGTCAGATCCCGTACCTGAGCGTGAATTGGACCTGGAGCCTGAACTAGAGTCGGATACATTGATGGGAGGCTTCTGGAGTGCGTGGAGGAACAGGCGGGCTGGTGCTGGTAGGGAAGGAGGATAGAGTTGTCTATTCCTACTCGGCCATCTTTGGCGATCAATCCATTCCAAGCAAAATCGGAAAGTGTATGCTTGTCGGGGTGTGGCACTCGATCCAGATTCAGGGCGAGGGGTTGTTCCATCTTCCTTAGGATGTTCACCTGCATTGCGGCCCTCGTTGGCTGTTGTAGTACTAGGGGTCTCTGGACTCGAGCTGCCAGGAGGGGTCACTTCTCCGGGCTTGGGATTTGCGTTGCTTTTGAAGATAGTTCTGAGCATTTTCCAAGTTTTCTTTAATTGCGGAGAAGTGGATTCGGCCTCAGGTGTGGGAGCCTGAGGTTTGTTTGAGGATTCATTATTATTTGGGCGGATTGCCATCGAGGGCGGTAGAATATTGTCCAGACACACAAACATGCTTGGAGCAGGCGGGAAATAGTCATTCCTGATGATAATAAGGCGGCGCCCAGGAGCAGGTGTACAGGGGGCAGTTGATACAGGCGCCACAAGGCCCTTCTCTGCAATTGACTGATGGGCAACAAACTGTTCCCATATATGTCCCAATTTATCCAGTAAGGTTTGGTAGATGCGGCTGTAGTAGAACTGTTAATAAAATAATCGGAAATAAGCCAAAAAGCAAAACGAGAAAGACATACATATCAAGCTCTGACTGTTGTGTACCGTCATGTCGAGCTAACCTCCAGCAAATCAAACGGTGATAATATCCGCGGACCATGGGACTCCAGTGGTTGAAAAACCGGTCGAACAGGCCATGGCCTAGTAACATATCGAGACATAGCCTTTCCTTCCGTCTTATATCCTGGTTGATCTCTGCCCAGCCGGTGAAAATGAAAGCAAAGGTCCTGACTTCTGTAAGGGAGTTGTTACTCTTGAGCATTTCCAGACAGACATCCAGCCAAAAATCCCAGTCAAGGGGATCAGGTACGCCATTGGTACGGCAGTACGGAGGTAATATCGGGATAAGTTCTTCGACAAAGTCACATAGGGCAAAACATGCGTTATGGTCATATAAAGACGTCTTCCGTGCGCCAAGCCTAAGTATCTTGCAGAATGATTCAATGAACAGCTGCTTTGTCAGCTGCTGCATCGAGGAATCAGCAAGGAAATCCCGCAGGGTCATAATCAGCCTACTCTCAGACATTAATATTAATGAGTTAGTTTGTCTCAGGGGTAGGCTAGCGGGTGTATCTGCGCCGTCCAGTAGATCATCGAACGTGGCGGTTGCTGTGTTGTGAAGGGCATCCGTGGGCTGTAGACCGGTATGCTTGCTAAGGGTGTTTTGTAGGACTATTAACATTTGCGCGTGCACTGGGATAAATCCAGGGACGTATATTCTTTTTGACATGTCGTTGATTGATGGCAGCAAGTCTGTGATTAGGAGATAGAAATGTTTCAGGAAGACGAAGAAAAGGTCTGTATCTCGGCCGGCCCAGCGAGGTGCCCATGGGCCGAACCAATTGATTTGAGCAGCAGCAAGCGGGACCGAAGTATTACTCCGCAGAGAGCGCAGGAAGGATGAATGGCCGGAAAATGAGAGGGTCCGAACGGCTGGGGGAAATTGGGATGAGATTTCCTCAGACATCACTCCTCTGAGTACGTGGTCGTGGCCAGGGTCAAACTCATTTATCACGTTCCGGAGTATAGTAGGGGGTATATTCCAGAGCCTGACTAAGACATTGGCGACATCAGGACAGAAGAAGAAAGCGTAGGCACAAGTTTTCCCACAGAAGGAGACTAAGCTAGCCGGAGTATGCCTCACAGACATGCGATCTATGGAGTAGGCAATCTGGGAGAGTAGATTCTGGTTGAAAGTGTTGCGGATATTGTGGTGGATCGATTCCGCTAGAAAGTCGGATCCAGTTGTCTCCAAAGAGGTATAAGATCTAGCAGCCAAATCAACCCTCGACGTAGAAGTAGACGATGAGCCGGAGACATTTGACTGGAACGGGACTCGCCATTCGGGCCGAGTCATGATGGCGACAATTGATTCCAGGTAGACTGGCCTGTCTGTTCCGGTGATGGACTGGCCATTTCGTCCGCTGAGTAGCTCCAACAAGCCGGTCCACCATCTGTTGAGTATGTTCGTACGTCTGTCCAAATCTTCAGGCCGGAGTCTGTGATTAGACGGATGGTTTAGGATGCGGGCGAGGACGGGAAGGAGAGATGAGCGGAGGACATTGACTTTCAGGGGGGTTGATTTCGAGGCGAATCTGCAATTTGTTAGCTAGGAGACGAGAAAGCCAAGGAGAGGATGAAAGGCATACTTTTGGTAGTCTACGTCAAGAGCACGGAAGACATGCCAGAGTTCGTCTCTCTTCTTTGGAGATTCTGGCTTTGCGCGGGAGGTCTGGGAGGCAGGGACCTGAGGGACTGGAGGGATATCTTGTTTGCTGCTGGACAAGCTGACTGAGGCCACTAGACGATCCCAAGACGGTCTCCGGCGTAGCGACTGTTGTGAATTGTCTCTGTTACTCTTGGACTCGGTCTGTGATTTCCCTTTGAGAGAGATGATGCTGGCAGGCCTGCGGCCTCGCTTGGGAGTTGCAGTGCCTGAAGATTCAACCGGTGAGGTGGATGCCGAGTCCGTGGTCGAAGCAGTGGCAGTCGTAGTTGTTGACCCTGTATCTGTTGTCTTGACAGAGAGCGTGCTTGCTCCGGAAGAGGTGGTAGCCGCAGATGATGCAGTCTTTGGGTCTGAAGAAATGGAGGGCGCGGGAGAAGGAGACTGTATAGGAGCGGGCGAGGGTGATCGAGATGTTTTCCATGGTTTAAGGGTGAGGTTCGCGAACGATGATTTAGAGAAGGCCTTCCGGGTCCGTTCAGCCGATACTCTCGGGGCTGCTGTCACCTCGACACTAGGATTGGCACTGGCAGGGGCTGAAGGTGTATTATTAGACGAGGTGGTAGGAGTGGTCGCGGCGGTCGTGGTAACGGTTGTAGTTGTAGTCGTAGTAGTAGCAGCGGCTGCCGCGGTGGTATCACTGGTCTTCGAATTGCGGACTGACCGCCGGCCGGCTTTCTCTCGCAACGAAGCCTGCCGCAAGATGCTCTTGCCGGTCTCAACGTCGATGGGCTTTGCAGGCGACTGTGCATCTGCGGAGAGCTGCGAAAGGTTCACTTCTGAGATGGTTCTCTTGATACTACCGGTGTCGCTTTCGCTGTCGGCGAGCACCTGGGGAATGTGGATGTAGCTGGCAGAGCGACCAAGCTCCGGGGACCTCGACCCATCGTTAGAAGACTTCTGACCTGGCATAATCGAGACGCGGCAAGGAGGAATCGAGCGGGAATCGAGCTGCGAGGAGGAGAGGGATGGACGGAGCTGGCTGGCGGTACTAGGCCCAAGTACCGCGAGAGGCCAGCTCTCCGTCACTGGTAGGATGCGTGAGATCTAGCAAAACCATGAGACTGGGGAGTAGAAGGCAGACGAAGAACGAGGATGTCTCTTTCTCTTGACGCCGTCCGGTATGGAAGAGAAAGAAAGCAGAGAAGCAAGAAGTGGCAGCGAGAGCGAGAGGCGGCGGCGGATGTAAATATCAGCCAAAAACGGCTTTTTTTTTCCTCTTGCGTGTAAAACGAGCGAAACCTAGAGACAGGGTAGGTTCGTCATCGGGAGCAGCTCGATGACCTCAGAGACTAGACGAAAGACGAACCGGCCCGTCTGCTCGACTGCTGGCTGAGTGTTATTCTTCTGGTTCGCTCAGTGTCCTCTGGTTCCTGGTCTGGCGCTCTGGTTGAGGGATGAGTTCTGACGAGCCGTCTGTCAAGTCACCAGGTAGTGGCAACGGGCCGTGTCCATGGGTGAAGGGAAGCAAGTCAGCGGCAGACAAGCAGAAGAAGACGAGGAGCAAGAAGAAGAGTAAGAAGAAGAAGAAGCAGAAGAAGAAAAGAGCCTGTCTTGCAGTAATATAACAACTACTAACTGTCCTGTCTCTATCTAGTTTTGTCTGTCCCCTTTAGCCTCTCTGATCGCACATCCACCCTCGCCGTCTGCCGCTGCCATGGCTATATAAAGATCGCCTTGAAGCTATCTCGCCCAAGTACAGCCACACCTAAAGGCAGCATGTCTTGGTTAGCTTGGTCAAGGCATGCTTGAGACGTGCAGGACAGAAAGACAGACTCCAAGTAGTCGTGTCCATCAGGAGCGTTCCTGCAGCGCTGCTCTTCTCTGTCTTTTCCTTCTCTCCTTCTCTCTCTCTCTCTTCGTCCTCTCTTATCTTTGCGTTTGAAGTCTCTGGATGTCTCATCTTCTTTGGCACCCCTTGCCTCTCTCCTGCGTCGTGGCGGGGGGGGCTTGCTTCGCCCTTTTCTTCCGCTGCCTCTGCCTCTGCTTTGCGTTGCTCGCTTGCTTGCTTTTTCCTTCTTTTTCATCAATTTCATATCCACTTGGAGACCGATAATGCCTGTAGAGCGCCCACATGGGATAATAGATCTCTGACGCGGCTTCACATATGCCCCTTTGCTGTCCGCGGGCGTTGACGCTGATAGCAGACGTCAGTTATTTTAACTACCCTGGGCTTTACGGAGTAAAACTGTCAGTCTGGTTGTTATCGAAAAGTTGATGCGTGCGTCGAGTCCATGTCGATGTCATGTTACTGGAGCCAACGCCAACCTCGTCTGGCTGTATCTGGTCCTCGAGTCGCTGTCTCCTGCATGGCTAGCTGCAGCTCGGCGCAGAAGACGCGGAAGACGCTGTTAAAAAAATAATAATGAAAAAAGGATTAAGTCAAACGGACATCTCTCGGCCCTTGCCCCCACGGGGAACAATTGGCTACAGGTGTCTCTGCTGTTGTCGCTGGTCGATCTTCGTCTCGCGCGCTTTGATAGACAGCTAGCTTGGTAGCTATCAAATAGGGAGAGTCCTGCCTTCAAAGGTAAGTAGTAGTACTCCGTATTAGTTGTTGTTGTTGTTACTCCGCAGGTGTTACTCTTAACCGTTTTGAGTGTTGCTAAAAGGCCTGTCACTGCTTTTTCATGGCTATATAAATATTAGCCGCGGTGTCAGCTCAAAAAAATAATGTTCAAACCGTTTAGAGGTCATCTTGCTATAGTTGCATCAAGATACAACAACATTAACACTGTCTGTCCCACGTAGACGGCAGCCGAGAAAGCCAAACAGCACGCAAGTTGATAATTGATAGCTATATATACCAAAAGCACACGTAAGACCATCGCATCATTCAAGATTGTACACTGCATACAACACGAACAAACAGGAAAAAAGACAAGACAAGAAAAGAGTTCGAATTTCTGTGTAACTATACATGATGATATCCCATCCTATGTCTCTCTAATTCTATCGATCAACACATATATTATCATCAGGCCACTCGGACGGACGGGCGAACAGATAAAATAATTTAGTGAGCAGCAGGCTTCTCCTCATCCATCTCGAGCCAGTCCTCCTCAACTGGAGTGGGCTGGCCGGCCTCCTGTCCCTGGCCTTCGACCTCAACAGCCTGGGTCTCGTAGGCCTTCAGGTCGGCGGAGATGTCGGCCTCCTCGGGGGACTGGGGGGCGCTGGGAGCGACAAACTTTTGGACATGGGCATCGGCATCGTTGGCCTTGCGGGGGGCGGGCTTGTAGGCAGCGAGTTCACGGATATACAGGTCTTGGACAGGGTCGGCTGGATTGGGAAAAAGTTGGAAGCGTAAGCAAATCTTCCATTCGCCCCTCGAAAGTCGGGATGAATATTCATCAATTGACGAGGGTATGGGCTCTCATGGGGTCTTGGGACTAACCACGTCTGATAGGAGTAGTAGCAAAGCTTCGACGCACGATCGGGCTCTGTTGGCGGACTGCTCGGCTCAAGAAAGAGACCTGGTGGTTGATAGGTTAGCATTGCTGGCCAGTCTCGGGATAGCACGCGAGAGCGCAGGAATTGGGGTCTCCCTACCGAGGATCTGAGAGTCTGGGACATCATCGCGACGGAGTGATGGGCGTGACTGGCTGTCGACAGGCTGGCTTCTTCGGGAGTTGAAGTTGTTCGTGGTTTTGATCTCTGCGTCTTTCGCCTTTCGTTCTTCTTTTCTTCTTGTGAGGTTGAAAGTAGGTGGTTGATGAGTCAGCGGAGGCTTACTTAAGCAGTGACGGGACCCGAAAGAGGCAAAGCCTCGTTCGTTCATTTTCTGATATCAACTTCGACCTTCGACTTCGCCTTCTTTCCTCCTCCTTCTTCGACAGACAAACCCGACCTTCTCGCAGCCACGCAGCATACGCCGGCGACCGCCAACACAGGGGACACGCACTGAGATACAGCCGCCGAGACGAGCGTCAACTCACTTCATCTCACCCCACACGGTCAAACGACTGCGCTTCTCTCCTCTCTCTAAGAGTCGACTGCCTTTGCCACTCCCCGTGGAAGCCTAGCAGCCGTTCGACTTCTTTCAGCCTGCCCGGCTAGGGCATCTCGCGCGTCGCCTAGGGGGTTCTGGCGCTCTTGTCTGCCAATAGTCAAGGATTTTCTCTCTAGAAAGGTAAAGCTGAGATGATTTTGCTGCCTTTTACGGGCCTCTCACGCAACAACTACAAAAGCACACCAGCCTTATGTGAAAGAAGGAAGCAGAAAACAAACCGCTGAAACCTTGTAGAACGGCCATCTACTTCATTACATCCTTGTTCCTCGATTTTCAGGTCTGATGGAAGTCTTACAAATAAAATAAAAATACTTCGTCAAATTCTGGTGACCACTCTCTCGGTGTCCG